GAAGGGCGCGTTCGTGTATATCTTTAGTGGGGATAGGGAGACCACACACACACACACACACACACACACACACACACACTCCTCACATAACTACTGCGTGACCTAAACTACCACCACTACCACTACTCTTACCACCACTGCAACAACCATTACCACCATATCTACCCATATCTACTACTACCACCGTCACTACTACTACCTCACTTACAACAACCATACTATTACTATCATCATCACAATAGCCACGACTTCCACAACTACAACTATTACCAAACATTACTACTACCACTACCTCCTACCTGCATCTATAACATTACAACACGACCACATACTACCACCATTATCACGCACGCTACCACAACATCAAGGTCAATCCAACATAGTACTGATAAGCGCCACAAGTAAACACATTTTATCAACAATGCTTAAAATAAATCACACTTATTCATTTATCTCTTCATTAATTTATGTTATATAATAATTAATCTATCGAACTAAGACATATTTATTATATATTTTTTCTTGTGATATTTGGCATCATTCACATGCCAATGAGCACAATCTGTGAGGTCGAAAAAATTACAAAATTTTTCTTCCATATATTCCCATTTCTTATCACACATATTATTTATATTTAATTTTATTGATATATAAAATAATTTGTATATATTAAAGATTTGGTAGCTACTGTATACTGTACGGCGGAAATTATGTATAAAACTGTATATAAGTCTACGGTAATTACCAGCCACATTTCATTATCAAGTCTTAGTACAGTAATAAAAAGTACATTATTATTATTATTATTATTATTATTATTATTATTATTATTATTATTATTATTATTATTATTATTATTATTATTATTATTATTATTATTATTGTTATTGTTGTATTATTATTGCCACCTGAACTCCATTTTAAGTCGGGCCATTACAATTTATATGACCGAAATAGTGATCTTTAAAACACTTGCCAAAACACATTGACCCAATATCTAGTTTTAACATACATGAAATAGTGAAAACAAAAATATAATCTAACTAAAAAATATCCAAAGACCGGCGGTAAAGGCAATAGTAAAGACACCATTGATTTAATAAAAGGTCAAGCAACAGTGTATTGGTATTCAAGGTCACTTGCCACATCAACATATTAATATTTTACAGCACAAGGCAACTCACAGAAGCGTTTTTAATTTTAGAATGTTTGTTATTTGCTGTGAGGTTAATTTCTAGCATAATGGATATTAAATAAAAAAGTAGGAGGGTTTCTTGATGTTGAGGATGACTGAGTAATTATTTTTCTTTGCTAAATGTGTAAGATGTTAACTTAGAAATAGTGTACTTCAATATACGATCCATTTTTTTCTGCCACTAAAATGTTTTAGTAGTGTTAGAGAGCTATATTTTATTGTTAGTTTAATTATTCTCCGTTGTTTTACTAATTTACGGAGTATTTTACCCACAAACACAGAAGATGAATGCTAATGTTTGTGAAGATTAAATCACTTGTTGTTGTGTGTGTGTGTAAACAAAAGATTATTGGTAACTGGGTACATGTAATAGATGCATATTTCAATATTTATCGATATATATACATCATGAGCAACCCAAAGAAATGTATTGCGATGATAGTTTAGTTTCCAGTGACGTAGACATCAAACGGAATGAGAAAATATGTTGGTATGTAGAGCGCGTGAGCTATATATATCCACGTGCATTTTTGTTGCACACGTCAAGATTTGCTTGGGTTTTCTTATTACCATTTAAATACTGATGCAGCATATTGAAAGACTAAACATATTTATTTCCAGGTATTAAATATATTCCCCGAGTGATTTAGATATTAAGAAAATATATCGATATTGTAAGTGACAGTATTTTAAGTTGACAGGTTAGTTTAAAGGGTGATGTAGATATCAAATGAAATAAGAAATCACGTTAGAATTTGTGATAGCTAAAGTTTGGCAATGGTTTGAGCGAACTATAAAGATGATGCAATTTCAATGTTCTGCGCATTCCTGGAAGTGTTCCCATATTTCTGCAACTCGTTAGGCATAAAAAAAATCCCAATGGAGTAATTAATCCCCAACAAACAGAATAAAAAGGATTAACTGTAGACACGACCGTTTATTTCACCTGATGACGAACCACCCTAACCTAACCTGATCTAACCTACCTCCCTGATGTAATGTGAGGATAGATTATCTAACGGTAAAATAATCTGTCATTTCTAATATTCAGGTTATCTAATAAAAATAATCCCATGATAAAAACAACAGATTAACCTAAAGAAATCGTAACATGATCTGGTCGATTTTGTCACCTTGGTATTTATATATTTAGTTCGATGTAACTTTATTCATTTAGGGTTAGGTAGGTTAAGTTAGGATTAATTAAGAAAGGATTAGGTCAGTTGAGTTAGGATTAGGGTAGGTTGAAATTACGTAAAGTTTGGGTGGTTAGGTTAGATTAGGCTATACCTGTAGTTTCACGTAGGATTAACTAGGTTAATTTAGCAATGGCTAAATTAAGGTTAGTTAGGCCATTTAAGCCATTAGTATTTTTAGCTTCCATGATGCATGAAAACTGCAAATTACTCTCAGTGTTTACGTTATAATTTTTTATATACCCTTTATGGCTTCTCGGTAATTTCTGAATGAATAATGAAACGGCCAGGAATGCCAACAGGTGAGTCTAAGATATCATTGCTTCCAAGAATAATAGTTATTTACGGTAACATAAGGCATTGATTGCAGTATTTTTTCCTGTAATAATTGAGATCATAAATTTGCTTGCGTGCATTCCTGCCTGCATGATGTCACGGACCACTCTCTGAGATAGAACGAAGCGATTAATGATTAGTTTTGAATCTTATTATAGAAACTTTGATGACAACTGAGTGAAGAGTATGGCTGCAATCTTGCTAATTAAATAAATATAAGTGAATTTGTTTCAACAACTGTGGTATGTAAACACGTACACGAAGTAGAGATAACAATCAAATATATTGTCCTATCCGAGTTGGTTAAGTGTGAAGAATCAGCTTTTGGCGGTTTCCTCAAATAAAAAAATAAATAATGAACTCCACATACCTTGTTAAAAGAAAATCCGATGAATATCCTTATTTGATCGACGAATAATCGTTCTTAAGTTGGGTGCAGAGAAACGGCTTTGGTGAGGGAGGAAAATTTAGCTGTGTATAGTGTACTGTACACAGACTGTATACATATTAGTTCTCCCGCCATCCATCACGTCTCTAAAAACACTCATTAATAGTTAGGCTACATTCCCAGGAAGGTAGAGTAAAGCAGCTCAACCCCCTTTAATTGGCGTGTAATTTGCAGTACCGCCATTCGCTACTCTATCTAGTGCTGACCGACATAACTAAGGAAGTATTCATAGAAAACTGTCAATGACCAATGCCATGGTAACTTAAACTAGTAACTACACTTAACTCCTTTATCTTCATGACATAATTATAATCTTACCGGTCTTTATCCTTAGGAAAGCGATTGAATTTTAAATGTTTGTGTCTTTTCTTGTCCTTCCTACAAACAACCACGTGTTGCCATTTCCTACAACTTTGGTTTTGTCACACTGAACGAGTCTTAAAGTCCCAGCCAGATGACGTCATATAACAAAACAGTCTTTGTTACAGACAACCCAACTAGAAAATGGCCCAGTTAGTGATTTGACTGCATGGGAAGTAGAGTTTCCTTATTCTACCCTCCTTGCCTCGTTCTTAATAGTTCAGAGGTTCAACTTGAGCCTCTCTATCATAGTTTCAATATGTTAGTTAGGCCGCTGTCGACCAGGTGGCTGTACTGTCCCTTACCACGCTATAAAGACCGGGGACCCTTACAATGTGATCACAGTACACGTGTTAGTTATTATGTGGTATTGTTTATTGGGGACTATACTAGTTCACGAAACACCTAAATAAAAGGAATACATTGTACTGAATAATAAAGGGGTAATGTTTGTTTTTCTCATATGACGTATTTTGTAAATACTTTTGATATATAAATACCGAGGAAGATTGATTTAATTTTACAATCACAAAACTTTTAAATGAATTTTTTTTTTTTTTTTTATCGAATCAAATATACAATATTGGGCATTTTATTTGATTTTCAGTGATAACCTAATCGGGAAACACGTCCATTACTATTCATTATCACCTCTATTAATAAAATATCTTGTTCTTGGTTATGACAAAGACAAGAATAAAGGAAAAGTTAATATATTTATTGCTTTCTAATTTATGGCCGTCTGTTTTATGGCCATAAGTCAATAATGAATCAGATAATAAAGGTTACAAGTGTTGGTGTTTCTTCCAATAAAGTCTTTCTTTCTTCAGGAACTAACGTGTTTTATGCTAACCTAACTTAAACCAGTCTATACTAACCTACTTAAACCAGCCTAATCTAATCTAATCTAACTGAGGTCAGCCTAATCTAACCTAACTTAAACCAGCCTAACCTAACCTGACTTAAACCAGCCTAACCTAACCTGACTTAAACCAGCCTAATCTAACCTGCTTAAACAAGTCTAATCTAACTTAAACCAGTCCATACTAACCTATGTAAATCAGCCTAATCTAATCTAACTTAACTGAACTCAGCTTAATCTAACATAACTTAAACCACCTAATCTGACCGAACCTAATTTAAACCAGCCTAACCTAACTTAATCCAGCCTAAACTAACCAGACTAAATCTAATCAATCCTTCCAGTCCTTCAGAAACTATCTTAACATAATTTAATTTAAACCAACCTAACCTAATTTAAACTAGTCCAACCTAACTTATTATTAGTTTATCAAACTTTAGCTAACCTGAATTTATTTAACCTAACTCACTTTTCACCAACCTAGCCAAACTTAACCAAATCCTAACCTAATCTCACCAACCTTTAACTTATTTAAACTAACCAAACCAAATTTAACCAAACCCATTAACATATCTTAACCCACATATCTCCATTTACACACAGCTGGTGGACGTGCCGTGGCCTTTGAGGTAGGGCCAGCTGACTCCTCAGAGTCCATTATTCGCCGTCACCCACCGCGGAAATTCCAGAAGTTGGAGGAACTGCAGCAAGAATCCAGCAGCCTCACGCAGGAGAAGCTCGAAGAGAAGCAGGCAACTGCAGAGCGTCGCCGTCAGGAGGTGTGTGTGTGAGACAGTGTATGTGTGTGTATGTGTAAACATTCATGCACATTTATACTGTATAATATTTTCCAACTTTAAAAATCAATCATTATATCTTGGTAAAAAATATATTTACTCCATCTATAAATCCTCACAATAAAGAAGTGTTAAGACAGTTATTACCAGATATAAGAACAGTCAACTATGCAACTCTTATATGGGAACAAGAAAATGAGAAATATTAAATGGAAGTTGCTTGTAACTGTTTATATTCATATGGTTAATGATCAATACTTATTTGTTTCCCAGATTTTGACACAGCGTGTACAGAGCGCTAAGCACCGTAGTGCACGCAGTTCTGGACGCCTGACCAGTCAAACCGGGCATGCTGATGAAGTGGACCAGGTAAAATGACTGTGGTCGATGTCCTTTATCCTATATACTGTGTGTGAATATTCCCTTTTGTCCTGCTTTGACATCTACAGGTACTGTACATCGCTGTGTAATTCACAGTGTACATCCAACTATAAGGAATAAGGTTTGCATTCACATTGCAGTTATGTGTTTTGTTCAGAATCTTTACTAAAATATTTAGTATGAATTATGTATCTTAAAATTCTTTTAATTTTTATTTGTTGATGACTATTGTTTTACCAAATTTGTTACGTACTTCACGACCATTGTATCTTAGTTGTTGAAGAAGAGCAGTAATAACATTATATCATCAACAAAGACCATAGTGGCTGAAGCACTGTTATACATTGTAACATTAAGGGAGAATGCAAAACAGTATAACTTTAGCAGTGTTAACCCACCAGGTACTGCCAGACGTGTGTATCACAGAGTTTGCCACCCTTGAGTGAAATTAAAAAATAAAGTGGTTCCTTTCAGCAAAAATCCTAGTGCAGTGATGATTTATGTCAATTCACCAAATTGTTGAAGGCGTGAAAGCCATGGCCTTCTTGTCAATTCTTAGAGATTTTTTCTTACTTCCCATCGGGTTTATATAATATATGTTGCAGAAAACATTTTAGTAAAAATTCCCCCAAAAGCAAATCATTATTATAGGTACCATCCTTAAAACACCAGTACCCTTCATCAGCTGCATGGTGACTCAATGACAGTACTGACGAAAAAATGGGTCCGGCCGTATACATGAATCGGCTCAACTTGACTGATCATAACTCGAATCAACTCCACACCTCCGGTGTGAACAGTTTCTTTAAAATTACATACCTGTACAAATTTAGTTGTACTGGAATGGTGTGTCACGTAGTCATGATTCGACTCTACTCGTTTGGTGTGAACGCAGCCTAACAGTAAGAGACAGTAACATGGGAATAACACTTGACATAGAATTGAGGCCAAAACTCAACATTAAACACAACACCACATAGGAGTAAGGCCCTGTATAATTACGGTGATACTACACTAGAAATAATGATCCACAATAAAATACAGTAGTTATTTTCTTTGTAAATCTCAGTTGGTAGACAGGTCCACAACAAACAAGTTCTTCACAAGATGTTTAGAGATGGTATTTTGTCCACTAAATTTCTTTTATGTCGAGATTTTTTCTGTATGTCCCTTATTTTATCCCTAGGTAATATTACATCCACAAATAATGGCCCATCTGAATTACTGTACGTATATGGAACACTTCACAGTAACAAATGAATGTCAAATTTGTAAATCAAACTTAAGTAATCACAAAACAGGTGCAGACTGGATCAGGTGCAACACTGGAGTAGGTTCAGATACATTTAGGAGCCAGTACATGCCCAGTACTTGCCAACACTGCATAACAGAGATGTGACCGACCACCCAAGCAGTAACGAGCCAATCATTAGCGAAGAGGATAAAAGTAAAAGTAAAAAGTCAATGCCTACTAATGCCCATTTCAGTGTCGTAAGTACATGAGTAAGGCGTCATTCTTGTATTTACAACCGAAGAGGATAGCAGTACCGAACCATCTAGACTACAGTACAGTAATCCCGTGTTTTTCGCAGGAATTACGTTCCTGAAACCCCTGCGAAAAGCCAAAACCGCGAATACTGTTTTAGAAATCACTGTATTTGTGGCCACCAAACAGCTCAGGTAGGTCATGCACTTAACCAAGCCATGCTCTCCACTCACGGCCCAGTGGTCACACTGATCACTGATGCACTGTACCGGCATTTACTAACATCATTATTTGAAACTAATCTATTGTAGTGTAATAATGGAAAAACGTAGACACAGTTATATACAAAAAAAAATTATTTACAAATAAATTTTTTTTTATTTCGCTGAGGTCGGCAACACTCGCATTGCCAGCCTCTCCCTGCTGTCCCGGCGTCTGCCCGCCCTCACGCCAGCCAGCCAGTCCTCTTCCACCCACATTCCTCCACTTGAAGACTTGTATTCTGACAAAAGACAAATGAATTGTCAGTCTTCACCACATCTCGAGCCATAGCTCATACCACCTCTGAGCTTGTCCAATAAAACTGTTTTTTCCGTTAAGGTCATCACTATTCTTGATCTCTTGGTCACTTTAGAGTCTTTGCTAGTAATATTTGCCTTTGATGAGGCTGGCTTATGTTCCAGAGCCATGTGGAAAGCATGTGGGAGGACAAACAATAGGTAATCACAGTAGCATTCACAGTACAATAGGCATGTGTGGACTGAGGCTTCTCGGAGCAGTGGGTGTCTTGGGCGGGAAATGGTGGCGTCTGTTTGCTGCACCTCAGAGGGGAATATCGAAAATAATGCAAATGGTCAAAACCGAGATTAAAAAAAAAACGTGAAAAACATGGGATTACTGTAAAATGTTTCAATAGATGTTTCCTTCTTGTACTGAGTTTGATTTACAAAAAAGTTACTTTCTTTGTGCACACATTCTTGAACTTCAGGATGTAGAATTAAGTAAAAATCTTCAGCTGATAGTAATTATAAGTGTTATTAGCTATAATAATAGTTTAAGATCTTTTGTTTTTATTAAATTCTTCCTCCGAAACCCTTGTTAAAAGTGACACATCAATGACTCGTTTGATGAACTTTATTCCTCTAGACATTTTACTGAACTGCCAGGTAGGTATCAGACACATCTCCAGCCCCTTAACTATTGTTGTAGTTATGCCTCCGTTGTCCCATAACCTTTGTAATTTGCAAAATATATAAATTTCCATCTCCACTTCTGTTACAAATGGTCCATTACCCCTTAGTCTAAGTACCTTGTATGTGCAGTACACATTTAAGCTGCAATATAAGCTGTAATCATAATCACACTTTAAGAGTATATTTGTATTCACTTCATATGCTTTCATATTTGTATTCTACAATATCATCAATTTTTTTCAACACTTGCATCACACTAATGGCTTTAAGCTTTTAATTTAATCTTTGTGCATTTAATTTATTCTTGGCATATCTCTTTTGCTTGTATACATCCCTATAGTTCAGTTAATATCAACTAGTTTTTGGTTAGTTTAGTCCATGGTATCACACAACGTCACCTTCTTTTGTCTGTTGTCATTTCTCTCGTTTTGATACTTTTTGCTTCTTGGTTCCTCTGTTGCCTTGTTCTTACCACTGCCTTCATCATCCACTCATTTCCTCCTCTTATCCCTTATCCTCTTCACTGTCCTGATATTTCCAGTGACCTTTCCATTGCCTGGATCCTTACACTGTCTTGACTTCATTTACCCTCACCCTTCTACTGTCTGCACCCTTCCATTGCCCTCACCCTTCCACTGCCCTCACCCTTCCATTGCCCTCACCCTTCCACTACTATGACCCTCGCCCTCCCGTCCCCGGCTGACGGTGTTGTTGTGCCACAGTTCATGAGGACGGAGGACCTGGATTGGATGAGCCTGGTCAGTACGACACTCTTGCAACAACCAGTGAAACACTCCAAAGTGGCACCCAATCCATCATCCTCCATACACGGGGCCGGCTACACTTATCATGTGTCCTCCAGTGCGTAGCTGCTGCTTATCTACCTGGCCTGTCTCAAAATTTAACATACTCCCTCCTGTGGCACCTAAACCACCCTCCTTCCATCAGATTGGCTTTACTTATTAAGTGTCGTGCAGTGTATAGTACAGTAATTGCTTGCTTAATTTTCAATACTTTCATTTATGTTATCTGTAACAGCACCGGGAAAAATCATATCAGGGCATACTTTGACATGGAGTTGCTTTAAATATAAGGAGAATCACTTAATTATCGTGGGTTGGGTATAAAATTGAAGCAAAGTCTGGCACTTATTTAGTATGTTATCAGTTTTATACAGTACTGTACTCAGATCCACAGAACACTGAACAGCAGGCAGCGGCACTAATTTTGTTGCTTTGTTGTCATAGGTAAATTCCGAGGGAATGCTTTACCCTTCTTTTATCAAAAGTAGCAATCAATGTTCATGAGATCTTTCTGTTTATACATACTGTTTAACTCCTACTTTTATGTCAACCCATGAATCTTTGACCTATTTTTAGTTTCTCTGCTCCTATCGTGCACCTGTGACCTCTATCCAATATTATTTGTTTCTAACAGCTTAATCTTAAGTTATAGTATAACACCAAGTGTCACCTCTAAACGGTATGTCCTGCATCCTATTAAAATAAATTACCTGTGTATTTCCTACACATTGGTCTATACTCTGTATTCTCTCCTTCTGCTCAATGATTTTTGAAGTTTTAATTACTTTTAGAAAAATCAATTAGCAATACACTCTCAATCTTCATATTCTCCATCTCTCAAGGTACCTTACATATTATCTTAGCAGAATATTTATAACCATGTCTCATATTCCTTCGTCTCACACCCAACAGCAACGCTCACAATATTTGCTAAAGATTACCAACTGTTGGTCGAGCTGTTACGTAACCACAGCTATTATTATCAACTTGTTCTCTGAAAAAATAGCAGAGAGATTGTGTGAACTAGTAATGTACTAAAGGAGGGATGGGTAGGGCTGGCAGAGTGAGTGGCTGTCTTCTTTTGAGAGAATTGTAATTACAAGAACTCCCAACAATTATTTTTCATATTGCAACTTGTCATAAAATACAAGTGAATAATGGCATTACAGCGAGCACAGTTGACCTTTATTTTATTGCATTACACTAAAATTTGATGAAATGGGTATGGAACCACACCCTTGTTGTCAATCCAACCCCTTTTACCAAATCTTACTTAATCTGTCATGTGTAAATACTGTATTATGTTTATAGAGATTGCGTGATGCAGTGTGTAACATGCATGAAGGTGGCTTAAATTTACGCTTTTCCCTTATTTTCAAATACAGGATTCTTCTCAGGTCATTTGGAAGATGTCAACCTTTCATAAATCAATAATGTATTTCCAGTACTCAAGATGATGTCATAATATTTCCATGTCACTCTGCCCTCTGCATCCTTTCATCTTCCCCAGATTTTACAGAGAATTGATATTAAAAATCCTATATTATAAAATGCATGGGAAACATTTTCAAACCTTTTAACAAACATCTTATCACTTATTACAGATGATGGGACAGCCACTACAGTACAGTATATAGTGTTTCATTTATGGAAAAGACACTACCTGAGCCACCTTGTATACTGTATATTATACATATTTAGAGAATGTCTAAGATAAATAGGTTAGATTGATTAGACAGATTGACAGATGAATTTTAAAAATGAGATAATAGATTAGATAAATTATGAAAATAGATAGATTGATTGATAGATATACAGAGTATAGATACTGTACAGGTGTACAGTAAAATTTCACAAAATTGTACATCATATGAAGTCATAAATACATTAAAGTACAAAAATCAGTAAGGACAGGATTAAGTACAGTACTCTCGTTGGCTGCTGCAGATGATTTATAGTTTATGAAGTAGAACTTCCGGTATATCACTCTGATTTTTTTGAATTTTAAGTAAAACTATCAATTAATATTTGTGGTGTCAGTAAGGGCAAACATTAACACACTTTAGTTTTTAGCAGTAACAGATTTAAATAATTACAGGTACTTTAAATCAGTTCATTTACATTACCAAAGTCCAGCACAATATGGCTCGAAGTCTTTAATCCTACATACTATATCTCCCTGCACGTCATGAACATTAGTCTTACAGATTTTGTATATTCATTTCATTGATACTTTTGATGTGGCTTAAACTGCCACAATGACTTCTTTTTTTTTTGACGTTTCATGATCATGTTTTAAAATCTCCTCCCTCTCTTATTCCATCATCTTCAGTTGTATATTAATATGTCTAAACTTGTATAACTACATACAATTGATACAGCTTTCTTCTTTTAAAAGCAGGGTGATGGCATCATTGAGAGCGCTGCCACAGTCACCTCGGAAAATGAACTGTGAAGAGCAACATAAGCCAGCCAGCCTCACTAGAGTGGTGATGGGTACCACTAAGTCCTCAAGCAGGACTCACTGTTCTGTTTGGCATCCAACTCTACACACATGGACTTTGTATAACAATATCCCTTTAACCAGTACTGAGAGAAAATAATACCACCAATTTAATCATTACTACTAAGAAAATAATTTAGGTGATGATTTAGTGAGTCTGTAAAGAATATCATAATTCCTATAAATCAGAATCAGCTATGAAGATCAAGGTGAAAATATTTTTAAACAAAACAGTAAGGAAAAAGACTACAAATCAACAATGGACAAAACAGAGAATGAAAAACCTTCAACTGCAAGAAATATGTCCCCGTTAGATTTTTTATTGAACGTTAAGCATAAGATCCAGAATTTCAGACAATCAACTTTACCCTCATCATCTAACTCATGGATGCTAACATTTCATTCCAACTGAAAAACCCAAATTAATTATCTCTTAAGAATATGTCATTTCACTGGAACTAATGTTATTGTTTTTTTTTCTCATACCTTCACACTTTCCTATATAATGATGCAGGTTTACATTCCTTCTGTGAACCATAAACTTTGTGATGACCGTAAGAGGGACAAGAAATAATTTTATAGTCTGTAGTGAATCCATACTATACTACATTTCTCTTCTTGCAATATATGATAACCAATGACCATTTTAATAATTACAGCACTGGTGTCAAGTCATATGCTCTTTTATTCAAATTGTATAAGTTACAATTTTACTTATTAATCAAGGGTTTGAAATTCATATAAAATAATTATGGAAAGTCATTGAAAAGAGATAATATATGTACCAAAGGATGTTTCTTTTTTCCCCATAAACCAAGATTAATAACATGATGGAATGTATTGAAAAAGAATTGACATATACTTAGTAGATTAATAAATAATTTAACTTGAGGTTTACCCATAACAGCACAAGAGTATTATGCTCCTGAACCTTATGCAGTACTGTACTATCAAAGCCACCGCACAAATTAGTGTAATTCTTTAAATCCAGGTGCAAGTAGCTCAATGTACCTTATGTAGAATCTCAAAAGCTAACACATCATTAGTAGTGTCATCAACATCAATTAGATCCATTTATGTGTAGATAAAGTTAGGAAAGATTATATGTAACCCAAAGTATTCACTGCAAAGACTCGTGTTCTTCTGACCTTTCTCTGTATATAAAAACAAGCACCTCGTCTCTACTCTGTGACGTCCCTTCATTACTCACAAGTTTCTCTCTTCATCTCATTTAATCACTCCTAAACAACTTACATATACAAAATGTTATGTTGTAAAAAGTGTCTTGTCAGAAAGTTCCTCCTATACTTATGTCCAGCCTACCTATAGCATGTTCAGAGGTTTATGAGGGTCGAGTCTTGTGTGTTTACCATCAATTACACAGACGTTTGCAGTGTTAAGGAATAAAAATAATTATTCACTCACCTGTCTGTATAATCCATGATTTTGTAGCTGTTAATATCCAATGAACAATATCTGGCTTTCAAGGGCAATATGTAATTAGAAGAATGGGAGCCTGTTGTATGAGGCCAAAGTGTTGTCTCTCTGCCTGTCCCTGCCAAGGAACAGAGAACTGATATGTGGTCCCCTCTTATACCCCTCTGCTGAAATATAAAGGAATATTTTTATTGTGTTTCATTTACTGTATACCCTGTACTGTATACTAGGCAAATGACAGTCATTACAGTTAGGACACCATACTATAGATCTCCTTTCTCACACTGAAGGCAGATCTACGTAACAACTTACAACCTGCAAGGAACATGGGTGGTGATTATAAGAATGAATAATTCCTCATGTCATCTAAATTGTTCTCATTGTAACATAAGTATGGTCATTAATCCTTAGGCCCCGGGTGACATTCCAGAACGTCCGCCTAATTTCCTGCCATTTTTATTTTATTTTATTTTTTATTTTTTTATTTTTTTATTATTTTCGGAAAAAATATTTTTTTCTCGGTGTAACCCTGCAGGGGGCGGGGGGTTTACTGCCAGCAGCACCCTAACCCAGGGCTTAAGGGTTAAGAGGAATGTCATAACCCAGGGCATGGCATACCCTATTTAATGTTCTCATTAACCAAACCAATCCTGTCCAAATCAGTTAACTCTTTATGGATTCCCCTATGATCTTAAAAAATATGCTCATCTGTAGAAGAGGTAACTCAAGTGAGCCCCTTAAAACACCACAAAAATAGAATTTCTTGTTATCCTATTTCAGATCACACCAGGGGAATGACTGAGCTGTGTCATCGTCTGTACACTGATACACCAGTTTGGTTCAGGAGTCAGATAGTTGGCAAAGTGTAAACAATCCTTGCAACATTAAAAATAAAGACAATAAATTCTTTATTGTATTTGTACCTGCAACAAGTTAGGGGTTTCAACTTATAATCTTCCCAAGTCTCGTTATGAGGCAGTAGCACTTGGCGCAGTGCATAGAGCCATACTGTATATTGTATACAAGTGTGTCATCACAACTCCTTATGCTCTTACAGTATAAAGTAATTGTTACTTATAATCATTGTATTTAAGGGTCTTGGTTGCAAAGGCATAGTAAACAAATTCACAAATTAATTCCCAGTCACCAATATCAGGGGCATATCTTCAGTCTCCTTTTCAAACAAACAATAAAAATTTTCTAAGACAATGCCTCTAAGGTCCAATTTCTATAAGGAATTTTTTTTGGGTGTTGATTACTAAATAGGGAAAGCAACAAGACCAGCATTATGGCTATGTGAGACTTTGAGGCTTGGTTGGTGCAGTGTGTGGTAAACTCACCCACCCACACCTCCCCTCACTGTGCCTTGTGGCTTGAGTTACAGTAACAATAAAGGCCCCTCAGGACACAACTCACATAGCCACAATATCATACACGTACAGGTTTTGCCCTAACTCACAGCCTTAAAGAAATGTCATAAAATATTCAAAATACACATTAGAGTTTTTGAGAGGGATAATAATCAGTACAACTTTCTATATCAAAGAAATAAATATATTTCCCAACATCCATATCATGTCTAAATAATTCAATACTTATAAAAAAAATCATATTTTACATATCCATTAGTCCCTTAGTTATTTCATGTCACCTGTTAAAGAGTAAATGATATACTGGTATGGGTAATTTTTACTAGAGTCCCTCAAACATTACTGGATTATATACTGCATATGTAAAATGGTGGACAATTCTCTACCCCTTCAATTGTTATCTCAAATGTATAAATCTTGATAAAAAATATTATACAATCCAGTGCTAATTTAAGGAACTGATTAATATGCATTATACTGTACTCACACAACTGAAGTCTTAAAATTACTGGACAGAATAAAATAATATATAGTATAATATGATAAAAACAAACAGTACTATAGCACAGCTGGTACACAGTATTTCTCCTTACCTTAAGAAGTTCTCAATGATGACTCTTAAAGTATAAAGTAATACTGACAGTGACCATCTATATAAACCTAGCCTAACCTAAATTATACTAACCTAAACCAAGCCACCCAATAAGCCATCACCCACTGCCCAACGAGGTGGTTCAAGCCGTGACATTTTATTTGTACGACACAACTCCAAATACTTTTCCATACTCCCTCACTAAGTCCTCAAGGTCAATGATGTTATTACTGTATACTGTATTTAGTTTCATAGTTTATAATATTAATCATAACAGGCCTTACAAAACTACAATCAATGAATATAAGGGTAAGTGTGGGATGTTAGTACAATGACAAACAGCAAAGAAGATAAGCAGTCATGCATAAAATGCACATTTACACTGACTGCAGAAACATGAGACTGACCCCTCAGTGTGCAATCCTTACAAGAACCTATAAACTCAGTCACTAAATTAGTACAGGTAGTTCTGCTATAACGCGATAATTGTGTTCTTGTAAAATATCGTGTTATAGAAAATCGCGTAATAGAAATAACAGGGCTTATGGAGAAAATAGGGTTAGGTGCAGATTGCTCGAAATCGAAAAAATTTAGTAGTTAGCCTAACACAAAGGATAGCACAGTCTAAATAAATGTTACATTCATATCTAATAATGAAATCATACAGTAAATTTAACACTTTACCTTGAAAAAATATGAATGTAACTTGATGGGGGAGAAGGGTGATTTTGAGGTTGATAACATCGAGCTTCTCTTCAAGTGTTATATCCTTTCTTTTACGATAATCACCGGGAATTCTATCATCAGAACGCTTTTTGGAGATATTCTTCTTTACCATATTCACAGTTAATACCACAAAATTGGAGAAATAGTAAGCAAAAATCGCGTTATAGCAAACAAGCGTTCGCGTTATACAAATATTGTTCCGAATTCATAAATCGCGTTAGAGCAAATTCGCGTTATCAAAACACGCGTTATAGCAGAACTCACTGCTTCATAAAATCTTATAATTTTCCTTAGTTTCTGCATCACAAGGCTTCATATAGTTTTTATGGTCTCAATTGCAAAATACTGTACACTATTGTTAAGTACAAAACTCCATAAAACAGTAAAATAATAATTCATAACACATACAAAAATAATAAGAAATATATCAATGGAAAAGAGGAGAAGGATCCTTTCATTAATAATAACAGTTATGTTGTGTATGACAAAATATTGTTAACGGCACTACAGTACCCTGTATTGTAGTGTAAAAATCCATCTCTGATGAACTTCTGTAAGTCAGACTGACTCAACCAATACCCAGGACTAGTTATCTTTAAGACAGTGGTTCCTTTCCTAACTTCATTTCATGATAAAACCCTTTCACTGCACCACTTCCTAATAATAACTGCCCACTTTAAACAAAACAACCTCAGTCGCACCACTAGAGATATACTGTACTGTACAGTACACTTCATTGATTCGTACCCTAAACTCCACCAACAATAACAATAAATTTCAGCGTTTATATTATTTTCAACTGCAAATTTATTTAGAATTGAAAAATTAAATATGTATGAAAAATTCCTTAAAAATGACATCATCAAAGGAAGAAAGCAGAGACTGATCATGAAGTCCTTCACCAGGTAGCACTTGTAATACAGGCTGCTTAATGGCAGCCCAAGTTCTCTTAACCCAGAATGTCTATAGGTAACCCAACCACCCTTCCTTTCTTCTCATCAAACCAAATTTCCCAAAGGATGACATAAAGTACAACAGAAGGTCTATCAAAACTATACATCCAGCCTGCACACTAAACTACTTCACTCACCTTTGTTTTACTGACATGTTAGATGTGGCAACCATCGTCTTTTCCCAGCACATGCTTGTTGTTTAGTGCAAGCAAGAAATGACACTTCACTCGGATGACAATCAAACGAGCAAAATTACCTGCATATACAGTGCACTTAAAAGTCTGCAACACCCTGCAACACATAGAAGTTTGAATTGGTGAAGAATTATACATGCTTAAACACTGTGAAGGACTACTGGAGTCAATTTTATGACTCCTAAAGTAAAACTTGAGGCATTGCTAAAGACTTTACATAAATAAGTCAACACCCAAAACATTTGTTGAAAACCCATTTACTTGTTTACTAACACATGCTGAAGCAGACGCTACTTACTGATACAGAGGAACATGAATATGTTTAAAAAAAGATGGGGGTTTCCTTAACATGAATACATACAAGGGAAAGGTGCAAACATGGAAACATTCGTGAGCGAGTCCATTTCCCGTTAATTTTAAAGTAAAATGCCTTTAAGGAATTCTAGAAGGCAGAAGGGTGTGGGGGATCCATCCCCAGCAAATGTGCAGGAGGTGCTAACACAGTGATCTGAGTTGTATGACACCAAGAAACTGCCATTCTATAACTAGATGAAAATTAACAAAGTGTACTATATATACTTTTCAATGGCAGACTTTGCCATTGTAAAACTTAATGCAGCTTTTCAACTAATTAGAAAAACAGATGTATCAGCTTGAAAAGTAGTCAGTACTTGAGTCATCAACTGCCTCAAATAAGATGGTTACTGTTAATACTTCACACCTTTGACATCCTGTTCCCACGTGGATTCCAGTGGACGGCAACAAGTATACCGTACAACATCACTACACATCTTAGTCACTGACCATCTCTTATGGTTCCTGAAGATTACAACAATTTCAGACTCTTTCTGAACAAATACAAATCCATCAGGAATAAAAACTCTGAACTTTCCGCACAGACACACATGGAGTCCCTATGCAATAGCAGTAGTACAGCGCTCTATCCATCAGAAAACTATCCTATTAAACTATGTGTACAGTATATCTTAAATATAGCATCTATATGATGTAAAGTCTTAATGTAAACAATGACAAGTGATATTAGTTCTGGAAATTCAAGAACAATATTCACCTTTAAATTCATTTGCATTCTGGAGTATGTTTATTTATTCATAAGATAAATTCCCTCAATGCACCTCTTCTATCCCATAAGTGAGAAACTGAGCATGTTTGAGTGATAGATACAGGCAACGTTAAAAAATATATGAATTTCCTTCAAGAGTTATCAACTAAACAAGAAGTTACTATACTTGACCTGATAAGAACACTTCTTTCCAGCTAAGAACAAGATGTCCCATATCGATCTTTATTTATCACACAAGTAAAAAAATAAAACGCAGAGCAACTGACAATATATCTTTCCCATCCCTAGCCGGAGTATTCAAAGTACAGACCAGTACATTACTGTAGTCTGAAATTCACCAAAAAAGAAAAAAAATATTTCACCCAATATGAATTTGAACACGAAACTTGATTCAGTCACTTCATGCTTTCTATTTATCCTTTTCACATTCATCAGCTTTGGTACCAATAACAAAAATAGTCAAACGTCCAGGATTACCAAGTCTACGTCATTCTTTAAACATAAGGAAGTGTTCAACATAAGGCCAGACAAAACTAGGGTCACATTCCCACTACAATAAAAGTCGATGCAGGAGAAAAAATATTGAAAGGCCTACAACTCCGACATTTTTCTGGTGATACGTTCCTACGAAAACCTCTACAAAAATAGTGGTTGCCAACAACTTAGGTTCCCAGTAGAAGAGAAAATAATGTTGATCCCTGATCCTATGTTATCAATATGGAAGTACAGATTTATTTTACTTTATTCACAGCAATTCATTATAAGACATATACGTATACAGTACATTACTAAATTACTATTCGCTGTGCATATTCTTTAACACTATAAAAAGCTAATTACTAATGCCCTTAAAGTGCATGATCTTACTAGTTACTGGATCCTCAATAATGTTACGTAAATCACTGAGCAACTCAATACAATAACAATGTGTATCTAATAATGATCTAGCACACACCAGAAGAAATAACAGAGACAAAACTAGGAACTAACTCTGTAACAGGAGCTAAACACATACAGTTCAATGTGTAAATCAGTGATGCAGACAGACTACCAACAAAAATGAATCATAGTAACAGTATATTTTTTGGTACAAGTTATGATATTAGGGTTTTTGATTGTAAGTGACTCACCTCACCCAGGCATTTTCAGTCCCACATCAGTTAAATTTATGAATACCAACACAGACTGACCTACTAACTTAATGTTTGAATCAGCCTGGACTAACACAGCTTACAACCAACAAGATATACGGTACAATGTTTAGGATGGTATTAAAATCAAGCCAACCTCCTTAAGTGTAATAAATTAGTACAAAATTTTGATAAATGCAATTACAGTATTGTGGATCCTCGTGAAGATCGATGCCACTGTTCCAAATACTGTACACCAGTTTGAAGTGAGGTAAAGATTCTATATAAACACACACACAGACAGATATTGCCGACGGTAAGAAAGTCAAACCATAAATGTCACTTCTCAAACATATTTTTCCTTCTTTACTTCTCAATGTATCTATAAAACTTCTAAAACCATGACTTCTTTTGAATTATATGAAGTTACAACATGTTCCTTGGGGTTTTAGTCAGTCTATTTTCGCCTCTTTCTAATATGTTCAACCCTGGTCAATGTGTGTGACCTTCAAGGTAACGTACCTTACCCTGACCTTGGTTGTCTTACATGACCGTAACCTTTGATGTCATGCCTTAACCTTGACCTTGAAACGGCTGTATCTAATTGAATAACCACTTTGTCCCACACAAAAAAAATTCTCCGTTGGGTTTTGTGATCTCCATTAGTTTACAAGGCATCCCTAGCTAAATATACACACATACAAAGGTAATAACCACACAATCGCACGCAGGTAACTTGCCCCGTAGTAGATGATAGACACAACACACCGGTGTGAAGAATACATGAATTATCTCATCATAAATCTTTACTTTAATTTAAACAACTTGTTGCTAAATATCAGAGACGATGACACCGAAACGTTTACATGATCTTTCCATTAAAACTGTTCTCGATATAGTATTGTCAGTACAGTGGTCCCTCGGTTAACGAACACAATTCGTTCCAGAAGGTCGTTCGTTAACCAAAACCATTGTTTCAATGGGATTTTGGGTAATTGGTTCCAGCTCACCGAAAATTACATACAAAGTAAAAAAAAAAAATGCAGTAAAGTACACTTACTTTGAGGTGTGTATGTAGAAGGCTCCTGGTTGATGATGATGATGATGGGAATTAGAAGTGGGGTGGAGGAGAAGGGAGAAGAGAAGGAAGTGGGGGTGGAAGAGAAATCACCCCATGCTTCATGCCGTCATTTCACCCATAAAATTTTAAGTTAACTAGGTGTAATTCAAGATTATTTTCTTTAAATCAACACTGCACTGCACTATATATTGTCAATATGTCAAATAAATTTCAGAATGACCAATAATTGTACTGTAAAAACGTAAAATTACTGTGTTCAAGAGACCCACAAGCAAGATGTTTCCTCCACTGAACAGAGATACAAACTGAGGCCTTGGTGGGTGAGTGAAGTGGCTGTTGGGCACACCAAAAACTAGTTCCCTGTACTGCAATTATGTTAAATAAGTGTTGAAATTACTAAAAAATTTAATATAAAGCTTGGAAAATTATTGAATAGTACAACCTTCTTGATATTTACTCCAATTTTAACGAATGTAAGCCCTAGAAGCGATTTCTGTATTGGCAGACTAATCTTCCAGCTGGTGAGCAAGCCAAAGCATGTTGAAACATTTTCGTAAGAATTTCGTTAACCGAATTGAATATTCTTATGGTAGGTAATTCGTTAACCGAAATTTTGTTAACCGAGGCGTTCGTTAACCGAGGAACCACTGTACAGAACACTATAGCCTAACCTAAACTTCAGAAAAATTTGTATATACTGTATATATAAAAGTACTGTGCAAGATTCATTGGGAATACGGGTACTCTGTAGTATTGTACTTTCCAATCAAGAGAAATGGAAAAGGACTTCAAAATAACACAATGGTTAGAACATTAAACAAAACAAAATAATAAATTTATAGAAAATATATAACAAGATGCTGCATTTGATTATGTGCCAAAAAATTAAAAATATAAGATGGATACAATACAATGATGACATGAACAGAATTACATAATTATCCATTTGATTGATTACGTTTTCTACCGATCACCCGTCTGAAATTATCGACACATTTCTTCATCCATATCAACCATCTGAATTAATTATTAACATGTACACCAATCATCCATCATTTTCACCCATGCTACAGTAAAAATAATAATTTCCAATTACTTATTTCAGATATCTGCTCTTACAACTGACACACCAAGCACTCTGTTAAATATTTCAACATTATAGCCATGTCACACGAGAGGTCTCAATGACAAATACAAAATAATGGCCACAAAATACGCAAATTGCCTGGTCAGTTTGTTGGATACAGTGACCTTGACCAGCGACCTTAAATATTTAACATGTACAGTAGCTAAAACAACTATCTGGGCACATTTTGTGGGAAACAATATGAGACCATGGACGATAAATTTTGGTATATGAGGGCTGTCACTAGTCACCCCCACCTGCACAGATAATTGTTTTAGCTACTGTACATACTGTACTATATAAGTTACATATCTCTGAGGGGTAATTATCATGCCTGGTGAAGGGTGGTGATGTTCGGTTGTGTGCAGTGACGTGTAGACCAGGAAGGTATTTTGGGGCCTTGTTTTGGAGGGATTATACCATTGAAGAAAACATTTGTTACTGAAATATGACTGAAAGAATGAAGTGAGTCTGTGATTACTCAGGATTCCAATGAGAAAAAAGCACAAAAAAGTAAAAATTATATCAAGTTGAACCACCCAAAATTTTAGACTCGTTGTCAGAACAAATTTTTGATTAGCTTCCACTGACAGACTCACACACAACATGCACAATGACAGTACCAGTCTGCCTAACCTTTTTCTCATGGAAGTTATCCTAAAGATGAAAGGCCACTGTATTGCACATGTTCCAAGCTAGTTCATGTGTGCTAGTCTATGCAACATAACAGTGGTAGAATGAGATGAATTCTGTGAGGATGTATCATTATCAGAGTTCATATAGGAGGGATGAGGAAATCAAATGTGGTGATATAAATACAAAAATTAATTGAAAGACTAAGGTGGTACCAAAAATGAAAGAAAGGAACACAATTGAGTTTGATAAGTTGAAAGAAATTGAGTAAGGTTGAAGGTAATAAAATGAAGGTAATAAAATATAAAGGTAGAAGAGAGGATACACATAAAACTTGAGAGAAAATGTGTCAGACATACATGACAGTCATGTCATATGTCGATACAATTAAGGTTGTCATGAAAATTAAATATTATTAAATCTAGAGCTACCATAGAAAATACACATAATACATCATTTATAATTCATCTTTAACTAATATCCCTCACAAAATCTTTATCATTACAATAATGACCCACATGTAACAATATTCTCTGAGTAAGAGAACTCAAGTCAATACTGCGTGTATCATAAAAATATCAAAATTCTAATTGAAAGCCAATGACTAGCATATTGTATACTGTCTACAGCACACACCCTACTGGTTGTTTTTGCTGCTTCGAAAGACATAAAACACAAAAATTTAATTTTGTAAACAATATTTTGATCATGTCTTAGCACAAAGTTTAATATCTTACCTAGGATGTCTACATTTTGGTACATTTTCTGTTACACTGGTAAAATCATTGGAATGCTGTTATTGAAGTACAGTACAGTACTGGTACTCTCTGTGGAGTAAAGAAGCCTGCAATACTAATATTGCTTCCTGAAGCGTTAATAAATAATTTATATGGTATGAAAGTCAGACCGTGAAAGGGACAACTTAAAAACATATTTTTGTTACAATGGGTCGTGTGCCTTCACGGCAATAACTTATCAAATGCTAAAAGAAGTGTAGATATTGTTCATCACTGATTTACAATACATGTATATAAACACACTTGTGACTACACCATATGTACACCAATGCATGTACACACACACACACATACACTCTCTCTACATGACTGCTAAATGAACAACTCTATTTCAACCATTAAGAAACATTATCAAAAATTTGTAGATGTCTTGAATATTCCCTTCAACTTTCCTTTTTTGTACTAAATCTGCATTAAATATATATGCTTATCCTTCTCTCCCCCAATTTACTATTGTACCATGTATGTTCTTTTGGATATTTTTCAACCTGTGCCTTTATTTTCATATGTCAATTCACACACACACACACACGCATGCGCGCACACAAGCGCACGCGTGCGCGCGCGCACACACACACACACACACACACACACACACACACACACACCCCCCAAGAAGCACATTAAATGGTGTTAAAGGAGACTCATTTTGCAATTTCATTATAAAGTGTATCGGTTTCATACAGTTGAACTAAATTGTATACAATAAGAATACAATATCTTGTACACAACCAAGAGTTACAGACTGACTTGTTAATTTATAGACAGATATGATCTGTGTTAACAATAATTCTACTCTTTAAGACCTGTTGCATTAAAATCCTGATTATCCACAACAACGACCTTTGATAAGTTTGATCATTTTGTGTCCTTAGGTTCCACTACCCACTTGACATGGAAATGTATATAAAATAAAAAGTTTGGATCATCAGGACTCTGCTCTGGCAAGAGTTGCATATACAAGGCTTATGTGCCTGTGTCTTCTAGGTGACTTAACTTACTATGTGCTGAGACCTAACCTACCTACACCAGTTACTTTAGGGCTGGGACCTCACCTGGCTACATACACCAGTTACTTAAGTTACTTCTCTGTGAACTTTTAACTATGCCAGTACTTTAAAAATAAGTAAACTAATTCCCATGAGAAGTACACCCCTATATTACACCCAAGATACACAATAATACACTGGAAATACAAAATATGTATGAGTGTGAGCTGCTCGTACTTAACAAACCAACAGTCGAGTGGTTCACTTCCCCCCAGTGAGTTACTGTTCTTAATCAACATAAGATGAAAGAGTTCCCAACATTATATTCCCAAAATGGAAACCTGTTTAAACAATATTATATCACAAGAAGACGGTTTAGCGCAGACAAAGCTAAACACGATGAAATCAGATGAGCAGGTGGCAATGAGCTTTATGCTACTGTTGCCACCTTTTACTAATGGTGGTGTTCAATGCTAAGGACAAGCGGGAGAAGAAAACCAACGATGAGGAAGAATAACTGCGTGCGGGAGAGGTGGTCGATGCCTCCTCCTCCTCCAACATCGTGGCTGTGGCTTGACAATTCCGGCAGGACGTGAACAATAGATACATAAATGAAGGTGCCAGCGCTGAATAACAGAGCAATACCCGTACTCCGAGATGAAGATAAAGATGCTGTGCCACTCTGGAAGAAGTTAAGTATTTTACTTTAGTATTTCCTATAAATTCTGCTACCGGTACAGTGTATTCTTTACATCTGATAATATATTACCAAAGAATAATAAAGTTAAGAAAAATGTTAATTTTGTGAGTAAAAAAAACTTTAAGTTCCTAAAAACTAAAACGATCTATTAATATCTTAGCTTACCTGCATAATGCCGCTGTATGTTAATACAGTGCCAATTGGAGCAGCAAGTGCAAATATTATAAGGTGTCGGTGGATCTTATTTTTATCCAGACCAGCATGCATGAGGAAGGTGACAAGGCCAAATGCAGCTGGGGCCTGGTGGTGACAAACGGAACAAGAATTAGCCATTTTCAAAGTAGAGTACTGTACATTAGCCCTGATACTAACACACATTCATACATTATATTCACTGAAAATGTCGAAATCAGAAGTTTATGCACCAACTGTCCATTTTCTCTTTTCCCAACAGACATACACACGAACTTTCAACCACATCTCACTTTGTCAACACACCTTATGGAGCATTATTGCAAAGAAGACGATCATCTCAACGTCCGTCTGTGAGGAAGCAGCAGCTGCGCCCAGAGCAATGCCATCAGCTGCGGAAATGGAAAAGTAGCCAGTGTTATCCTGTAGGGCATAAATTATGATCAGTGAGCTGGGGGGCATAATTATGTGCCACAGTGATGAAGCATAATTATGTATCAGAGCAGGGCTATATATGTGTCATAGAGAGGCAGTGTGTGTGTGTGTGTGTGTTCTTTCCATTTAATCTGTTTTTGTTATTATTTCACTTGAATTTGAATTAGATAATGTTCAGTGTACAGTACATTAAAACTATGTATCTTAAAGGTGTTGACTCGCTAATTCTTATGACAGGAAATTCACCCTTTTCCATCACATGTAAGCGACTAATAAGAACGTAACCTCCCCTTACTGCATTAATTCTTATGAGGAAAAATTCCCCACAAATAGTAGTTTCAATATTCACCCTGTGTATGTTAAAACTGGCTGGGAGTGTGGATTTATGCTTGAAATCCACAACAGCTGACCTGTAACTGCCAAATAGCATGATTCATCATACATCCTAGTGTGAAGTCTACTCAAATGCTTCTACCTTTAATGGTGACCTTTGCTCCTAAATCTCCCCTTTTAAGAGCACTGGCTGTACAAGGAAGAAAATTAACCATTTGATTAGTTCTGAGTCATTAGTGTTGAGAGTCTCTTGAGTCTGTAGCCTGAAGTTTAGTGCAGGCATCACACTTATTTTGCCTGGTGAGGGACATTAAGTATTAAAATAAAACAAGAACATTTCCAGCAGTAAACTTACCTGCTGCATGTACCACCAGACCAAGTGTGGCTGTGAAAGGCCTACTGCTCCTACCACTGCCGTTACTCTCTGCATCGGCTGTGTAATGTTAGGAAAGGAGTATGATTAAAAAAACTGCAGAACTAATGTTTTGGGATTATGAACTAAATGTTTGCAATTTCCAATAATATAGATATTACTTGGGTTTTTTTGAACGATGAGATGTGTTGCATAGTTTACTTATAAATAATAAAATCCTTCAAAAATGAAAAGTAGACACAAACAAGTTCTTAGTAATTTGTACAAAATCAGTTATAAATGATGAGTTGGTCCTGAAAATCACATTTAATAGCTAAATCAGTACAAGAAGACCCATGTATTGTAACCATCAAGTCTGGTGATTGCAGTTCTGCCTAACCTTTAGCAATAACAGTGAACATTAATTTACAATAGGACCATGAAAATCTAGATATCAATTATCTGTGAGACTACATGGAAAAAAATGACTCTCACCAACACTACAATAAGAAGATAATGCACTACAGTATTCTGAATGTCTCCTCACAAATGCAAATAATATACACAATCAGTTTTGTAGACTTGAACCCAGCAAAAATACTCATTAAGTGTCCAGATATGTTTAGAATTCAACACTTAACCCCTCGTGTACAGGGTTCCCTCCGCGCTGAATAAAATATAGAAAATGTCGTTCCCATAGTGAATGGGCTAACTTCCCTCAGGCATAATAGTTACAACTCACTGTCCTTCTAAATCTTCAAAACTGTGACTCCATACTTTAGGTCACAACAGTTACCTGGTGCCCGGTGTCCTCCTGAAAACCGGTCAATGAGAAGCATAAAAAGGAAGCCAAAGAGGAGAGATGGACCAATGAGAACGTGAGGCTCCATTTGAGAGCTCTCTTCGTGGGCAACTTCATCATGGGGCTCACTCGGACTGACTGATGGAGAAGATTTATATAGTTAGTACAATATATATATATACACACCTCTTTATTGTGACATTAAATAACAAAATCAAGTGGTGTCTTCTCTTTTAACTGTGTGATGTATTATAGGAGGTAACCATGAATGTGTCACTTGAAGGTTAATGTAACTGATAAGTGACTGTAAACAAGATGCAAACAATACAGATGACATTCTATAATAGCCAATCATTGTTTTATTGGTACATAACTGATCAAACTTCAGACGACGATGATGATGATGCTTAACCTTAAATATGAAATACTGACAATAACTGTTTGAACTATCCACCAATGCATGGAGAGTCATTAAACCATTGCATATAGAGAGACGTGTTCCTGGTGACGTTATTTTTTACATGAGGTATATACTGTATCTATACCATTACAGGGCATTAGGCAACTGTACTATGAATTATCAACCATCTGAATCAGCCCTGGTCTCAAGGTAGCAGGATAACAATGGGATCAACCTGTACAAGCAACAACTATTGAAAATCCAGTAAACCAACAAATATTGCAATGACCAACTCCCAAAACAATGGAGTTCTGTGATATTTGTTACCTTTGTGGACATGTGGCATGCTGAATAATGTGTTGACTCCTTCTGGTATAATGACTGCCAGTGCTGTTCCTACAAGTAAACCTGCACCTAGTGTTGTCATCATCTCCAGGCGATCCTGAAATTATAATGCTCATCAATACTTCAAACGTTGGAGGAAATTTGATCAGCTATGCAGCACCTGGAGATGAAATCGGCCCAAAATATTAAAAAAAACACCCCATCTTTTTATGCATGTACCATTATGACAAGAATGTGGGTGATATTCTGAAATGAAGGGAAAACATAACCACATAAAGACATACATTGTAATTAAGGAAATATTGGTGTAGACTCAACCTAAGGAAGTTTACATCTACATAAAATACTGTAGTGTTTTGTTAAGCTGTGTAAATCACTTGCAAGATATCAGAAGCACAACATCCATGCAGGCCTTTGAGGCATAGCCAGGAGAAATTTATAATTTAAAGAGATTGTAAAGTCAAGATCATTGTGAACAGATACCAACCTGACAATAGTGATCTGGACACAGAGGCACCTGCCTGAATCCAGTTACAATACCTGAGTAATCAAGTATTAATGCAGGCAGGCTGTGGCCTTCCCACCATCACTGAATTGGCACCTTCAGGTTAGGTAGGATAGGTTAGGTAGGATAGGTTTGGTAGGATAGGTTTGGTAGGATAGGTTTGGTAGGATAGGTTTGGTAGGATAGGTTTGGTAGAATAGGTTTGGTTTATTAATTAACCTAGAGTATAGAACGTAGCAGCAACTGGTACTTCATGAATACTAGTAGCTGTTAGGAGTTACCGAGAGGGACTGTTTTTATCATTCATAAAATGAACCAAACTAAACTACCTCACCTAACCTACCAAATTTAATACGGTATTTTTATTTTCTAAAAAAAAAAAATAATAATAATGAAATGAACTTATACCAAGACGAACAACAAACATTGTATACATGGCAGGTGGGTTTTGGAGTCATTTGCAGACGAGTAACAGAAAAGTGATCTATGCAAAATGTATTGTTCAAGCATTTTTTGTCCATTTCTCCAGGTAAAATGTCTACTAGTAAGTCGTTAAGGCATATAATTGGTCATAAATACAGCAACTGGCATGCTGCATTTAAAACAGTAAAATTATCGTTTCGGTCATCCACCTATCTGGAAGTTGAAATTAATAATTCAAAACACATAAAAAACCACCGGAGAAACATTCTCAACCTAACATAATATAACCTAACCCAACCTAACCTAACCCAACCTGACCTAATCCAAACCTGCTGGATGACCGAAACGATACCTTAAAACCAACACTTCTTGTCTGATAAGTGAAGTTAGGTCAGGTTAGTACAGCATTTAGATGGGTTACACCAGATGGAAATAAACTATCTGATGGCTTTTTTTAATATATCCTCGTTCAAACTGCCTAAATATCATATCATTACCCTGCATTATTTGTCAGTTTCTAGAGCTAAGGGAACGTTTATCACCTACGGAGAGAGGTCCTCTAGTTGGTGTTAAGGTCAAACTACTCTCATTAAGTATTATCAGGTTTTATTTGGTCATAAATTAATCTATGGCCGCCAGGTGGAAACAATAGTGTGTTCCTGAGTAGAGGTGATGTGAGGGAGGCTGTGTCAGTAGAGGTGATGTGAGGGAGGCTGTGTCAGTAGAGGTGATGTGAGGGAGGCTGTGTCAGTAGAGGTGATGTGAGGGAGGCTGTGTCAGTAGAGGTGATGTGAGGGAGGCTGTGTCAGTAGAGGTGATGTGAGGGAGGCTGTGTCAGTAGAGGTGATGTGAGGGAGGCTGTGTCAGTAGAGGTGATGTGAGGGAGGCTGTGTCAGTAGAGGTGATGTGAGGGAGGCTGTGTCAGTCTGTGTCAGTAGAGGTGATGTGATGTGTCAGTAGAGGCTGTGTCAGTAGAGGTGATGTGAGGGAGGCTGTGTCAGTAGAGGTGATGTGAGGGAGGCTGTGTCAGTAGAGGTGATGTGAGGGAGGCTGTGTCAGTAGAGGTGATGTGAGGGAGGCTGTGTCAGTAGAGGTGATGTGAGGGAGGCTGTGTCAGTAGAGGTGATGTGAGGGAGGCTGTGTCTGTGTCAGTAGAGGTGATGTGAGGGAGGCTGTGTCAGTAGAGGTGATGTGAGGGAGGCTGTGTCAGTAGAGGTGATGTGAGGGAGGCTGTGTGGTGTGTCTGCCTCCCACCACCTTCACTCTCATCGTTACCAGACAAAAACTAACAAATAAAATGACTGTTTCCCTGGAAGTAACTCGAGGTATGTTAAATAATGAGACACGTGCTGTACCTCAGACATGGGCATCTTGAGAGGTATATACCCAGAGCCATAACACCCCATGAACATTGCAATGGACATGATCAACAGTCCTGCCACGGGATCCATATTTCTCAGCTCTACGACTCTTGGACGCTGATCACTATTAACTTATGTATCAAGATGCCATACAGAGACGGTATTTGTCCCTGGTAGGTTGTGTTAGAGCGTGTTTAGTCCTGGTGACAGAGAGTCTCGCCAGCTGGTCTTGTGTACACCTGGACCAGACCTTCTCTTGTTCACCCGTAATGTTAAGTTATTACTACGAACATGGATGATAAATTCTTCTCATCTTCAATTGACCCTTCATACTGCTTAAGACACTGAATATTTATTGAGTTATCGTTAACTATATTAGGGTGTTTAAGTTAATGATAAGTATATTTGAGTTGTCTTCTAAACGTTAATGGATAAGCTTAAAGTTTTGTTCGTAGTATTTTCCTAGCATTAGTTATCTTGCTGGTGGGGAATGCTAGGGGAAACTTGGAAAAAAATAACTTTTAGTTTATTCTATGAACTATGCCTAGGAATTAGTATAATATCTATAACTTAAAACTTATACTAAATGTTTATGAGTTACTGGTTGGTTAAATTAAATAGGAAATCTATGGTATTATATATATATATACAAATTCATTGGATTAAAGATTTTATTTATAAGTATACATCATAAATTACAATAAGTTTAAATCTTATAAACACAAATTTATATCAATATAAATTACATTAAATCTAGAACAAATGTTAAAGTTTTCCTCTCCCAAAACAGACGAGGGAAAAAAACTATCATATTATTCCCTAATGCTAATAATTCACAAATAATTTTGGTGTTTTTTAATAATACATTTATAAATTATCCTCATCTTCAGTATTATTGGATGATATTAACAAAATCTTAAAAATAGTAAGAAATATAACTTTTATTTTTTGGGATTAAAATGTGCCATAATTTCTCGTATTCCAATCAGCCTAGGGGTTTGACGTGGCTGACAGGTGATGCTATGAGGCGCTCCGTGTTATTATTGGCCTTTGTGAGTATAATAAACCTTCTCACGCCTTGTAAATGACCATACATACACATAATATAACCATATACTATGAATCGGTGTAAGTTTAACCATAGACCAAACAGTAAATCCATAGGAAGGTAGAGTTTAACCTCGGGACCGTATCTGAATCGGGTTGAAAATCGGTCACTTGTATATTATCAATAATGATTATAATTACATCAATAATGACCACTGTATTTTATGACTGGTTGTGTATTTATGTATATCAAGAAAGACTATCTAAGTTTTATTGTCTTAGAAGTCCTTAGGAAGATATGGCCGGTCCTAAGGTAATTTTGACTGGACACCTGCAGACCCTAATGACTAATTAATAATATATATATATATGTTTTTTGTGTTGCTTTATCCATCTTGTGTACGTCAGTTGAAATAAAATATTAATATAAACTCACAAAATTAAGGTATAGTCTCCTTATGAAACTCATATGCTTGAAAACCAAACAGAAAATTCATGTACAGTCTGGTTAGGTTAGGTTAGGTTAGGTTTGGTTGAAATTGTGGGGTTTGTGTGTGTGTTTTGAACGATTCTGACCTTTGGAAAATAAGTGCGTGACCGAAACAATTTTACCGAAAAAATTGTCTCGAGTGTGTGATGCCAGGCCAGTGTATCATCCTTAAGAGTGGATGACTTTATTATACTGGTTAATATGTGGTGATTTTGTGTCCTAACAACGTAGAAACAGCATTAACGGAAGGCCGAAGGTATCTGCAGCCGAACGTTATCATTAAGGGTATTGGCTGTAGGTAGTGAAAGTGCTATTTGAACCTGAGGTGTGTCAGTGAAATTCGGGTCAAATCACTTCGTCTGTTTACACCCGATATAACCAAAGTGTATCTAATGAAAGAAAGATGAAGAAGATGTATGTAACTGTTTAAATTAGAGTAAAAATGGTATTATGGTCATTTTGGTCATCCGGGCAAATTTGGGAATTTAGGTTGTTAGATATAGTTCCTGGGTTCTGTGATTAGATCAGGTTAGGTTAGGTAAGATAAGATCAAAATCGTTCAAACACCGTCAGATTGATATAGGGATGACTGAAACGATAAGTTTACTTTAAAAATTAACCAAGTTGACCAACAAAGTTATTTGTGCCAACTCAGTATTCATTGTTAATATTTACATTAGAATTGTGAAAATTAAAAGCATCTCATACATTATACTGTACAGTACTTAGGTACGTATCTGGTACAGAACCTGACCTAATCTTACCTAACTCCCTAGCCGGGAGCACTCCGCCCCTGGACCCCCTTCCATATCAAGCAGAACGAGCTTGCTTTGATATTGGGTACCTAACGTTACCTAACCAAAGAAACCTGCCTGCCTTCCCTTACCTATTGGTTTGTTTAAGAGATAGTGAAACTGTTATCTGCACCCGAGTTTGTCAGTTCAAAATTCTTATAATATTTGATAATGGTGTTGAAATCTCAGGTTCAAATTATAGCTTAACTATTTGCACACTATTTAAGTCATCAAGGGGATTGGTTTGTCAGTGCAAAATTCGCGTGTAAATACTGAAATCATCATTTGTACTATCAGTTCCAAATACCCTCTTTGTTAACAGGGACCGAATGTGAAAAAGACCTGGGTGTATACAGTATGTTGACAATGAACTGAAGGTCTCAGGACATTATGAGAAGGTAAATCAAGCAACTAATCTAGTGCTGTAGGTCTTACAAGAAGGTCGTTCAGATATCTAGACAGTCGTAATGCTCTTCAAGAGTGAGGTGTTTTCCCATTTGGAGTACTGTACTGTCACCCCGTCTGGTCCCTGAGATATGCGAGAGACTCGGTTGATTGAAAATGGCCATATTAGGGCCACCAGACTAGTGCCTGCACTACAACCTCATTTACCCAGAGAGATTAGAATGCCTGCATCTGCCTTGCTTATACTAGGGTGTATAGGCGGACAAGGGGCGACTTAAATTAAGTATTTAAACATCTTGGAAGGCACTACTCAGTTGAGTGTCGATCCCTGCAGCTGGCAGACACTCATTATTAGGGGTCACAGTTCAGTTGTTGGGCAAACTTTTTTGGAGTGAGAATTGTAAACTCTGGGAATAATCTGCCAGAGAGTGTTGCGACAACACCAAGTGTGAGCTCCTTCAAGTCCAGACTTGACCAACACTGGCACAGGTACAGATACTGTATATTCTGGAGCCAGTACTTACCTATAGTGCATAACAGATGTGATTGACCACCCAAGTGGCTGATGAGCCAATGAATGGCGAAGAGGATAAAAGTAAAAGTAAAAAATAATGTAATGAAATAACTGAGTGTGGTACTAATGAAAAACTTGGTTGGTTAAGGCCCCTCAATGAGAATAAGCTTCTAATGAGTTTCTTGTGCTGTTCCTTGTTGAAATGATTTACTTTTGTCATTATTGGTGTTTCCACTGTTATTAAACATACTGAGTTACTAATATGAACTTGTATGGCAATATTACTGAATGATTAACTTGGTGCTTGACTTTTATTGAGTGTGTTTATTTGTTTTCCATTGATATTTGAAACTCACTGGATTTTACAACTTCTAAATACAGTAGTATTCACAATACAGTACAGACAAAAGAGACTTACCCACCTAACGTAATCAAATGTTTTTAGTAAAGTAGGTGAGGTTTGATTGATTCTTTTTGTCAGTCATTAATTATACACCATTAAACTACATCTTAGTGTTTTATCTTATCCGTATGACTCGGGGGACTTGATTGTAAAGTTTGCACAAACCTCCAACAGGGAAACACAAGGCCAATTCCTGTGGCAAACATATAACACTTTAAACATCCATAAACAGTACACATTTATTGCATTGTATAATTGTGCAGTATTGTGTTATGATCTGTGTTTAAGGGTGTCAGTGGTGAGGTTAACATCAGGTGAAAGAAAGAGGGTTCCTGTCTTCACTGCGACTTGTACCTAGATCCCAATTGGAATTCTAATAAAGTGACAGCCCTATACTTTTACTGTTGTGTTTGATAATTTGTTTAGGAGATGTATTAATAGAGCACAGTACTGTATACATTTCCTACTAATATATTATCACACTGTACCATGGTATTATAACCTTCTTAGGAAACATTAGTACAATTCTGTTTACCTAATTACTACTTAGTGCATAAACTGGTGAAATAAGCAGAGGTTTCTACTCTTCTTGAGATCTAGTCATCCATTCCTTACTGGTGCTCACTATGTACTCTACACTGCTAAATCATGTACTGTACAGTACTGTATATATGAAGAGACTAGTTAACAAAAGATTGATGTCCCTCTTTTGAAATGTTCCTGTACCTGTTGCTGATCTGTTTATGCTTCTTGGGGTTTGCATTACTAGATTAAGCCCTCACGGAATGGCCAAATACCCCTGTGGTTTTTGTGGAACTTATAAAATGTGTTTTGGGGGGGGGGAAATCCGGTACTTTTGACATCCTTTAGATTGAGTCGTATCTTATCAAGAGTGACACTTGGCTTCACACAGTAATTATCAGCCCCCCACCCATCTCTGTCTGGCTACCTGATGCTTCTCTCTCATAATAATTCTCATCAACAAAGAGAAATTTGGATTCGTTATTGTAGTGCTTCAACTCTCTCATTGTAACAGGCTTCTGAATTTTAGTTCTTAAGTTCGTATTAATTCCTGCTCTGTTATGTGTCACTGTTTTATCACTGCCACTTATGAAAGACCTCAGGGGATTAATTATCAGACAAAATGAATTGATGATATTGAGTATATTTCTTATCTTTCTTGTCAATTAATAACTTAGTAGACAATTAAATTATCGTTTCTGAGGTAATTATTGATAACTGCGTATAGGGTAATTATTAATATGCATTGTTATTCATTTTATACTTGATTGAAATGAGGAAACATAGGTGAAAGTTAATTGACTAAATATTCATCACAGTTGGGTATAATGATCTCAAATATGGCTATACTGTACTGTACACTGTAGGTGTTGTCAGAACGGCAAGCTTTATAATTGTTTTGGTCTATCATTCGCCCGTTAAGTGTATCTTCTACCTTTTGGAATAACTTAGTACTGTACACTATATATATTTTTTGTTTAATATTTTCAGCTATGTGGGGCTGTGGTGGTGAGCCTGGCAGCCAAGTCCCAGAGTTATGTTGAGAGCATAGCTGACCCCAAGGTGAAGTACTGTTTCCTAATCATTTGGATATTTAACGTTTTCTTTGGTTTTGGATTATTTTGTTTTTTGAGAGTTTGTAATGTATGTGGTCAATATATTATACTTAACCTGGTACAGTATTTTGATATGATTTGAGACAGAGTGAGTATTTTGTAGTTTGTTTATTTATTAAAAGGTTAATATACAAGATGTGCATCATTCACAGTCTGATTCGGTATTGTACTTTGAATTCAGGAATGGAAGAAACTTCTCAGAACTCGGACAAATATACTGGTCTTATATTCTCGTGGGAAAATCAAGCAGGAGGTGAACAACGTCTTCAATGAGGTGTCCCGTGAGCTCCGCGGAACAGCCACCCTGGTTCACGTTGACTGTACAGGGTAAGCTTTATGCCTGGCCTTATCTTGATATTTATGGCCACAAGATTGTGACGGATAGACCCTTCTGAGTGCTCTCCACATCTTGATATTACCCACACTATTCCACACACACACACACACACACACACACACACACACACACACACACACACACACACACCATGACAAAATCCTTATAGTGTGATGTAAACTTTCTCCCTCTTTTCGTTGCTACACTCAACCCACCACGCTTGTGACACAGTTCAATTTCCAGAGGGAGTAGCAGGTGGAGGGGTAGGATATTAAAGTGTTTTTCTGGGATGTTTATAATTCCATTTTGAATATCCATTTGTGGCAGAAGCAAGGTAGAGAGTGGTATTGTTATAAATGACATATCCTCTAATGAAGTATATCCTCTCAAAGATGTTATCCTGTACATAATGGTATAATTACTGATTGTGGTTTAGTATTTAAAAATTTTACTTGCGGGTGCACACGCGTGCACACATACACAGGAATTTTTTTACTCTGTCAGCACATTGGGGTTTGAGCAAGCCTTTAAAAATATGATAAGATATAAGTGAGGTTTACAAAATATTTAATCATGAATAATGATGGCAGTAAATGATCTAGTAACAAGAATGGCTTATAAGATGATGATGAATAAGATAGACTTGGTAGATGATAAGATAAAGGTGATGTGCTTATATGCTGTACACTGTGGTCTCTAACTTTTAAATTTTTCACTAGGAAATCCTTTGACCTAAAGTGACACCTGTAGTATCTGGCTGAACATTCATCTACAATTCAATCATAGGAATTAAAGTTACATGATTCCACTCCAGAGATATTATTACTGCTTAGCCCTGACAGCTGGATGTACAGGTATTTGGTTGTAAATAGCAGGTGTGGGCTCTGAAGAGATGAGGAATTGAGCAGGTGTTCAACACACTTGTCAGGTTTTTTATTGCACAGGTTTTCTAATACAGGTGTTCAACATCTGTGTACTGTATATTATCTGTTGATTAATATCTTACAATAATTTATATCCATACTAGGAAAAATGTATATACAGTACCTGTAGTACAGAATATTTTATATAAATTTTTCTAATCTGTTATGGTATTTGAGGAGTTGAGGTGTATCAGGCATAACTGTCACATCAATGTACAGAAAAGATGTAATTTTGCAGGACAGTGCCTAGATTTGCACACACCTTAAGTACAGTACTGTGCGATACAATATTGGTCAAACAGGTTTACTCGGCAACTTTCTGGGCCCTAGTAGGGATTATGGCTACGAGTCACTTGACCTAGAAAAATCTAAACAAAGTCATATACAGAACTGTACCTTCTGTACTATCAGGTTATGTAATTTATCAGTCCATGTCAGCAGGAGGTGCCATTCAAGAGTCACTTACGGTCACAAACAACAGGGCTTTTAACAACAATGTGTGTATCAATGGCTAAACTTAAGTGATGTTTGTCCTGCTTGGTATAAATATTTGTACATTAACTATGCACTGTGTCCTTATCACACCTCCAAGCACACTTATTGAGGGTGACGCCCACACAATAGGCAAGTGTTTTATGAAGAATTCTATATATAGCTAAAAAAAAAATTATTTTGACAAAATTAATATGTAAAAAATTATAAACCTCAGCAGAGAGTAAAGTGTAGAAAACAGATTCTTCTACTTTATTTTTTGTCTTGAACTCCCAGTTGTATAGTTAACTAAAGTATCATTATCAGTAGGAAATATTCAAGAGATATCCTTTTGATGTTTCATATACAGTACCAGCCAAACATACCGAACTAGAAATATTGTAGGGTCACTAGTATGTGTAGTATTAGTCTTAGTTCATTTTTTGTGTGTTTTAATGGATTTGCTATACTGTACTGGCCTTATTTATGGGACTGCAACACTGTTTGTTATGCTTATTTCACTTTTTCTGGTTAGATTAATGGTTTCCTCCAAGTAATAAAAAAATTATTGCACTGTATAATTTATCTAGAGACACTTCTTGTTAGGTGTGTACAGTACTTCTTAACCCACCATAATTTACCTCAGGAATTACAGTGCAGTATAGAAGCGCTTTGTAGTTTCAAGGCTGAGAGTGTGGACGGGGACATTGATAGGGAGAGTACAGTCCTAACATTGTTGAGAACACCTGGGAAAACTGACTTTACTGTATTTGTCAGGTCTTCCTTCCCAACACTGCCAGACTTCAGAGCATTCTGTTGTAATTTGCTTTTGTTTCTTTTAGTAACTGAATTCAAGAAGGTTGGGGATTACAAGCTTCCTACCCCAGGACTAGGAGGGGTATATATATGTGTGTGTGTGTGTGTGCATCAAGCCCCGAGCAGATAGCTTACTCCCATATATAAATCATAAAGTTGAAAATAGTTTAGTAGACACTAAGAAAATACAATAAAAATTGTAAATTCACATTTTGCTATGGAATAATTGTGGTAATTGTGTTATTAGTGATGGCAAGAAGCTCTGCAAGAAGAACAAGGTAGAGCCGTCTCCATACGTCCTGAAGCACTACAAGGATGGAGACTTCCACAAGGACTATGACCGGAGGGAAACCATCCAGTCCATGTCAACCTTCCTGCGGGATCCCTCGGGGGACATTCCATGGGATGAGGACGAACAGGGGGCAGACGTGATCCACATTAATGATGTTAATGTGAGTATTGTCCGGCATTCTCACCGTGAAACATGGAGTTCCTTCTCCATAGACATCGAGTTCCTCTACATGCTTTGTGTTTGTCTTCACATTAGAAACATACAATCAAATTGATACAGTACGTACCTGGCTTTTATGAAATATACTAGATTGTCTATACCTATTAAACAATGCTCTAGAAACCTTTGGAAAAATAATATGAATGAACAGTACTAGTTTTCACATCAAAGTCTCCCTTTAAAACAAAAGCTGCACTTAGTATGCTCTGCCTCTCATATGCCGACTAGTTGCCAAAGGTTTTATATTTCTCATACTGTTGTTGCTTTAAGACTCTTTGATATAGAAATAGACACAGATGTGGCTATTAAGGATGTCATTTGTATCCCAGTTTAAAGACGGTGTGATTCAGTCTATACAGACATGAATGTTTTGAGATAAGGATATGAATGTATGTATTTTACTTGCTCTGTGGAGTGATTAGTACATTTTAAAAATTCATCCATTGACCAAACAGATGGGTAACATTCATATTTCCTTAAGTTTACCATTTTCCTCAAACCTTAAAGGATGTATTATATATGATAAGGATTTTCTCAAAATTTCCAGTGTTTTAAATTCACATCTGTGTTACAGCATTGTCCACCATCTACACAGCAAACTGAGAAAATACCTCACATAACTCATGAAATCACAGACATCGTATGGTATTATAACACAAACACACACATTATATCCATATACATACTCGACCAGTGGAATCCAACCCATCATTTGCATTGATGTGGCAGACTATATAAAAGATTTTGTTAGGATTACAACACATTGCATTGGAGTTAGGTATAAAGTTTAGGTGTGTGTTATTGTCATTGTGTTTTGATTGCTTGAAAGGACTTATATAATTTCTATTCAGAAAATGTTAAAAAATACTTTATTAAATCATTCAAGTTTCTTTGTAGTCCATTTTGATCAAAACCTGTTTTCTTACATCTCAGGCCCTGACAAGATTGTTAAAAAAAGAGAAAACTTTTATGATGATGTTTTATGCACCGTGGTGTGGGTTCTGCAAACGTCTCAAGCCAGACTACTCCTCGGCAGCAACAGAGCTCAAAGACACACACACCTTAGTTGCCATGGATGTAAACAAACCGGAGAATTCAGCCGCCAGGATAAAATATAATATCACTGGCTTTCCAACGCTTGTGTATTTTGAGTGAGTATAGTAATCCTTTATGCCTATTTATTTATATATCTTAATTTTTTGGTACATTTGGTCTGCCCACTACCTGTACTTATTTTTCTACCCATTTTTGGAAATGTTTCTCTTGTCTGAGTGAGGGATAGTTTAACAGGTGGGTTATTGCAGTGAGTTCAGTATAATAGACAAATATGATTCATCCTGTGTGTTAAGTATGAATACAAGTGAGGTTGTCAGCTTCAGTGTTTCAGTTGAGGAGCAAGTGGAAGTTTTTAGGTACTGTACCATCATATTTAGATATTCTGAATAAATTGTTTTACGGTTTTATATGGAATGTAACATGTGAACGTCTCGGCAGATAAAGCAATACGACTGTATCCCAACATTTTTAATGCTTTGTAATGAATATATTTTACAGATAATTTATAGTACAGTAGATAACAGTACAGTACTGTGGTAGTGTTGTTTTGTAGTTTATGAAATTACCTCCATTTTTGTTCAATGTTTCTTCTTTGCTATACAGTATTTCAATAAATGAATTTTAAGGGGATTCTCCTTTCTGTCTTGGTTGGTAATAACTGCTATACATATGTCAGTTCCTAAGGTAAATAAATGAATTAATTTAAACAAAACTTGTTGATGTATAAAATAAGGTAAGAAAGTTTTCATATTATGGGTGATGGAGATTAGTCACCCCAGCTAATTCACCTCAAGATTAACCACCCTATTGTCAGGCCCTCTACCACTTCCTCCATCCACTTTTTGGCAATCAAAATCTCCACCTGCTGCTCCAGACTCACCACCCTTCCACCTTGTTTCTTACACTTAGCAGACATTAGACTTTTTATTGCTCAATTAGTATCTATAAATATTTTTAGAGGACCAGTACCTTTTTAAATGCTGATTAGGGACTCGACAAATTTCAGGGGGGCCAAGCCTCTAACTGGCCTTGGTTGTGAGTCAACCCCCTTCTGGCCTCACTGTAATGCAAAGCCCACCTATAGCAAACCAAACCCAACCTCATCACATGAAATAAGCTGGTATAACTTTTCTTCATGTGATCCGATATTATTAACATTCCTATTCACCACATGGCCTGGAAAATAATTATTGGTGTTGCAGAAATGGGGTCCCAAAGTACACATATGAAGGAGAGAACAATAAGGCTGGGATCGTGGCATTTATGAAAAATCCTGGCAAAGCCCCCGAGAAACCCAAAGAGGAGGTTTGGGCTGACACTCCGAGTGACGTGACCCATCTCACCGACACTACTTTTCACGAGTTCTTAAAGGTAAGGTACCGCATGTTATTACTGTCCTTTTGAGGTTTGTCTTGAGTCTTCTGACATTATAATGAATGGCTGTTTTCTTTCTTGTAATGCATATTTTATCAATTATTTCTTTTTATTTTTTTGTATTTTCATTAATTTCTCTATTCTTTATCATGTCTGTTCTTCCTAATGGTAAAACTCAGCATTAGGGATATATTCCTGGATTATATTGATGAGTTTTTCAACCTGGGTGACACATCAATCCTGGAGGTGGTGCTGAAGTTAGCTCAGTTGCAAGTTAGAAGTGGCTAGAAGATGCTTAGGGAGCTGTTTCCTTTATTTATGGTGAGAGGACCATCTCTTCATGTGACACTAAAGGCATATGGCATTGAAACATAGTCAGTTACAGATGATATATGTAGGCTTGAAATGAGAATGGTGAAATGGATGTGTAATGTGACATTGAAAGATAGGAAACCCTCAGGGTTATCAGACATAATGGCTCAAACGCTGAGCAATGGTTGGAAAAACAAGTGGAAAAAGTTTGTGCTGTAGATCATAAATGTGCACTCCACAGCTGACCGACGCATGGCTAGTATAGTTCAGGTATGTGTTACCAAATATTACAAAAATTTTAATATATTTTGTAACAGCAAAACATACAAATTTGAGTGGTAGAAATTATGGAGGTTTTACTGTACTGTATTTATTATAACAAAACACCACTTTGTTGAAGGTACAAAAGGTATAGGTTGTGTTGCCAGTTTTTTCAGGTATAAAGCATTTATTTCCTCCTCATATTTACTTGCAGGGTGAAGCGTCTGTGCTGGTAATGTTTTATGCTCCGTGGTGTGGACACTGCAAGCGCATGAAACCTGAGTACACTGCTGCCGCCACCATACTAAAAGAGAAAGGGGTTAGTTAATGTAGTCAAGTATGTATCAGTACTGGTATATATTATTTCCTTGTACTGTAAAATAATACAGTACAATACTTTTAAAGTTGAATACATTTAATCTCTTTGTGCCCTCCAAGTTAACAAAAAGAAAGAGGGTGCAATAAAAAAAATTCTTAGTGGAGAAAAGAACCATTATCCTGGCTCATATACCCAAACACCACAGTCTGTTCACCAAGTGTGTGTTTATGATACTCTACTGTCTCAGATTGATAATCTTGCTCAACCTCTGGGAGACTTTGTAATTTACTTAATGCTATGATTTCCAGTCATGGGAATAACCCCTGGGAGTAATGTTAGATATTACAACCACTGTGCAGCCCAGCTTCAGGGATGTTCCACAACACAACAGCAGACTTGAGTGTTCCCCATAGAATTATGTAATTTACTTTAAAAAAAGTGGAATATGGGGATGCATCTCAATTTTTCCTAAGAAGTTAACTTTATTTTACATAAATAGTTTTTATGCTGTTGTCCAGGTAAGCCCCATGTAAATTGGGGGCTTACCTTACTTTAATACTGGATATAGTAAGAATGAGGAGTTAAACACATTGCAATTAACACACACAGTACTAATATTAATTGTGTAATAGGGAGGAATGGGTTGAATTTTGGAAAATTGCAGCATAGAAAGGAACTAAAGAATGTACCTGTATTCATACAAATACATGATTTACTCAGAAATACAGTAAGGAATAATACACATTCTCAACTTGCTTTTCAGATTGTTGGCAGGCTGGCTGCTGTTGACACCACAAAGGAAACAAAGTTGGGTTCAGAATTCAATATAAAAGGCTACCCAACCATCAAATACTTCAAGGATGGAGAGTTTGCTTTTGACGTTTCTTCTGCAAGGGAAAAAGATAAGATCATCGAATTCATGTCAGATCCAAAAGTGAGTGATACTGTATTAGAAGCAGACTCAGAGTTTATTGTGAAAATATCTACACACACTTGCAGTCTTGGATTATAAAGGTGCTGCTTTAAACTAGATGGAATTATACTGCGTTAAAGAACTTCTTCACCTACGGTACTCTTGCTTACATACTGTAGCGATTAGGGTGTTTTTCGGATTCACACATTCCTATCAAATATATTTTGGGGGCGAGAGGTCAAAGTCTGGCCATATTATGTCCTGTTTGCAGTAATACAATACTTTTGTTATGCTAGGCAGGACCTAATAATTGTTAACCACTTGTTTTCAGGAGCCCCCTCCTCCACCACCACCAGAGAAGCCCTGGTCCGAGGTGGAGTCCTCAGTTGTACACTTAACTGATGAGAATTATAAATCTTTTCTCAAGAAGAAGAAGCATGTCCTTGTCATGTTTTATGCTCCATGTAAGTAATTCTATGCTCTCTATAGCTACAGAATGTCTGAATTTTTTGTTTCTTCATTATCTTCAAGATTGCCATTCTTTGTACAGGGATATTGTTCCTATATCTTCCTTGTCACAACTTTGTGTTTGATAGGAGTGAGGAGGAAGCTGTAAACCTTCATAAATAACCGTTGATAATTATGGTATCAAAATTCACGATGTATGGAATTTTTCAAATACCGTATAGCAAAGTAATTAGATAATAAGCTGTTTTAGTTTTATGCACAATGTAACTCATGCCTCCACAATAACACAGCTTGGCCTTGCAAGGGGAGAACTAGGTGGGACATAGCTACAGGGTCAGTCTAACTTGCTTACATGCTAAGTCCACACATATGTTCATCCACACACATGCACTCCCATGCTCTTCAGTATTCTTATTTTACAGTAACATGCTGTCTCCAAGCATAATATTTTTTCCAATTCTCTTTGTGATTAAGCAGGGTTGTGAATAGCGAGGCATTCCTGTATTGTGGTGATGAGGATTAAGGAATAATAGGGTTATGTAGGAAAGGATGGTGAAGTGAGATGTTGGGGGATGAGAGAGTACTGTAGTATACCAGCATGTGTGCGTCAGTGTGATTGTGGGTGGTATGGAAGTCTTAAGGTTTTTGGTATGTGAGAGAGAGATTCATGTACAGTACAGGCCATTATTGTGAATCTATATGTTTGTCTGTATGAAGTATAAGCCCATTTTGTAGCTATTATCATTCAGTATATGTTGTGATGCCAGGTGTTCGTTTCTATTCATTGCTATGAATTTTGCTGCTTTTGTAAACACATTTTCTAGCTTTTGTATAGTAGAACCCTCAATATAGTATGAGATTGGGATCATAAATACGTTATATTGTTGTGTACAGTATTTCAATATACCTGTATAGAGAGTACATGACTACAGCCCCAAGAAATACACCCAAAAATTCCTGTAATGCCACTTTTCTCACCAACACTAATTCCATCATTACATAACTTGCCTTTCATATTTTCAAGGTGAGTGATGAAGCATTAGAATTTGGTGTATTGTGAACCATGCAGACGACACACCTCTATTTGATATTGAATCTATAAAAACATGTTTGGTGAAGGATATTAATATCATTTGATGGTTCTTTAAGGAATGAAACTTTAAAACATATTTAATGGTCTTCGTACACTAAAGGTCACAGCTTCAAGTTAAAGAAACCACAAGTACAGAAAATTGTCACAGCTAACTTCTTTGAATTAAGAGTTGTGAACTGTTATAATAACCCACAAGATAAATTGTGAATTTTGTCATATTTTTCATTAATCATTACTAATAATTTCTTGGCAGGGTGCGGCCATTGTAAGAAAGCCAAACCAGAATTTACTGGTGCAGCAGACAAATTTGTGGATGACCCAAAGGTCGAGTTTGCTGCGGTCGACTGCACGGCTTATCAGGCTCTGTGTAGCGCTAATGATGTCAGTGGGTATCCCACTTTCAAATATTTCAATTATTACAAGAACACTAAACCTTATAACGGGGGTCGCACAGTAAGTATTTTCTAACATTTTGTATTATTAGTAAAACAAAAATACATGCTTGAGAATTTTATGCTTACTTGTGAAAAGAGAATTACTTGGTCTCTGCTCTTAAATTTGCTTATCAAGAGATAATTCAGTAATGTCACTTTTTTTATGTCCTTGCTAGAGGGCCATTTAACCCTCTTGTGGTCTTTTGGTGCAGATTGCATCATTAAGCATTCTTGTGCTGGCCTGACCCCTCCCAGTCAACCATATCTCTTACTGAGAGCACCCTTCCTGTAAACAGAAATATTGGAACAGTGGACCCACTGTATCAACCACCTAAGTTCCTCCCACAAGCCTTGTAGACTGGCAGATGCCTCTCGAAGGGGGTAGTTTGGGCCTGGATCACTCAACCCAATGTTTCTAAAATGGAAAAATCGTTCCTGTTAACGATGCCAGGGGATTATTGATAATGCCTCCTCTCTGTCTAATAAACACTCATAGTTTTAAACTGATTTATTTCAACTTCGAACTCTTGTATTGTAACATATATTTTTAGAAGACTTCACAATTATATTTGTCATTTCCATACAAAATGTTGACTATCAGTGTGGAATCGTATGTTACAGGATAGTCAGAGGTTCAAACATTGTCTGGATCATGATGGTTGTATCAGTATAAATCCCCCTATGAAAGTTAATTTAATATGGATTATCATTTAATAAGATTTAGAATGCCAAAGTCAGATGCATGTGTAAAAAATCAAGGTCACTGCTGAATTGAAATCAAAATTTTGTCCAGCTAATAATTCTAGTGTCAATGCCTTTATTTTTATGAAACTTTGCCGACATCTGTAACAGTACAAGGTAAATGTCAATGCTAAAGGTCACACATCAAATTCTTCTCCAGGGCATAACTTTTTGTATCCATAGTGTACTGTAGATACTTTGATGGATATCAGATTAGTATTTCTCCTTATTGGACAAACTTTTTAACATTTAATTCAGGTGTTTTGTAATAGCAACAATCAAATTTTCCACAACTTTCATAACCTGGTCAAAAAGTGCACCACAGTTAACTTGTTCAAAAATTTGCCACATTGACAGTTCCTAAACTATGTCTCAGGAGTGAAAGATTTTAGGTTTTAAGTCGAAAGTAATACGCAAAGGGAGTCAGAAATATGAGAGAAGGACGTAACATTGACGAAGGATGTAGGATGAATACGTAAAACTTGAAATAAATTGATTCAATTTTTTCTGTTAAATCTTGTTTCTTATTTTTCAGGAAATAGATTTTGTGAAATTTATGGAGGATCCAGAGAACCCCTTGAGTGGGTCTCCTCCTCCACCTCCTTCGCCGCGGGAGGAGTGGGCGTCAGTGCAGGGTGGTAACTTAATCCACCACCTAACAGAAGCCACTTTTGATTCCTTCATCAATAATAAAGAGGCTCTGGTTATGTTCTATGCACCATGTAAGTCAGAATATTATCTCTATATATTTTGTCAGAATATTACAAGTACAGTAGACCCTTGCTGTTCGTGGTTTTACGGTTTTTGGTTTTGACTATTATACTTGCAATTTATTCCCTTTAAAAAATAAAGGTCGGAAATACAAAAATGCTTGGTGCATGATGTAATCACTCGGAAATTAGTTATTTTTTCAAATGCCCAGAGTGGAGAGAGATTTTTTAAAGTTTCTCAAAATTTTATTTATATTTTCTGTGTATTGGAACGTTCCGGAGATCGAAGATTCCAGCTATTGGGGATATTACTGTACAGGGTGTTTGTTAGTGGGTTTTGCCTTGTTTATATACACATATATCCAACCTCCCTCCATATCTCTCCCTTTTTTGTAATTTATAACTTTGTTATTCATACTAGTTTAAAATTAGCTGTGATTTATAATCTTGAGATTATTTCTGTAGATATTGGTTGACATAAGTGATAATGTAATGTATTGAATCATTTAACTGTAATTTGTGTTGTAATATCCCCAGGGTGTGGCCACTGTAAGGCCATGAAGGGTGACTATGGACAGGCAGCAGTTGAGTTGGCAGCCGAGGGCCAAACAGGTGTACTGGCCACAGTGGATGCCACTGTTGAACGTAGCTTAGCCACGCGCTACCAGATTCATGGCTTCCCAACTCTGAAGTTCTTCAGACGAGGCCAACTGATCACAGAATACAATCGAAGTCGTAAAGCAGCAGATATAATTGATTTTATGAAGAATCCTCCGCTAAATGGAAAAGATGAACTTTAGATGCAATGTGTTCAGTTTTTTATGGATGTGGATATGAATGTTGTGTATCATTTATATGTTTTGTTCCTCCTAGTAGCCAGAGGTTTAAGATGTTGATGAGCCTTAGTGAACAAGCCTTATGGAGGTGTTTCAGGTTTAATTTATTTCTTCTAATACCTAGCATTTAATATGCAATTTAAAAAGCTATAGTATATACAATTAAGTTAAAAATAGGTGTGACCTAAATGTTAAGAAATACAAATTTATCATAATTGAGCCTAACATGTACTGTACTGTACTATATTGTCAGTAACATGTTAACGAAATTAGCGTCACAATTTTTTATTATTAGTACATAGTAATAGCCTATTGGAACTGAGGTCATTATCTCAAACATTTAATAATACTAAGTTCTCTTATAAGTTCCTCGACAAATGGGAAGGCTGGTGGGTGTACAAGGGTGTGTGTATCTTTGTTTTAGTAACTCCTAAGACCAGTGATCAATGTCTATGATCTGGTTTAGTACAAATTATGAAACAAATACTGATATGTTGTGGGATTTTTCATGAGAGTGTGTTTAAGAAGGTGAGACATGATGTACCCAAGACTGAACAAATTTAGTAATGTAATATACATAGGAGATATTCCATTTGCTTACAATTTTAAGGTGTATTAGAGGTTATAGAACTGATTAAATTTGTATTCATGATAGCAACCGTACCCTCATTGTTGAACCACTTCACCGTGGACATGTGAATCGGCCAGGCAGCTTGAAGTATCAAGTTCAAAACGTATTTTCTAGGCTTCACAATTACTAGAGAGGTGACTTAGATAAACTCTTGAGATGAAAAGCTTTTTTCCGTGATCAATTTCGTAAGATGGATGCTTATTAGCACTGGCTACTGCTGTAGTATTCAGTGAGTGCCGTCCCTAGAATGGCTTCAAGTACTTCGGCCATGGTTTTGACTGAAAAATTAATTTACCGAGGCAGGGATATATTTGTAGAATTTTGTGTTAAAATATCCTATTCTCACTTTAAGACTCGGCAGGGGAGTTTTCTTTCCTTGCCAACTAGAGAATACAAACAAAATTTTTAAAAAATTTGCCTGCATTACCCAATAAATATACTTGTATTTGGCAGTTGACCAATGACATGTACAGCTTTAAAGGTGATACAAAGTGTATGTACTGTATTGTTATTATTTATAAGATCGCAACTATTAATGTCCCACACATAATGATATATTTATTATTACTAATGTCTTCAAGGGTTCCTTGATATTTTATTTGTGAGAGGTGTTAGAATATGAACCTAACAGCTGTAGACAAATAATTTTTTTTACTGATGCCCCCTTCATGTGTTGTAGTTAAAGCTACAGGATGTTGATATTATTTTAGTAGTTTTTCTTATGATGACCAATTAACAGTAATATTTATTATTTCGGTGCGTGATATGTATAAATTTGATCAAACTATGCGGCACAAACCTTTTGAAATGACTTTACAATTATAGCTTCAAATACATATATATATATATAAACTGAAGACTCTGACTCACATCCTTTCTAGAGGCAAACATAATCATATTTAATGAACTTGGAATCTCCATGAGGCACAATGGCAAGTGGACATGGCTGCCAGTTAAATGTCTGTGTCCTGTCAGAGTGACGTGCCCCCAGCTGTAGAATAGTTACCGAAATTAACTGTAGGGAGTGATAATGGCAGGGGCCCCAGAGAGGGTCATGATGCACCTGGTGCAAAACACGGGCCTGTGCCCTTGGGGGGGCAGGCTCGAGGAAATATTTTCCTCGCTACCATACAGAAAAGTCGTCCTCCCCCTATCTCTCTCTCTAAAGTAATAAAGTATTAGTATTTACATGATGATGCTTAATAGTGAACATTCCTGTGGGGCAGCTTAAAGAGGTTGTGTCATGTCTTGTGACACTGAAGTTAGAATTTTTTACCTAAACACGGAGTAAAAGACCTAAGGAAATCAATGACCTTTGATTTATGAGGAAGCAAAGAGTTACCACTGACTACTTCTGAAAGCATATAAAAAAAAAAGCATGTTCTTATGAAAGGAAGTTGGACACTGAAACAGCAAAACCTGTGTTCAGAAAGGAAGTATTTTACAAGGTTATTGATAAAAGTTATAAATACCTAAGTCGGCAGTACAGTGATCCCTCGGTTAACAAAATTTCAGTTAACGAATTACCGTCCATAATCTTCAATTCGGTTAATGAACAAAAATTCGGTTAACGAAATTTTTACGAAATCATGTCGACATGTTTTCGCTTGCTCACCAGCTGGAATATTAGTCTGCCAATACAGTAATCTGTTCTAGGGCTTAAATTTGTTCCCATTTCAGTAAATATCAAGAAGGTTGTACTATTCAATAATTTTCCAAGTTTTATATTAAAGTTTTTAGTCATTTTAACACTTATTTAACATAATTGCAGTACAGGAAACTAGTTTTTGGTGCGCCAATCAGCCACTTGACTCACCCCGCAAGGCATCGGTTTGTATCTCTGGTCAGTTGAGGTAACATCTTGCTTGTGGCTCTCTTGAACATAAACTATTTTTATGTTTTTACAGTACAATTTTTGGTCATTCTGAAATTTATTTGACATATTGACAATATATAGTGCAGTGCAGTGTTGATTTAAAGAAAATAATCTTGAATTACACCTAGTGAACTTAAAATTTTATGGGTGAAATGACGGCATGAAGCATGGGGTGATTTCTCTTCCACCCCCACTTCCTTCTCTTCTCCCTTCTCCTCCACCCCCACTTCCTTCTCTTCTCCCTTCTCCTCCACCCCCACTTCCTTCTCTTCTCCCTTCTCCTCCACCTGCACTTCCTTCTCTTCTCCCTTCTCCTCCACCCCCACTTCTAATTCCCATCATCATCATCAACCAGGAGCCTTCTACATACACATCTCAAAGTAAGTGTACTTTACTGCATTTTTTTTTACTTTGTATGTAATTTTCGGTGAGCTGGAACCAATTACCCAAACTCCCATTGAAACAATAGTTTCGGTTAACGAACAACGTTCTGAAACGAATTGTGTTCGTTAACCGAGGGACCACTATTGGAATACTGTATTGTATTTAAAATATATTTGTATTTCTTTGGTCTTACCTCAATAAAACTGATGAAGTAATAATGTGACAGCATGATATTTGCTTCTGAATAATTTGTATAGAGATGATGTGTTAGGAGAAACAGTGTTGCATCTAAAGGCAATTTATAGAACACAAGAGTGATGAGCCATTATTGCCACTCAACCTTCTTCACAAAGCTGAAGTTGGAAGATTCATTTCCGAACATGCATTCAGTACCAGTGACTATTTCAACTGAAAGATCGTTTAGTAAACTGGAGATGATCAATAATAATCGGAGGAGCACCATGAGCAAGGGAAAGATTACGGGTAGTTTTGCAAAATTTTCAGTATTGAGAATAAGTTATCGAGAAAAATTAAATTTGAAGATGTTACTGATTTATTTGCCGCCATAATGGCTAGAAAAGTTCTTCAGGTACACAAGATTGTCTTAATTTAAGTACTGTACCTGTACTTAATTTCTATCCTTGTGTCAATCCTTTATTTTCAGATTTTTGCAGCTAAACTTAATTTAAAATAAACTTCTCTCATTCAATTTGTCTTTTTATTCTATGAATTTTATTACACTTACTTTTTTAGACCACAATAATTGCTACACAAAAAACTCATACAGCATCTGAACTAAACCACACCATGATATCACCACTGGAGAAATAAAATAAGCATTTTGAAATGTATGGAACCTATGATGGAGCCATTGGACCTAGTTATGGAACCTATGAGGGAGCCATTGGACCTAGTTATGGAACCTATGATGGAGCCATTGGACCTAGTTATGGAACCTATGATGGAGCCATTGGACCTAGTTATGGAACCTATGATGGAGCCATTGGACCTAGTTATGGAACCTATGATGGAGCCATTGGACCTAGTTATGACCTAACCTATGATGGAGCCATTGGACCTAGTTATGGAACCTATGATGGACCTAGTTATGGAACCTATGATGGAGCCATTGTTATGGAACCTATGATGGAGCCATTGGACCTAGTTATGGAACCTATGAGGGAGCCATTGGACCTAGTTATGGAACCTATGATGGAGCCATTGGACCTAGTTATGGAACCTATGATGGAGCCATTGGACCTAGTTATAGAACCTATGATGGAGTCATGGAACCTATGATAGAGCCATGGTATCTATGATGGTGCCATGGAACCTATGATGGCGCCATGGTACCTATGATGGAGCCATGGAACCTATGACAGAGCCATGGAACCTATGATAGAGCCATGGAGCCTATGATAGAGCCATGGAACCTATGATAAAGCCATGGAACCTATGATAGAGCCATGAAAGCTATGATAGAGCCATGAAAGCTATGATAGAGACATGGAAGCTATGATAGAGCCATGAAAGCTATGATAGAGCCATGAAAGCTATGATAGAGCCATGAAAGCTATTACAATAAAAGAATGAATAAATTGCATTACAGGGTCCACAATCCCTTATCCGAAACCTTTGGGACCAGATGGTACATGTACTTTATACTGTATAATGGTAACACCCTAAAGGGGTCTGTGGCAGCACCCCTTATGCAAACACATTAATATTTCTGCAACGAACCTTATGAATATTCACACTGAGTGGGATAAATAAAGACTATAGATAGTATTGCAGGTTATTTGTACAGTACAGTAAAGCCACTAATGGCAAAGAAAAAAAGTGAGATGGATTGAGAACGCCAAAGTATACGTGCGCACTCAAGGAAACAGCGTCATTTATCTTCTTAAGAATGTGTACAAAAGATTCATTATTGTTTATTACTGAATAGGTATTTGATTGAATTAGTGTGCATGTATGCGAAATGAACAATGCCAAATTTAGCGACAAAATCACTAAATTGTCATAGTAGCTGGTCACATAGTCAGTGTTGCCAGATTGCCTGGTTACAGATTACATTGTCATGATAAAAGAAAGTTTCATCTGAAGGGTTTATTCTTTATTTCAAATATACACAAATATCAAATCTACAAGGTATGTTATTTACCAGAATAGAGCAGAGAATAGTATCTTAATGTAATTAAATATAAATACTGTAGTTTTTGTTTCAACAATACTGAAGTAACTTTCATATTCATAATTTTCAAAATATAAAGGTGAACATCTAATCCACTTCCACAACTTAAAACACAATAGTATTTGAAATTTCCAGATTGGGCTAAATATAATTTGTTTTCTAAAAATCCAGATTGGTAAATATAAATTCATCTCTTATAACAATCAACTGTACCAAATGTATTTAATAATTTCAACGCTAATAATATACAGTATGCATATCCAAAAGCCTCTCACAAGTGAAGTTTAATTATACAGTACTCGTGATAAGTGAGAAAAATAGAGAGACTATTAGTTCTTAAATGTACAATATCACTTTAAATGCAAATGTATGGCATAATTTTGGTCTTTTTTTCCTATACGGTAAGTATCACTATAACTGTTCATCACAAAATGTTCATATGAAGTCAACTTTTGTAATACGTACTATCATTATTCTTAATACAGTATAAGGGTTTTTCTGCTCACTAACATATTTTACATGATCATACAACCACTAATAAAATTATATTAAAATTCTCACTTTTAGCAAATCAAGTTCCAATTGAATGCAGCTATATTTATAGAAACAAATTGTAACAGTGTATACACATAATGGAAGACCATTAATGTGCACAGTATTAATTTAAAAGTTTTATATAATGAATGGGCTGATCAAACAACCATTTTGAGAATATTGAACCAACAGACAGAGGTCAACCTGAACAAAGTGTAAAAGCCTTTATGATGCCAACTCCTGGTGAGGCCACAGCTGTCATGTACAGTATACTGTATTGACCTAACCAGAATTTAACAGCTCGGCACAAGTATGATTCACAAGATGACCGCTCTTACTATAATACGTTATACAACATCTGTCCTTGGCCAGTGATATCTTCATAGCAATAGGTACAGTAATTACAACACTCTTCTCACTGATGAATTGGTTGTCAATTACTGGCTAGGATTCTATTTTTAGTTAGAGTTAACAACAGTAATTGGAGAGTGTCATGACAACATGACCTCTGGTATGGCACAGTATCGAGTCAAGAGATTGCTGTTTAAGGTCTTGTGTTTAAACGTCAAAACAGATTATCTCAGCACAATGGTGATAATTATATTCAACTCATATTAATCAAGAACATAACTATCATTAATCTCTCCTACTTGCATTGCAACTAATGCACCTCATCTGTATTTTTATCAACCCCTTTTCCAACATTACCTTATACACTCTTGGTCAATCTTCAATTTACTCATAATGGGTTCACAAGTCTTTGATCTGTGGGTTGGGCATATCATCCAACTGTATATATGAAACAGTCTAAATCTTTTCAAATAGTACACTGTAAATCTGAATGTAAACTTTTAAATTGATGCTGTAAGTAAGAAATTAACAAGATGGAGAGGTAATGTTTTAAAGTGCTGTACTGTACTACAACATTTTTATTAAGGTGTTGACTAAACCACATACCTGTTACTTTCCTGTTCTCTCTCATTACAAAGGACTTTTGTTTGGTGGTGAATAACTTGTCTCATGCAATGAAGTCACTGGGTCAGAAGAGGATTTGCTGGTAAAGTCAAATTAAAAAACGTACGATAGACTAAAATACTGTGAAGTGGAGTTCCTTTCAATGTAAGCAGACAGATCATTTCTCAGCACATTTGGAGTTTGAGAGACAGTTTCTATAATATAAACCTGCCATACAACTGAACACCTGGCAGATTTGATCTTCTAAGGATTGATTTGCACACATGAAGAGACCTATAAAATATGATCACTCACAAAAAAAGGATTATTCTGCTTTTGTGTATAAAACTGGAGTTCTTCCTTATCTACCAGAATGACCAGTCCTGAGTTAATTATGTTCTTAATACATGAGTGTGTGAAGGGAAAAAATTGTCCTTCATTAATTCTACATCAGTCTAATCGAGTCTAGTGACTTTCACTTTTTCCAACTGGACTCTTCAAATATAATTAACTACAGTATTTCAATACTTTCTTTCTTCTCATTTCTATATCTACAGGTATATCATTACTTCCCTACCACTTATCCTTTACTACACTTAGAGGCAACAACCCTCACACTTTGCAAACATTTTCTATTCTCATGTACAAACAAGTGGCTACTACTTGACTTACTTCACAGCCAAGTCATCTGTATAAGTCCAGAATGTGCTGCTTTGTGAAATTCTGACACCTGAGTGAGCAAAAATTATTAACTGCTGCAAGCAGTAGTGTCCCCTGAAATTGTGTGTGTGACATTCTTCGTATATGGAAGTTTGGTGATTGATATAAGCACAACTAACAAAAGCAGAAAAGCTCATTATTTTGATTATCAGCATCATGGTTACTATGAGTGCCCTGACACAGTGTAGCCATCATTCCTTTCACTGTGAAAGTATGACAAGGTGTGAATATCATCTCTGTCACTGAATGAGTAGCCTATCAGGGAAGGTTTGAATAATATTCCAAGTGGGAATTAGCTGATAAAATGCATAACAAAGATACAAATCAATTTATAAATGCTATATGTACATTTAATATTTAAGCTAAATTAGGTGGACCAAGATTCAATACAACAAAGTTGATTATCTCATTTCTAATATGGTTGTTATCAACTTGATATTGACTTATAATGGGCTTCAGCACACTAAATTTTCTGAAATGACTCACATACCGGTACTCATGAATACATGTATGGCGGGTAAAGAGAATAGGCAGTACACATACTACAACTGATACAGTTATGATTGAGGCTAGTGCACGTACTAGGTGCAGAAAACCAAGTTTTGCTTTTGAAGCTATGCAAATTCTATAAAATATTTAGTACGGTACAATAACAAATGACTTGGTGAAGATAAGATACACCAACACCTCCATGGTTAAGACTAAACATTGAACATCATGTTGGTGAGTACAGCTCCTGAGGGTGTTTATGACTAACACAGTACAACATACAGTACAACTTAAAGAGTACAGTACAAACATATTAACCCCTTCACTATGGGATGCCACTTTTAATATTTTATTTGGTAAACACAAGATGATTTTCTTCAGCAGAGACGCTTCAAAAGGGTTAATAAACTAACTCCACTAACCCTTCATTATCTTATTTGGCTAATGACAGACAATTTTCTTTAACAGAGAGAGACCTAAGGGGTTAAATATGATGAGTATTTTATAGTCTATGACTACAAGTCCTGAAAACAAATAAATAGTAAGTAAAGTGAATAAATACTTGAAATTATTAAATATCAAACAGCTAGCTACCAGCTGAAAGTAAATAACAATATTTTGGGTTGACAAATATACTTAAAAGTCATTTTTTACTCCTGTCCTCACATAGTAAAGGGCACAATGAGATCATCTAAGCACCCAATTCTATATTTTGAGTTAGAATTACAGTACTCATATCATCACAGAACAACACAGGGTACATACATACAAGTATTTCTTATTACCTAAACTAATTGTTGATCATATTAAACATTTTCAAGATTTGTTTCACAAATATTAGTACAACAAAGAAGACAACCAATATGCAAATTAATTATATTAAAATTATGGAAAAATCTAATTTTTACAGACAAACTTAAAAAGGGGACTTACCGGTAATCCATAAAACTATATAATATCAACCACCACGAGTAATCACAACTCTAAGCATCACCTTGGAAGGGGTGTCACTGTAAACTGTTGATAAATATGTGAGCTAACTAGTGAAGTAGGTGTCAGAAAAGATCTTACACACCATACTTATTTTGGCACCACCAAAGGATGTTTGTTCACCGGTAAAACTTGTATAAAACTTGAAAACAAATAACAGAGATCAATTACATCTGGAGAACTCTCATCCTTGTAGGAAGACGGCCCACAAGGCAGCACAGGGCAACACACACCTTACAAACACAATACTAACATCTTTTGAATAAATCAATGAAGCAAAGGAAAACATTCCCTATGATGAGCACCATCAATCCCAGTTAACTATAATTAATATTAATATCTGACGTAGAGAACTGAAACAAGTTATCACAAACATCTGAGCCACAGATAAGCACAGACTTATAAATTTAAACAGACATTAACATAGTCTGACATCCCTTAAGATAATTTAACGTAATTCTTTTACGTGAATTTTCAGGTAAAACATTACGACGAGGAAGAAAGATACTGTTTATCAAAGCTCAAAACTGTCAGTAATTCTGAGACCCTGTACATTGAAAACAGTTATGAAGACAATTGTTAATACAAAGTTCTACTCACAGGTACAACATGTACACATCTACGACTACTGTATCAGTAAATAGGGTCACAAGCAATTAGGGAACATCTCAGTTTGTCATCAACATTTAGGGCTTATACATTCTACTGTATATTATAATAAAGTGATACGACAAACATTTTATGTTTTTACTATTAAGATCAATATTCAAGTCTTCTAAACTACCATAGGTAAATGTCAATAGAGACTAACAGTAATTGTAGATGGAATTTCCAAAAGTATCAAAATTTCCTAAAGTTGTTTTATAAGGCTTCAAGTTGATTTGCAACAAATTGCAGCTGTAATACATTCCATGTACAGTACACACCAATTTGTAGTAGGGGTTCCAGCTTATTGTATTAAAAAACTATCTCAACTACTCAATGAGATAATAGCGAGAACATTCTATGTGAAGATTTACAAAGAAAAGTGTGCCACGGGTTGCTTAGCCTCAGGCACATTCTACTATGATTATAAAGGATGTGTGGGAGGACAAGACTTGATTATTTCAAGGAAAAGTACAGGAGTCTTTCCTGATTTATATCTATCTATCCATTTATGTCCAAGATCCATATCAACTGTCCAGCAGGTAACTCAAGCATTGTCCCCTGTGTCATACTACACCTCAACTTCTTATTTTATAATTAAACAATAATAGAAGCGTCCACTTATCAGTTCTTCTTAATATTCCACACTGAGGTTTATATGACAAATTAAAATTGATTAGCTGAAGTCCCTTGCTCCTGTTACAAGCTTATGACAAAACCTACATTGATGAATAACCCAATTTCTTTAATGTCTATTCATTTAGGTGAAATGAATTAACTTGAGTATGTTATAACCCCTCAATCACATCTGTTAGGATAAACTATTGTAAATGTGTATAGCATTGTGAAGCCTTAAAAGGCTAATATATTAAACAGCTTACAAAGCAGTGTTGAAAACAAGACAATATGAGTCCTCAGATGTGACAAGCCATTTATGAAGAAGCAATGAAATTCACCAAACCTTATAAAGTACTTAAATCTTCATCACTGCAATAAGTAGAGTACCCGGTATCTCTCCTGGCTTTGTTGGTTTGTGTAATAGGTATATTTAGAATTGGGACAAGATGGTGAAGTGTGGAAATTTTAGTGAGAAAATCTGAGGGTATCAGGTTAACGTTAAGTTAAAGCTAGGTACAGGAAGAAATCAGCTGAGGAATGTGAAAAGTTTAAGGAGATGGAGAAACTGTGATGTATCTGGTTAATAAGGAAGACAGCAATAAGGTATTCTGCAGTAAATAAATGCATGTGGTACAAATGAAAAGGTGCGTCAAGTGGAAGGGTCTGGTGGTGGAGGAAGTATGTTACAAAGAAGTCATTAGCTGCTCTGTTGTGAAATGGTTGAAGACCCCAAAAAGCAGAGATATAAATTGACATCTTCCCTTTTTAAAAATAAATTATTTTTAGGCAATATGAAGAAAATAATGCAGGGTAAATTTCAACAAATTCACAGCTGTTTCTATACTGTACTAAGTCTTCTAAATATTACACTTTGCTTTAGCTAACAAACTCTGGTACAATATTTGTTTTAGTACCTGAACACATACATTCCTCAGGGAATATATTGGTTATGAGGTAAGAAGCTTAATTCATCTACCTATCATTGTCTGAAGTAGGTTGCTTTCTATACAAACTTCTCAATGTCATTTCATAACTAAACAATTCTGTAAGGTGATCTCATATATTTTCTGAACATCTGATTCAAAGTCTGGCACTAACGCACAAATATCGGCAATATTAATTTCATTATTGTCCCATGTCTTTTATCCTGACTACAATAAAACCCTGTAAATTCGTAAATGTAACATTCCAAAATTACAATTCTTAATTCTGTATTAAGGATGAAAAAAGTGGTTAAAAGGGTGATTATACAGTGGACTTGTGGGGAGTAATTCCTATATTTTGCTTTTTTTCTAATCTTAATATTGTGTAGATGTTATTATATTCTGCCAATTAATGAAAGTTTTCTACACGTGTTCCAGTATTCTTTTCCCCCTTTCTTTGAATTTTTTTGGCCAACTGATCCACTCAACACAAGAGTGGATAATAATGGATAGATAGATATTTACCATCAAATTATCTTAAAACACTTAGACCCCTGTGCCTCACTACGATAGAAGCTTGTATGAAACAACAGTTGTGTACTCTGGTGGAACAGTATGGTACACACAGCATAGCTGCATGTCTATTGACAGTTACACTTTTGTTAAATTACATCTGCGAAGACATGAATCTCCACCAACCACACGTTTCATGTGTAAGGTTTTATACTGTAGGGCAGCCTCCCAGGATGAGCGGTGAGAGGCTTGGTTAACTATGATGTTTATAAAGAGATAAATTATGTAAATTTATCTGTATACATTTTTTTTCCACATTTTTTGTGACTAAAACTGCTCGTTACTAAACTTAAAGGTTTAACACCTTCTTTACTGCAAACCAAAACTGTGGTACAGATACACACTACCACTGTATCACTACTGTGGTACAGATACACACTACCACTGTATCACTACTGTGGTACAGATACACACTACCACTGTACCACTACTACAGATTTGGACAGTAGTAAAGAATGGGTTAAGCATAAAATTCTAGTTACATTGGCAACTACAAGTTAATTAGAGAAAATACAAGCCTTACATCTTGAGCTGCAAGGCATGATAATTTTATAATACAATATTACCAAAATGGTAAACTTCAAATTGAACATGTGGTGGTATACACAATAAACTAGCTATCAACATATACCTGATCAATGAACTTTTAATTAAGCTCACTTAAAATGCATATTTAATTTGAAGACATGTTAATGATTATGCAAATGGTTGATACAGAATTCAAAGGTGTCATCAGGTAGAGGTGTGAGTTTGCTTCTCTCTACTGTGACACAAGAATCATATTAAGGCAATCATTATGGTTACTTGTTGTATGGTAAAATGTAGCAGTATCTTTTCATAATCTTGTGATATATAAATCAGGAGAACTCTCACTGGACCAGGCATGAACTCTTACGAATTTGCAGGGTTTTATGGTTCTACCAGGAATACACAAAGGAAGAAACTGAAATGGGGATAACAATAAAATGGGCATTATTCAAAGACACATAAACATGTGTTTGTTAACATGGCAGTGAAGTGACTAGGAAAATAACTTCACATTCAACTATTGATCATTAGTTAAGCTATGACTGATCATTGAACTTGATAATAATTTACAGCAGCTGCTGCTCATCTAACTACTGTGTTTCTACTGAGGAGTATCTCCTTTTTCTTATTGCACTTTGAAATGTACATTATGGCTATGGATACAACCAACATTCTTGAAGAACTGGAATGGACCAACTGATGCCGTGGATGTCCACCTCTTAACACCAGAACCTCCATCATATATCAGTCTGCACGGACGATGATGCGGCTAAAAATCTTCACATAACTTATTATGTATTCTTATAACTAAGTTCTATATCATGATGGCAACTCATTTGTTAAACATTAATAAACCAGTAAAACTCTCTATAGCACAAAGGAAAACTTAGTTACAGTATTTCAGCTCCAGGTAAAAGGGGCTAAATCAGTTCAGAATCTTGAAAACGATTTCTTACAGCATTAATGACCTAACTGGCACTAAAATGAATCCTGGGTGAGAAAAATTGTAAATGCAGTAATACCCATACATTCAAGCACCCTTCAAGAAATCTAAGCCATCAAATACAATGATCTTATTGTTAGTGAAATTATCTCAGGTGTCTTGAGAAACAGGAAATTCAGAATGGAGCATCGGTGGGCACGTTCCAGGATCTACGGTATGTACTTATATAACAAATGCATAAAATAAATGCTTAATCACACAACACATACTCAACACTTCCGCTACCATGAGAGCCTTCCTAGTCCTGCTGATGCTCTTAAGACTCCATCAACTGGTAAAGTTTGGACTATTGTCACATCCAACATTGGATGCCTGAATCATTACCACTCACTGAATGAAAGTTTTTGACTTTCAGTAAGTTTATACACACTGGCATTAATTCAATACACCCCAAGAGGTTGATTATACAATTAGCAATATACGTACAGTAAATCTCAAAACATTTATGAAAGAAAAAATATTAAAACCCATAATGTAAAGGATTTTCTATCAGCACTAAGTTAAAACAAATGCCGAGTTCTGAAGGTCATCACAGAAACAACCGAGCCATTATTTGTCAAAATTTCAGAAAAATTGGTCTAAATATTACCAATACAACCTCAATATTCTGCACAAACTCACACATACTAAGGATTGGCCCATGTGTGAAATTCAGTTTTTTACAAAATATCTGAGTTAAAAGATGAAATGTATGAATGGCTGTGATGTCCAACACAAAACAGGAAGGACTGTAATCAGCAGGTAACCTTAGGAGTCCCTCAAGCACCTAGCTTATAGTTTTAATAAAGTTTTTAGTTTAATTTTTACTGTATATCTTTCTTTGTCAATTTCTGCTCTCATCTCAAGTTACATGAGATTTCATTTGATTCTGTCCAAAAACAACAACCTTTCCAAATTATTCAGAAGATTCAGCATACAGACATTGGATCATACTCAAATTTGGCCCAAATTATCCTCATGTGCAAAACTTTTAAAATGTAAAATAGTGAAGTGCTACTGTATATATGGAATACAACGTCTCACCTGAATAACTGCTGGTGGTGTGTCTGCCACTCAGTTACTGCCAATGGGAAATATCTTCTCAGTATTGTACTTCAGTCGTGTATAGCAACACAAGAACAATGACAATCAAGAAACAATCACTGCACAAGAAGCAGAGTTAAAATTTACATATAAAAGTTATCTTGTATACAGAATTGTTTTGCTAGAAAATTATGCAAATAAAATGGAAAACTAAAATAGAAATATGAGACTAAATCGGTTATAGCACTAGCCAGGCAGCTACCGTACCAGAAAACTCTGCCAGTGTCTGTTACCAAGAGAAGTGATTCAGTAACTCAAGATATTCTCTTCTATTACATTACTGATATCTCTCAACTTTCTTAATTTTCATGACCAAGGTCTGACATTCATACTGAAAGTGTTCCCTCTCTTGTTTAAAATCAACTGGACTTTGCAGAGGCTCAGTTGAATGAAGATTTTTAGCCACATGCAAAGATCTAAATATTGTATTAAGAAATGAGGTTAAAATAATAAAAGTTGTATGTACGTAAAGACCTAATAGAGGAGAATGGATAGTTTAGCAATGTTAGGTGCATGAATGCATCAAATCTACCCTATAATGGCACAACATGATAGAGATCTTTATGGAACAAGTTACAGACTTTAGCCATAGAAAAAGAATTTCTTATAAATGTAGAAAAATGCCATTATTTTATCACAAACAAAAACATTATGGACAAAACTTTCTCACTATCTGATTGTCATAAACAAACTATAATCATAGGCGAGTAAGTTTGTTAGCTTAGTTTGCTTGTTTGTGTGCGCACACGTGTGTCTGTGAGAATGTGTGCACATTATGTGAGTGAGCTAGTGTGTCCTCATGCACTTTAATATGTTGTTCTAAAGAATGAGGTCCAGGTTTACAACCCCTTATTGTATCATCCTGTCCAGTTCTCATTTAACATTTGCATAATTCTTTCACAACACCAAGAGAAATATTGCCAAAATTGGTCCTGTTCAGAAAAGCAGTAAGGGGGAATTATCTACTTTGGTGACTTGCTTAACATTGAGTAAGCTGTAATGAGTGCACCATTCAACATTAAGTCTAGTAAAGAGTTTCCTGAGCTATTCTGACTTGAATAATAACCACAGACAATAACACTGATCCAACAATCTTTGTCTCTCACTAATGGTTATGTCGTCTCTTTCCAGGTATTTAATTTGCCAAAAGCAATCACTAGCTCTGACACTAATATCAACTGACATTATTCAGTTAATACCCTCCCCCTTTCCTGTGGTTAATACAAAATGCCAGAATAGCATTCCTGACCATTATTTTCTAGTCAATATTTGTCATGAAAAATTCTCCTCACCTTGTTTACTAACACATAAGAGATCTCTCGTACAATACCTTCCATCACCTTCATAACTGCTGGTTAACATAACCAATCCTCTTAATAGACTGGCCTGGACCTTTCTATCCTCTGATTCATTTATAAACTACTGTCCACAAAAATTTCCCTCCCCTCAATTTTGTGAATATACCAATCAATAAAACTTTCTCATTAAGTGTTCACACACCAGCATGGTTAATACCTATAAACACAATACCTGTGTGTATAATCACCACCTGAGAATTAATACTTATATCTTGGCCACAAAATATTAACGTTCTTTACTTTCTATCTACAGGTAGTAATCCAATTCTAGGCAGTCGCACACTCAGGTATTGACACGTCGCACTCATCCATGGAGAGAGTCTCAACAGAGGCCGTGCTGCCTTCCGGTGGGAGGATAAGGTAGGTGAGAACTGCGTAGTAATGAATAAATGCTGCCAGGACCACAAAGAGATGCCAGATAGCGTGTGCCAGGGGAATTCTTCCGTCCATTTTGAAGAAGATGACGCCAAGCACGTATATGGCACCGCCCAACTTTAGTTCGTCTAGTCCCGAGTGATCGTCCTGTAATACATTGTGTCTTATTTCAGGCCAAGCGGGAAAAAGCAAAATTATCAAATGTGGTACTGTAACATATGTACAGATATTCTGTACACACAAACTTAATCTTAATAACAGATTTATGAAACTTCCATTTTCAGGTTTTATATCTTAACTGGAGCTCAAGTTAATACGAAATAATCTATAAAATATCAATGCAACTGTACACAGGACAAAGACTATCCCTGAGCCAAACAACAGTTATGATCTTTATGGCTATATAACTTATTTCACAAGCAAAAAGTTACCAGGCTAACCCCCCTACAAGATGTTGACCTCGGTGTTACACGAGAGGTCCCACATCATCAGTGCTGAGGGTTCATCTGGTAATGTAGTATTAATATCACGCACACACGAGTAAGCAGGTGTTGAAAATAATGTCAAGCAATGCACAACACTTAGCTACCAGTCCACTACCATGCAACACACACTGAGCCTGGACTGATGAAGGGTCCATTCTTGGTTGTATGAATTACCAGTGTGTGTGTGTGTGTGTGTGTGTGGGAGGGAGCTGTGAGTGTGGGGGGTGGGTGCTGTGTATGTGTGGGGAGGGGGAGGGTGCTGTGTATGTATGGGGAGGGGGGTGTGTTCTGTGTGTGTGTGTGTGTGTGTGTGTGTGTAGGTGTGGGGAGAGGGTGTGCTGTGTATGTGTGTGGGTGGGGTGTATGCTGTGCTGTGTATGTTAAAGGCGGTTATTACAGTTCTTCCTGATAATGTTCAAATACCTTACAAATTTCCATCTTGGCTGGGACCATTATCTCTTGGCTTCCTACATACTGACAGGAACTATTTCAATATTAAATCAAAGGAAAATATGCCCTTTGATAAGGTGAGACCAATTCTTACGGCAGAAAATTTCCATTTGTACAGTGCGTTATTTCAGTACAGTGGACTCCTCTCACACTATATTCATCAAAGTTAGCTTAAATTGAGCTGTTTGAGTGTTTTTCATGTGCATACTGCATCACATCCATGAGCTGAGGGTCTCTCTAAGCAGGAGTTTGCCACAAGAATCATTCCAAACTTGGACTTTAGTAATTGCACTTTGTTACCTTACACGTTTTTTTGTTACTCTTCCTGTAAAAGCAAATATTTAAATCTTTTTCTCAAATACAAGCTGAAATAGCTCACATAATTACTCACAATTCTCTCTACTTACCTCAGTGTACTCCCAGAACTACTCCTTTATCTCACTCACAAAATCTCTTAATACAGGTGCTCCTTTACTTAAGAACATTACATTTACAAACTTTCAGAGATACAAACATCATCACTGAGGGGGGTTACCTGCCAGAACAGGTGTTTAATGTGGATGAGACTGGATTATTTTGAAGAAGATTCTAGATAAAACAAACATTACCTAAGAGGAGAAGAGTGAGCCAGGTTTTAAGGCTGTATTAAAGGGTATAGCTGTACTAAATATCCATAATCTTTTCAATTTTTACAATATGTTTGGTATCTAGAGAAATAAAGTTGGACTTACAAACAAGCCTCAGGAACGTAACTCGTTCGTAAGTAGAGGAGCACCTTTACAGATATTCAAGCCTTCTTAAAACCTCTCTATATCATCCTTGCTCTACTAACACTGTGGTTGAGATACTGTACTCACTATAACCCAACTTTCACTCTTTACATTTAATGTGATACATAATGTTCTGGAAGTGACCCCTTGTATCATATCACACCTCTCAGCAACATTGTTCCTGCTAAGTCAAACACTCTGGACCTCACTCTCTTCACTTATCCCCAGTTCACTTCTTTTTAGCCCTTCATTTAATTATTTTGTTTTTTTACAATGACCAAACACAAGGAGGCAGGGTAACTAACCATCCATATACAGTGTACATTATTCACAATACTAACCCATACACCATTACCCATACCTAAAGCAAGATTAAGGAACACAATTTTGATACCACCAGTTGTAGACCGTGTGTGTTCTATCTGTCCCTGTAGATGTTAAGATATAATCTGAGAAATATGATGAATATTTTCTTCTAAAGCCAAATTATTATCCAACACAAGTGAGGGGTTCAAAAGTGCAGTTACCTATCATAAACCACTTTGTGCGTCAAGACAGACCTTACAGCAATACTTAGTGTATGTCTGACTGTTGTTTGCAAAGGCATGCGTGGTCATTCTTCTAGGACTAAATATAATGACATGTCAACCAAAATGCAAAACACTAAATTTTCTGTCGTTCAGTTAATCAAAGAAAAGCAGACGACTCTTTACATTCTGCTGTGGAGGTGAATACTGATAAAAATAAAGACAGAAGGAGAAGAAGGGAGCAAGAGGTAGTGTCCGATTTTTCATTGTGTAAATCATAGTAACCAAGGAAGAATGTTCTGGCCAGCCCTAAAATGACTGGATCACTTCACAACCCGGTGATCTTGCTCATAAGTACATTAGTTGGGTATCTGATAAAAAATCATGTTACTTTGACTGAAAAAAATCATTGATCTTTCATAGTAAAAGAAAAAAATACATAAAAAATTAACGTGCTGACGAATGTTCTGTACTATGGCGATGTTTATAAATATAGTAAATTAATTAATCAATGTCACAATCTTACATTTACACAGTTAATAAAGTCCACCAAAAGTAATAACTAGTTACTACAGCTTACTATGAACTATGGGATCATTAATGTTGGTGATTCCTGTAATTATTAGTTTCCTTAATCCAATTACTGTGGGTCCATATGTCAGCCTTTCTGAACAATAGGCATTACTTCACACTACCTTGGTCAGGTTAAGCTAATTATTCATGAAACAAAAATTTTGTTCACATTAGAGCATAATACATGTACTAAATATTGTGCTGTATATATATTTTATAGTCTAATGTACATTAAAAGAAAAAACAATTATTAACAGGAAGCATCTATCATCATATCATCATTAAGTTGTTGGTGCTTTGTATATCTGAGAGAGACAGAGTGTATAATGATAGTAATAAAACCACTGATATCCACCGTATGTCCCAGTGTGGTGGGTGTCAGGCTTAAGAGCCACAAAACAGGAGCAAAGAATCTCAGCCAGCACGTGTGAGAAGCTGGGTGCTTGAAGGTGCTAGATATCCCCTACCTTACGTACCCCAGAGCGAGCCTGATGCATGGGTGGAGGGAGCAAAAAAGTATAGGCTCGGAAACTTGAGCATGTAAATGTGGCCAGTGAGCTACACACTCCGGCCCACACGTATGTTACTAATTATTTGTTAATCTGTGGATTCTTGCCACTACAACCTGCATTTATTAACTAAAAACTAAACTAACTGTCTAAATGAAAAATCAGATATATACTGTATAGGATTATGATCTTGTATTTCAACCCTTCAAAAGTTTCTATTCACTATATACATTATTACTACACTTCTTATACAACAGTTTCATCCCACACTGATCTCATATGTTGTAGGCCTAAAACACTACAACAAAAACACATGTGTACAACAAGACTAAAGCTAAGAAAGTTTATGATTCTACTGAAAAAATAACAGAATATTTAAGGCTATTAATTATTAAACATGTGACACAATATTAAGAGTAATACTGTACACCAATATGCTGTTTATTTTACACTAGAAGAAACAGCACCAAGTATTATAGTTTAATCTAACAGGAAAGTTGCAACAGGGATACAACATACAAGGAGCATGTCCATGTTACACAAGAGACAAGGAAATATCAAACAGAATACATACATTTAACAAACATGTAATTATTCACCAATTTAGCTTAAAAAAAAAATAAATAAAAAATTCCATTACCAGAACCCTATCATGTTAAGTCACTGTTATCTGTAAACATGACATCCTAAACACTACTTATTGAGAACCAAGGTAAGTAACTCTTGGCTAAATCACCCTAACAAATGTGGGCTTTCATCAGTATATATATACTGTATATATATATATATATATATATATATATATATATATATATATATATATATATATATATATATATATATATATATATATATATATATATATATATATATATATATATATACACTGTATATATTTTTACTTCTCTTTTATCATTGCCTGACAAATTGGTTATAAATAGAGTTCCATCATTCATAATTTTAATTGTTGATGGACTAGTGTAATTAGTAACTTAATTATCCACTTAAAGGACCTCAGATGTCGAAGCGCAGTAATACCATAACATCAACGACAAACTGGGACAGACACCAGAAAATTAAATAAATAAAATCCCCTGAAATACCCCATTTATTAATCACATTATTTCCAACCTCGTCAAACAGTAACCTTTTGTGTGATGTGTATGTTATGCTCAATATAACTCAAGGCTCATCAAGCTTTCTGGAATAAAAAATAAAACCCAAAACTTCAAATCTAAATCCACTCTAGCTGGATCTCACACTCACACACTACAATTTGTCTTTGGTTTTTATTAGTATTGATGTAGGTTTTGTTCAAGAACTCTAATATTCTCACAAAACTAATCTTCCTTAAGCGCTATAGTCAAAACCCTGAAGGACTAATGAAATGTGTCAGTCCTGAAGTGACCTCCAATTTTTATGGTGTAAAAATTCATTAAAACAAGCGTTGTAGTACTAGTAAATTGAGCACAGATAAAAGCTGCATCATCTACACTCCTCATTCCTTCAAAGTTCCATTTCAGTTTCAGATCCGTAAACTGTCCCCTTTGTGGCATAGATAAGTTATCCACTTCTGCAGATAGCCTACCTTCCCATGGGAGCTGTTAAAATTCTGGCAAACTCAATTGTACATTAATCTACGCTAATGTCTTCCCCAAAAATGGCCAATGAAACTACCTTATGCATTATTTCATTACAGTAAAAATCACTCTCAAGAAATGTTAAATGTTCAGTAGTTGAGGCAGGGAAAGTTAAATCTCATATCATCCATTCAGTGCATTCCTTACTTGACATTTCCAATACCGTTATTAAAGGAAACACATTATTTCAGTAAAAGGCAGGCATCACCTCTCTCAGGAAACATACCTTGAACATCTGCAATATATTTTTCTCTCTAAACCTGTGTACTGTAATCTCAACATGTGTCATTGTCCATTCTAAGCCTATTTAATAAAACACTTTTGGACTTAAATGTCATTTCAGAAGTCTATCTGTTTATCTATCTGTTCTCTTATCTCCTCTCCCATTTTTGTATGGAATGGATAAGGGAAACAGAAATCTCAACAAGGGAGGGAATGGTGGTGGAGGGCAGTGCAAGACCATTACTGAGACTGACAAGATGGGGCTGAAACACACTCATGCCCACCCACCCTCTATACTGTACTGTAATCAGCACCTCCAGAACCTTACCAATAAACCCTGAGCATCCAACAAATGCCTGGGATGCATCAATCACCTCCCACTCTGCCCACATAATAGTCACACATCACAGTTCTGTTAGTCACTTTCTTCCACCAACAACCACACAGTGTACTTGAAGGTGGTACTATGCAAACCTTGAAGGTGGAGTCCAATGTATCTTTATTCACAAAGGTAAAATAGTTGAATTGTTTTTATTCTTGAAATGTCGTATAAATATTAGCTATTGTCAAATTTTTATTATTTGTCCTGTAACTTTTTTATTCTTTTGCCTCTCTTTCCATCCTTGCTAGAGCCTTCTTCAGGTAGCATGTAACCTACAGCTTGACAACAAATATTCAAGGCTCTGTAACTGAATATAACATACAAGGGGTCTGTATAAGCAAAATTAGCCCAGTGCTTATCCAGTCTTTTCTCAAAAGTCAATATATCTATTGGTCCCTTAGCAATTAAAGCACAATAAAACAATGTACACTGTACTCTCTCTCTCTCTCTCTCCATAAGGAATATTCCTATTTAGAAATTATTAAATATTAAAGTTGTTAAATAAAAGATGCTAAAATAAATTGTCTACTGACGGTTAGTATTCTTTGGTAGATGTTTCACACTAGTGTTAGTGGAGGGGCGTGAAACATGAAGAGTTACTGAATTTGACTTGTCAAAAGTAAATGAGTCAAAGGACTGTATACTGAGGCTCTCAATGGAGAATAACACATGATGGTATTTTACAAAGTAGAAAAGAAAATTCATAATTAGTAACAGGAAAATGAACTTTGTAATATTCCCTCCCTAATAACTACTAAAACTTAATTATTCACTAGCAATAACAACCAAAACACAGCTTCTTAACACAATTCAAATAAATATGCTGTTAATTTTTAACAACTAAGATTTTTTTCCACATTATGAATGGGACAATGGCTGCAGAATGACATTGCATTATTTTGTAAGCTGCATATTGAATTTTGCTCTAACTTACTTTCAATAATGAAAACCTGATTTCCAATTACCTTCCGTTAATCTCTTTTCAGGTCCACATCACCTTTCATAATAAAACCCTTTCAGTTTTCTTTCCTTTTTCCTTTCCTAACTCCGATCATTTTACAAAGTCTATACAGTATTCAGTTCCCAAAGAATCCATTTAACCTAACCTAACCTAAATTAAACTTCATTTCCAAGCTGAAAATTCTATTAATATTTTAGATTTCATCATGACAATGTGGAACAAAAAAGATGAAAGGTACAGTCCCCCTAAAAAATATTGTTATTTTTTCAGTCTTTACAATTTGAAAAGCTTGACAAAATGCTTTGACATATTCTCCAGTGCTCAGTCATATGTTGGTATGCTTGCTCCCCATACTGGTAACAACTGGAAAAGGGTGTAAGAGGGGGCCTTCCTTTTGTGGATTACGAGCCTCTGCAAAAAAGTGTTACCAGATAATCTGATCTACTTATTAGATAATGGTGTTTACCAATTTCCTGTGGTTAACTGTACCAACCATTCCAAAAATAATGGACGAACATTGCTCACAAAACCACGAACCACAACGACCCCACGGGTAATAATACTTCATTGGGGGACTAAATCATTTTGAAGATACAGACATAAGTTAAAATAATAAGCTCAATAGAGTTATAAGTACAAAAACTCAATAATATGACGCTCTCCTTTTAACTAACTTCCATGAACTGTACACAAGAGGTTTGTGTTTTGATTATTTATTTATTTTTTATTTTTTATTTCTTTTGACATAGAAGCTCAGGATATGAACTCTGGCAATGGTAGACGCATAGCAGTTTTGGTTGTGTAAAATTCCCTTGGCTCTTTGTGTCACATTTATATAAGAACAGTGAATATTGAATGCATCAAGCAATGATTAAACCAAGTTTCTACACAATAAGTAAGAAGAGATACTTTTTCTTATTTCCAATAAATAACTCAAATGATTCAACATACCGTAACAATAATGAATATTAAAAAAAAAAGTGGATAATTTAAGGTATTGACCATAATTGTAAAAGTATCTTTTGGGCAATTTTCCAAGTAATAAACATCTCTCATATTGTACACTCCCAGACAGAGCAGTAATATAAAATATAAATATCCGCTACACTAAGCTAACATTTGCAACATCATTTCCCAATAAAACTGCACATGCTATCTGCAAACACATCAGCCAACCAAATGTGAAAATTTCTTCCAGAATCTGAAATAAAGCACAGCTTCTTATTACAGATACTCAACAAGCTGTGGCTGACTACAATCCTCTAAAAGAGAAACTCCAGAGAGAGAAGATTTGCTCTGATAGATATAAACAGTTTACTTACAACATGTTCCTTATTGTCCACCAAGGGAGGTTAGGAAAAATAAAAGACTTGTTGCTAAATCCCTAGATAATGACATTATTACATCTTTAATATGTATGTGTCTCCTCATATCCATAAAAAATATATTGCCTAAATGTCCCCTTTGTGTATGTATGAAAACAAAAATGAATATACTGATTTTAGCAAAGCATTTTATATATATATATATATATATATATATATATATATATATATATATATATATATATATATATATATATATATATATATATATATATATATATATATATATATATATATATATATATATATGTTAGTTTCTCAACATCCTATTAAAAATCATACACCATATAATCGATTTTTAAATTAAAAATCCTTTTTTCTGATTGTCTTGATATATTAAACATTTATGTAATCTCTGGCTCCTAATTTTTTACATGAGATATCAGGATTAAACAATTCAAAATTGATTAGCCCAAAAAGTGGGGACTGTGAACACTTGCTGGCATGTCCTATACTATACTATACTATACTATACTGACACATGGATTGGGAAGTCCTACAATGGTCTGAATTAGGAATCATGACTTGCTCACTACAATGATAACAGTTAGATATCAATCCATCCATAACTATTTCTAAGATGGAGAAAAAGTCAAGTACATCACAGTATTTTTGATGAAATAGTTTGTAGCATTAAGTTCTTGTAAGTCTTTCATATTATACTAAGCTCTCAATAGTTTCACACTCCATTTATGGCAAAACAATAAGTACAGTATTATTTTTTTAAATTCTGGCTTAATCATTAAACAACATAGGGATCACCCAATTACACATTTTTTTCGTGTGGTGAGATATTTATAAACTGCATGTGTAAAGTGGAACAGAATGAAGAGAAATAACTGCTGAGTTTTACTTTCAACATTTCTCTAAAGGTCACTAAGCTGATACAGAAAATATATAAAGAGATATAAGGGATGAAGACTTCACAATCCATGTGTCAAATAATAAGGACTGTATCACCATCCAGCAGATAAAACAGCCAATTATGAGAATAAAACTAATGAGTATTAATAGTCATTTTTTTCTTTCTATCTTAAACTTTGGTTATAAAAGTTATTCATATTCCTGCATTATTGATGTAGAAAACCTGCAGTAGTCTGATACAAAATGGCACAATTATGATCACTACCAACAGACTCCATATACAGTATAAACAGTTAAGCCAGGGAGACCACCATGGATGGCGGCCGCTCACCAGGTTGGAGCAGGATGCTACCCTCAACTGTTAATATTTTATAAATTCTGACTTCTTTACCCAATACAGTACAGCACACTAAAACCCTCTAGACTACAGTACTGTACACTACAGTCACATACAAAAATCAGTAAAAGAAAAAACTTAAGTGGGGGAACTTACCATATCCATAACAGCTAGCGATGGAAGGATGCCAATAATGAGGTAGAAGACTGTCTCTAACATCTTGAACCTCTCATGGAACAGTTGCTGATACAAGATGCCCAGCACAGCCAGGACCCATATACCCCATCTGTAAATACATATCACTAGTTATTCAATATACTCTAACATGAACAACAAATGGCACACACAACGATTGTTTTAAATACCAAACCTGTACTCTCACTCTTTACATGAAAGCAAAACAGTTCCAGTGAATTATAAGTAAGTGCAAATAAAACACAAGGCCGGGGATAAAGTAACACAAACCTGAGATGAAGAGTCCACGAGTCTTGAGGTAGAGGGCGGAGCAGCAGCCACGGTGTATATGATGTGGCGATGAACACGTAGATCATCGCTCGGTCGCTACGGTGGAGAACCTCCTTGAGATTTCTGTGAAGGAGATAAGTCATTCAATCAATTCTTCTTTTCTGAAAATATAAAATAATATAAATTCATTCAGAAGTCTCCAATTTTAGGACAAGGGTAATTTTTGTTTGCAGAAATACTCGAATCCCCTTAAGAATAATGCTTTGATATTTCATACAAAATATTTAACAAGTTTGCTTAATGATACTGTACGTGTTTTTCTAAGAGAAGTGTAAGTCACAGTGTTTAAGATGTGAGTACATAGTTTAGAAGTTTAATCACATTCTCAAAGCTTTTAGACTACATTAATAATTACCAAATTAATTTATATGTTAGCTATTGCAGGTGAGATTAACTAGGTTAATACTGAATTTTTATTTACTTTCTTAAAAACTGCCTACCAGAAGAAGGCCTAATGAATGGAAAGTAGGCATCTTCCATACGTATATATCATTATGACATATAAAGCAGGATCACAAATGTAGAATTTCCAGAAACTTCAGTCATCATATTTTTCCAGTCAAAAACACAAAAGCATTGCCTGCAATAAGATTAAGACAAATTTAACAACAACAAAAATGACAACTTCTTAAAAAATAGGGGAACTTATCCTGAAATCATCTTTTATAACCAGCCATGGATAGGATGAGTCAAGGATATTCCACCTAAGGCTTGGAGTCAAACAACCCAGGGAAGCGCCTACCCCAGGGTGGATGGGGCTAGTCCAAAGATTAGCAGTCTCCCACACAACTACCCTGGCCCTTCAAAAGGGCCTGTGGCATAAATATTCATGAGTCATTCTAAACAAGCACAGGTTAAAAAGGTTATAAGAAGAAAATGTTAAGATATCAAGAGGGGCATTACCACTCTTTTATCCTATTTTCATCAATCATCCTCAAGATAATTACCAGTAAGTCATTCCCTGCCAAGGTCCTGCATAAATCAAACTTATACAGAATATTTGTAAGAATCTCCAAGTGGTGTTGCTGGGTTGTAAACACATGAAGGAGATGTTCAGTAAATATAAGGTTCTAAAAGCATCATTGTGAATACTGTATCTGATTTGAACAAAGATTATACAACACCACACTTTTCGTAAGTACACACATACAGTAGAGTGTATAAAACAACACACCACACTCCTCAACAAGTTGCACAACTATTTACTTGTAATAGCCGAGATAGAAGACTATATGAAAGAAAGTGGAGACACTGAAGAGGCCCGCCAGCCCTACACCATATATGGTAGCAGCTAACTGATGTACGTCCGAGCGACTAGCCATGACCATCATCACCGCTCCGTATATGGCAGGCAGCACGAACAGCTGAGAAGATGGGGAGACACATTGATTAGCTGTAACTCAAACACCCATATTATTGTTTCCAAACCTTCATGAAACAACTGTAATGACCCTGCACTTAAGGTTAAAAGGATCTGATGTACAGTACTGTACTGAGAATTATCAAATTATTGTATCATCAATACTATTTAAAACTACAACTAATTGTTAAAATTACACAAAGTCACACAGTGACCTCATGCAATATACTCTAGGCATTGATAGTTATTCTTCCCTAATTCCTAACATTAATAGAGGTTACTTCATATCAAGTACAGTATTTAAATTTTCTACAGGAACAGCATCTCCATCCGCTCACTACAGTACCTAAACTTACAACCTGATCATGCATGATATAAGCAGTAAAGAAATACATGTACTTATCACAAGTTGGCATCACAGGGGCTAGGAAGAGTCGAGAAAGCACATGAACTGGGGTGTGTGAACAGTGGGGTGAGGTTGGCAGTATGAGGAAAACAACATTGATTTGCAGGCAGTGTTAGGTACAGGACACTTGTTTTATTATGTTATTGTTATTACTGCCTTCAGTTATTGATCATGAATCTGCTGATGGTCAAGAGTCCTCTACTACACTTGTACTCGGGGGTTAGACATGCGGTGAGCCACGTGAAGGCCATGGGCGAGATCCCTACATCACAAAAGCTGAAAACCTACTAAGAAGGGAAACTGAGAGGCTCACATGTGTGAGTGAGTGAAAGATAAATGCCTACTTGGCAACATAAGTTATTCAGGCTCACGTGGCGATAAAAAAAATCAGGACCGCGAAATTACAAAATGTCATATGATGAGAACTGAAGCCTGGGGGTTAAGACACCTGCTGCCAAGTTCCTTCATCCTCCTAATACAATAATGTACTGTACTTTAGATCACATTTAAACATAAGCCTTTTTTGGCTTGATTTTGTTGGTGTTGGTTTGTAATATTATACAAGAGCTCAGTCAGACACCATCAGTTGCATGATATTTATTAGCCTGGACACTACTTCGAAGTACCTCATCACTTTTAATATCAAAACAACATTTTTGCATTCACAGAGCCACTTGAATCATAACATTTGAAATTAATCTTGAGTACTAATTCACCTGAAAACTATTTGAAATCCATTTTAAGATTCAAGTCTCTGGCAACAATCTACAGCGTTGATTCATCAAGTCTTAGGACAAACACATACACACATTCTCTACAAACATCACTTTACCACAATGACAAGGAACATTTATGAAAATACAGAACATCTAAATCAATATGCAGATTATACATATACGTACAGTATAATGGGTGTGCACATGGAGACATTAATGGGTAGAAATTATATTATCTAAGTTTCAAAGGGTAAAATAATTACCCCTGTACAAAATAAAACTGTACAGTACTGTAACACAATGTGGTATACAATAATAAATGAGTCACAAACACTGCTATGTACTGTATAGTATATAATTTCACATCACTTGCTCTACACTTGTGTTATTTTGCCCTGAGTATGTTAAGCTTTATAATTAGTTCCATTATAAATAAGCTTGACAAGTGTTAACGAGCGCATGCAAGTTTATCCGTCAGAGAACATCAACACACTAAATAATGCCCATATTTAAGTGCCTTAATCTATATGTTACATAAGGCCCTTAACCAACATGTAATATAAATGATATGAGTAAGGATCCTGTAGTGCACTTGAAAAAAATATAAGAATGATGTGAATTAAAAAGAAACTGCTTGACACTGATCAATACAGTAAACAGCTAAAGAAAAAATAATATGCTGATCGTCAACTAATCCAGTTTTCTCCTAAGTACAGTACCTGAATATTTTAATTTTCAACTGAGATAATAATTGCACCACAAGTGTTTCTCACCTGGTACTGTACACCTGATACTCTTATATTTGCACAAAGTGACAGTAACACAATACAATACACCAACAATAATTACCCCGTGCGTCACCATGTTGGCCCAGTGCTCTACATTTGTAGGTTGGTACGCTGCTCGATCCAATGGCACAGAGTTCATCCATGCTAACCTGCAAGAGTTCAAATCATAATTATTTCCAACAACATGGCAGTACAGTATCTATGTACTGTACAGTATTGTATCTGTAATAAGAAAAGGACATGTCTACCTGTCTGTCCCAGCCACAGCTCAACAGTACATTCTACAGATCACACAATCATATTCTCAAGTAATCTTTCAGCCACATAATCCTAAAGTTTGTCAGAGTCTTTCATGTTCAGTAATCAGTGTTCAGTTGGATTTCTAGTCTCCCTTTGCAAACCTTTAGAGGGCCTGTAGACTCTGAGCCCAGACTCCTTTAAAATGGAACTATCAGCCGCTCACTGGAATACTCCCGGTTACTTCAGCAGCCTACCTCCCCCTCACAATGGAGGAGAAGCCAAGGAAGAATTAGATTTACATTTTTTTTAATGTAGTCAAACAACTGAAGTGTTAATTGTTACAAAGATGGACCGAAGGAACAGGAGAGAAACAATACTGTACGAAACTGTTGCTTCAGTTCATGCCACAAGTGTGAAGGTTTCAACACCAACAATAAACAATAGGCTTAACCTGCACTGGGCACTACACAATACAATGCAGTACAGTACATCTCTACTATAGTGTAGAATTAAATTTTTCATGAAACTTGTCATAAAAGTGGAATAATACAGCACTGTTTAGTTTATCTTACCTCAGAGTAAAACTTGCATACAAAAAATTACAAGCCTTATGTCTCTATAGACATAAGGTTTACAAGTTGTCTGCTCAATAAACTCATCAAGTACATTTTCTATATGGTACAAAAGTAAGGCCTATGTCCCCCAGGGCCCCAACAAAACTAAAGCTGACAATCATAGTAAGATCGTGTTGGTTCAACATTATGATTAGGGAGGGGTAATACCCCAGCTTCATGATTGAAATATAAGAGTAATTCACAACACCAACCACAGAAAACTCTTAATTGACCAAACCTAACCCATCTGAGAAGCTCATGAATAATTTAAACGAAAAAATCAAACACAAGCATGACATTCAGTACATCCCATTAACCAAGAAAATGAAGATGCAGGTCTGCTTCCTAACAAGCCCCAAAATCAGCAGCCAGCTTAGGAATTCCCTGAAGCCATAAGCCAGCTCACGTCAAGACAGACTCTCACTGGGGCGAGATGTACTTCTTGCAATGCAAAAAGAACACAACTGAATGTGGACTGAGGTACTGTACTGTGCCAAGCACACACACACTAGCCTAGATTTGGAGAGATCAGTAAACTATGTAAAAAAAATCCAACAAAACAATAAAGATGAATTTAATAAACCTCCTAACTTAGCAGATAACACCCAGAATTACATTAGTTCCTGACAAGAATCCCCCATGTGTTGCAACAATAATGGAACACTTAGCTTTGTAGTAGGGGGTCCCCGGATTACAAACGGGTTCCGTTCCTGAGGACATTCTTAAGTCGGATTTGTATGCAAGTTGAAACACATGCTGTGTGCAGTCCTTATATGCATCTAAAATCACTTTATTTAAGGCAAAAGAAGAAATAGAATGACAAAATAAATTAATGAAAGTAAAAAATAAGACATCAGGTAAATAAAATTCTGTAAATTTCAAGTTTAACCCTGTTCGTATAGGCGGGCATTCATAAGTCGCGGACCCTTTACAGTACAGTATAATGTAGCTAATGTATACATCTTGGGACAGAGCCAGTCTGTGGATACCTGCTCATGATGGTGTATAACTAAGAAGTGATTATATAACCTGATGATTAAACATGGTAATATATGTTTAAAGATCACAGAGCCTTCGTGGCAGAACAGAGTGAAGAGTTGTGACGAACAGAAGTGCCTCTAAATGGCAAAACATCACAAATGGTATACTACAGGGAAGAGTACTTGGCTCCATTCTATTTGTTTTGTATATTTACAATTTACCAGATACTGTATTGTGAATTCCCACAGCTGTATTTGAAGACAACACTAAAATCTTCACAGAGGTACAGTATCATCAAGAAAATACTCCCATAAGCTTCAGGATGATATTAGTGCAACTCAAATTCAACACAGACAAAGGCATCTTGAGTGTGGAACAGAGATAAAACACCAGCAGTTTGATACACACTATATGGACAACAGGTAAGAGGTGAAAAAATAAATAAAAATAAAGCAACTGACTGAAAAAAATATTAAAGTACAGTATATATGGACTAGTAGCTGTCCTTTGAGTGAACACTGCCAACATGTTACGAGAGCCATCTGAAGAACAACACACATGTGGAGGAACACACTTTGGTTATTATTCGTTATTACTGCCACTCGTTTCAGATAAAATTAGTCTTTTATCTGTTGTTTTAAATGGTGATGCTTTAAACTAACTTTCAACATTTATGGAAATTCACTATTTTGGAGGAAATGACGAAATGAAAATTGATGAAAAATAAAACAATACAGATTCCTCCGGCTGTTGATCAATCACCGCACAACGCCTGCATCATTTCCTGTTGAGTGCTGCTGATTTTTACCATCACTCAGACGTTCCTACATTAGGTCTGAGATAGTTTAGGTAGGTAACGTTAAGTTAGTTTAGTACATGTCAGTGTATAATGATTATTTTCCTCCCCGCCAAAACCACCAATTCCCTCTGGATCCCATAAATTGTCATCATTTCCTCAAAACTTATGATTTTCCCAGAGAAATGAAGATTAGATTCGAATAAAACATCAAAAGACACCAGAAAAATGTTTGTGTCAAAATTAAGTTGGCAGTAATACCGAATATTTACAAATACTTTTTTAAAACTCTGGTAAAATCTCATCTTGAGTTTGAGATGTGATAATGGTGGAAAACATACAGTGGTGAGCTACAAGACGGAGTGGAAGTATCAAGGATCTGAGATGATGAAAGGCTTACATGGCTTAAGTGACCTACTCTGGCATATAGACAATACAGGGTGGGACATGATAGAGGTTTATATAATTCTAAACGGCCATTATGTCAGAAAAGTGGGTGATGTTTTGAAATGGAGGGAAAACATAACCACATGAGGATATACATTGTAGTTAAGGACACCATAATTGCGCTGTCCATTCAAGCCTTTTTAGCACTGCCTGGATAAGTTTTCTTCAGCTTATGTTAAGATATTATGAAGCTTAGAAAATTGTGAACAGATCTCAGCCTGACAGCAACGATCAGTCACCCTACCTAAGGACAGGTACAGTGTATACCTAAATCAGTAATTCAAGACACATTACAAGGAACCCCATAAGTGAGTTAGTGCCTTACGTTACTACCAAACCTCATATACACGTACATCATTATCTATCTGAATTTAAATGTGAAAATATACAAATAATTACTACCTTTACATGCAACTATTATGTACTAAAACCAAAATTGGTCAATGAATTAAGTGGTAGGGACGGTGCTGAGATATGGCCTACTTCTTTTGTGTGGGCTGGATGGCCACCATCCCCCCTCTGTTGGTCATCCTGAGTGATCCTGTTCTTCCCACTACTTCAGTTGGCCACCATCCTGCCCACATGCACGTCCTGCACCTCAGTAAACCAGCAGTACCCTCCACCACCGCCGCCGCCCACTCCTGCCCGGCTGGTCCTCCTGTAACACTGAACCCTTTAAGCCAGGGGAGGAAGCCTTACCTCTAACACTATTGACATTCATATCTTGAGGACACATACCTATCTCATATATGTAATTCGTTAACTTGTAACAAAACTTTATATTTTATTTACAAAATTATAAAGATTTAGCAATATTTAAGGCAATATGAACTGCGGTTCATATTACTTTTACTTTTTCCTTTTATCCTCTTCACCACTGATCGGTTACTGTTGAATTTGGTTTTTATCCACACCTATTACCACAATGTAAAGAAATCAGTTTCCAATAAGTCTTTTATTTACATAAACAAGCAAACGATCTACTGTAATATCTAAACATAGATATTAAAACAGGTGAAGTACTTTCTTTGGCTCTGTGAGTTCCCAGGACGATAGCCTCAGCCACCTTCAAGGACAAATACCTGTCAGGTTATTTAATTTAATAAACTAATCCGAAGTGAGTCCCACAACTAAATTATCTATTTAACTGACACAAGCTTCAACCATGAAAGGCGTTCCTTGAGAATGTTTTCGTCCCTTAGTTTAGATAACATTTAGTTATTCACTATATGAGGCAAGACTTGTCATGTTCTTGTGTTCATCTATAATATGCCTGGTGTGACACAAACCAGAATAGTTCCCCCACTTCTCCGTGTCCTCCAGTTATATTTTTCTCAGAGAATGCCTTGCAAAGTGTAGATTAAATAATTTTTTAAAAGGTGTTGCAAAAGAGTTAGGGAGAAAAAAAATATGCAAGGCGGTAGATGTTCTCTTGTGATATAAAATTTTATATATTATTTATATATTATACACTTATAATATTCGTCAGATAACATATTTAAGTTTAATTATTGTGAGAAGCGGCAGGATATAGGTAAAACACAGGTCTTCCTGAACATGGTTGGGGACAACGGTAAAAGGTGAAGTGTTAACAACTCAGAGAAGCCCAGCATAAAATGTTTTGTTCATCACCTTTGTGCATAAAATTAATTGGTTAATTACTTGAATAAAGTAAATTAATTTAGTTATTGGGAAATATATGGTTTTTCAAGAGTTAGTAAATATAATTCTGAATTCAACAGGTTCGTAAAAAAAGAACTTTTATACCAGCGGGTGTGTACAAGGCGGACCCTAACAAGCTTGGTTGAGTCAGTGTATTTTTGAGGTGTAGACGGTGTAACTACTCATTAATTGCATATAGGAGAGTCTCATCCACCAGAAAAAGGTAAGAGGGCATTATGTATGCCTCAGTAAGAAGTAAATAAGAGCATGTTGGTGTGTGAGGCGTGTGACAGGTCGACCCTCCACCCACACTACGGGAGCTGGACGTCTCACTAATAACTGGAATTTCATTAAGTAAATTAATGACAGTTTTTTTATGTTTTTATGTTTAAATTTTTAGGTAATTGTCATATTTTTCGGGTTTGAAGTGAATGTATGGGTCTTTATAATTCACTTACCAAAGTAATATACATAAACCTAACTATGTACTGTACGTTAGGGGGCAGCCACCACACAGGGAGGTCCTACCCCTGGGGAGACAGTGTGTGGTGGACCCTGCTGCCTTATGTGGCCAAGTCCCAGGTTGATGAGCTGACTTTCTGTCTCATTTACACACAATTGCAGGGTCTCAATTGTTTCTCTTACTATTGACAACACAACATGCACGGTCCGACTAATTACCCAAATAGCCGGAATGAAGTCAAATAAGGGTCCTAGATGAATAAATCGGACTGCCAATCACTTCTCGACTAGTATTTGGTGTCACAAAGTAAAAAAAAATTGGAAAACTTACTTTAATCTGAGTTGTGTTGTGTTAGATTAGATTAGATTAGATTAGATTAGATTAGGTTAGGTTAGGTTAGGTTAGGTTAGGTTAGGTTAGGTTAGGTACATGCACTTGATCTATTAATTCAGATTAAATTAAGTTTACCAATTTTTTGTGACTTTGTGACACCAAATACTAGTCGAGAAGTGATTGGCAGTCCGATTTATTCATCTAGAACCATTATTTGACTTCATTCCGGCTATATTTGGCTCCATTTGGGTACATTTGGGTAATTAGTCGGACTCCAACATGCATACAGTATATTGTTTCTCACTTTTGATCTTTTTTTTTTAATTTTTGTATTTATGGTTCTTTATTATTATTATTATTATTATTATTATTATTATTATTATTATTATTATTATTATTATTATTATTATTATTACATTTTCGCCTCCCCCCAGGCCCCATTGTGGGTCAGTAAAATAAGCTGCAACCCAACCAGCATCAACAGCTATAGATAAAGTTCTTATAATATCTGAGCAGGATAGGACTCGTAGTAACGGATTTAGGTTGGATAAGTTTAGGTTTAGGAGGGAGAAAGGTAGGAACTGGTTCACAAATAGGGTGGTAGACTAGTGGAACAAGCTTAGCAACTTTGTAGCAAGTGCTGGAACGCTGGAAAGTTATAAAAGGAGGCTAGATAGATTCATGGATGATAGAGAGTGGTAGTAACTCTCGACAGGAGCTGCCATGCACAGGCCAACTGGCCTATTGCAGACACCTTATTTTCTTGTGTTCTTATGTAACAGAAATGTGGAACTAAGAAACCAGGGGCCAAATAAAATGAAATCCTCCTTAACAGAGAAGTTATACAGTATTTAAATAAGCTGAGAACACAGTATGATTCACCCAGAAAAGATGATTCCAAAAAAATGGAAAAATACCAAAGAACAGAAGAATATTAATTAAAATTTGAAAGTATTTAACCATTAAACTAATAAAAGAAAGAATTGATGTAAGACAGACAGCACTAAGAGTAGGCAAGTAGGAATAGAAGAAGATTTAGTGAGTACTATTATTGTTTTGGTCGTAGCGAAATTTTAGGATTTTATGTTTGTCAGGTTGAGTTACGTTAAGTTAGGTTGGGTTAGGTTGAGTTAGGTTAGGTTAGGTTAGGATAGGTTAGGTTGAGTTAGGTTAAGTTGTGTTAGGTTAGGTTGAAATTATGTTTTTCTGATGGTTTTTTTTTATGTGTTTTGAAATATTCTAACCTGCTTCCAAATAGGTGCTTGACTGAAACGATAATTTTGCCTTTTACTGGAGTCCTGCAAACAATAAATAAAGGGGAGTCTGTTATTAACACCAACAGTAAGTACTTCTACAGGTACTTCTACAGGTTTACAAAGAAAGAACAAAAAGTAAAAGTTCAACAGGACTCCTAGTAAATGAGAATAGGCTAAAGGTGGAGCAGACCGTTAGCACCAGAAGGACTTTATGGAATTGCACCAAATTTTCACGAGATGTTTGGTTGATACTGAGTAATAAAACTGGCTATTATTTTAGTTTTGGTCATTAGGTTAGGTTAGATATCCAAACTGTTTCCGATGGGTTTTGATGTGTTTTGAATGATTTGGACCTTCATATCTGTCGGAAATCACATTTTTTTTTCCCACACCCAAATACAGGGATGACCTTAGCTAAAATTGAAGCTACAATAGTTTTTTCTTTTCTTTTTAATCTATCCTATGATCATAAATTAGTTAGTGGGCAGGCCTTTTGCAGTAATGTAAGGTAAAATTATTGTTTCGGTCATCCACTTATTTGGGAGTAGGTCAGAATTGTTCAGAACACATCAAAAGCTATCAGAAAAACATAATATCAACCTATTCTAACCTAACCTCTCTTGGACAGTGGTAACTTGAAATCCTAAAATTCGCTGGATGGCCAAAACGATAATAATACCATATTATTTTCATACAAGACCATAAAATTCACTTACCAATATGCACATCTAATATGGTCTCTTATGCCTTAGTTATTGGAAGCAGATCATGGAGAACACAGTGGCTATCTCCTCACTAGCTTCTCTAGTTTAAGGTGGAAGGCCATCACTAATGTTTTCTTGTTTGACTTGAAAAAAAATAGTTTACCATTTTATGAATGATATGGTGGTCCGTATGTTACAGATGGCAGTTTCAAGGTCTGATAATCCAAACTTAAACTAGTATAACTTCAGTTGGGTTAGGTTAATGGCACACATTTCCCAAAACAAAATTATGAATCATTATCATCATAAAAATACTCCAGCAAAAAAAGTAACACATTAATAAGGTCCTTTTACTGGTAGCCTTCTCCTTAACCTCTACTAAAACACTGTACTTGTTGTATCCTATGTGTAGAGTCATACATTTGGTTAGGTTAAACAGCATTTACCAGTCTTGTGGCCATTTGAATAGCTCATGCAGATCTTTTTGCATGGTAGCGACATCATCTTTACTTGCCACTTTTCAAAACTCTTCATGTTGTCTGCAAATTTGAAAATGTGGCTCGATATATATTAATTGTCGATAATTGAGATCACAAATGGCACTAAGGATAGATTTTGGGGTACTCCATTGAGTCAATTACTGTATTAATCCAGTTAAATGTTTTGCCTGTGTTGCCATGTGCACGCGGGACTTTGTCAAACTTCTTAGAAAATCCATATACTGTACAGTACAATACATCCACTGGTTAGCCTTGGCCCGTGTAGTCTGTTACCATCTCAAGGAAAGTGAGTAAATTTGTCAATCAGGGTTTTATCTCCATGAAACCATCTGCTCGGCCAGGTTTTGGGTTATGGCATCCCTCAAAATTTTCTACATACAGTATATGATGTTAGGCTGATCAGCCTGCAGTTTTCTGCTTCATCTTCTCTACCATTTTTCGTATTGGGGTGAAAGTGGCTGATTTCCATTCTCTTGACATTTTTCTTATTGACCCCAAGATTTCCTGAATAGAAGTCTTGGTGGAGGGCAAATGTTGTTTATCACCTCCTTTATCACCTTGGTGTGTGCTCTGTCCAGTCCTGGGGCTTTGAAACACTGAGAAAACATCTATAATCATATTTCTGTAATTATATGTTTGTGAAATAATAATAATAAAAAAAAAATATTAACATCTTGGGAATATTCAAACCAAATTTAAAAGACTGTACTGTACACAGAAGTACAGCAGTAGTACACGTATGTCTCACTGCTATGTCATGGGATTGTCATGCTTGGCCCGGACAGATATGAGAAGAGTGTTATCCAGTGTGACCCACCAGACATCACAGGTTCCCTCGTTTATAAGTGACAGTGAATAGATCATCTACCCAGATGGGTAGTAAGCTGATAAGTGGCGAGATGATAAATAAAAATGAAATACAGTAAAATAAATTAAATTATCTGTACAATGTGTGTAAAAGAGCAAATAAACTGGCACAGACAGGCACCTAAAGACCACGTTGTCACTGCCATTTACAGCAGGGTGAACTCATCTCTTACTTGTATGGTGCTGTTCCAGTATTGTGTTTCTTTATATATTTGTACCGGTACTATACTTCCAGTAACAATTTAGTCTTTCCACTGATTCATGAAAGAAAACCAACGTTGAATAAGTAAGCATAGTGGTAGTTAAAAAAAATTCGTGCATTATTTCAGCATATTTTCATTATTACTTAGGTAAACATTACGAAAATATTGAAAAAAAATTGTGACTACAGGGTTTTCATTTGTCAGTGACAGTGGAACAATTTAATTTTTGTAAACCACAGCATCATAAATCTTGGTACTGTACATACCTGTGCTGTACAGTACTGTACAGTATATGTTAGCAAACAAATCAACAGAGGGTTACTACTTTATTACTTAATATTCTTTGATGGGATTTTCACTGATTTGTTTGTTCGGGGAGTACTTACAAAATTTAATAGAAAATATGAAGTGTGAATTCATAAAAATTATATTTTAAAGTGTCCTCATGAAGTGTATTATTTTGTATGTTTAATAATTGTTCTGGGGCTAAACCATGTAGGAAAGTAGATGTGAACCACTGAAACCTAACTTTACCCAACAGTCCTGGGAGCTTTGGTTACATGCCGTAATTATTGATTTTCCCCCATGAATTTTAAAATTAATATAAACAGAATGTGTTTGGTAAATATTGTACACTACATTACTGTACTGTATTTAAAACAAGCAAATTAGTGGAACTCCCATAAAAAATAAATAAATAAAATAGCGACCCCCACTTAACCTTTATGTGAATATACAGTCTTAAGCACAGTGATTCAGGAGTGGGAAAGCCAATGCAATACAGTTCTAAGTACTGTATGTGTATAATATTTTAATTTTCTTGCTGGGGAATCGAATCCTATTTTCCCTATATTTTTTGTTATTTGATGACTCATATTCACGTAACAAATGGATCTCAAGGAACCTAACCCATTTGTACATTGAAGGATACCTGTACAGTACTGTGTGAGACTTAACACATATTAGGTTCATAGTACTTGCTTTATTTTTTGTGTTGTAAGTGTTATGAAATTTAATTGGTTTAGAAAAGGCAATGTTTATGGCTTATGTGCACAGTAAGTAAAAATTATAAAGTTTTTGTTGTTCTTTTTATGACAGATGCATGATGCCAGTAAGGGGCGACAAAGTACAGAAGCGGGTCAATGAGCGGGGGAGGAACTTCAATATAGACAGTCGCATCAGTAACTTGGGTCTACCACGAAGAGAGCATCATGGACAGCAAGACTTGTATCTGGATGTGGTGAGTGTTGACCTGTCTTTAAGGAGTAGTGAAGAATTATCATCATTCATGTAGTACTGTTATTAGGAAACCAATATGGAGGGTTGAGCTGAAATGTTGGACTGAGATTATGAGGCACAGTGCAGGAACATTAGTGGACACAACAGATAGGCAAAAGAACTTGTGCTTCTTGGACACAGGTTCAGTAAAATTATCACTAAACATTGACTAATTCATTACAGTATTGATATTTTGAAAGGGAAACATGGGGGGGGGGGGCATCGTGAGCCAGCATTAGTGGGTCACTTCCCAGAATAAGTCAGTGCTGCACACATGATAAATTGAAACCAACCAAGTGACTAGACTGGGAAATTTATTTACAGTACTGCATGTAGCTTATGTAAATAAACCGTTTAAGCGGTAAGTGGGCCTCACAGCTAGTGCTTTGAAGGCAACCTGCATCATAAAAGTGGGGAATGGGGATGGATCTTAAAGAATGTTAATTGATAGACAAATAACTGCTTATGAACAGTATTTAGTGGCAAAGAGAGTAGGCATTATTTGATTATACTGTACTTTACTACTTGACATTCTACCTGCTGACGTGCTTCAGTTTGGTTAGTGATGCCATGAAAAAAAATAAAGGAATTCCTACACTGTACAGTATGTACATATATGTTATGCCCCATTTGTGAAATTGCCTAACATAGCCTAACCTAACTTAAGCCGACCTAACTTTTTATATAGGCTATTAAGCAAACTTGGCAAAATAACTTAACTCACCTGAATCTAATATAATTTAGGTTAGCTAGGTTACATTAGGTTAGGTTGGGTTGGTGTAAGTTAGCTTAGGATACCATTTCACAAGTGAGGCGTAGCATATACAAATTCATAAAGTTGGTAAAATGTTGGCTGCAGTCTTTTCCAGTATCTCAACCAACACCGTCTCGCACCCCATCCATAATGAACCTAAAAGCCTTACCATATAGTGTTTATATAGTAGCCATGTGGTGGTATCTTTTAAAATAGATTTCATAAAAATATGTCAGTTAGGTAAATTATTTCAGCCTAAACATCTGTAATTGTTGTAAATATTTCTTAAACACTGTACAAATTAGAAAGGGATATATAAGATAGAAACTTCGAGAAAATAGGACCTAGAACTAAGGAAGACATGAGTTATCTTTATTCACTAGAGGGTCAACACACTGATGGTCATACTGTAGGTGTTTGTCGCATCATTTCAGCTAAACATTACCCAAAAACTACCAGGAAAGTACAATTCGTGGTAAAATTTTAGTAGAAGACATAATTAGATATAGTATTTTTGTGTCAAATAATAATCTCAGGCAAAAACAAGACGATTTTCTTCTATTACAATTTTGGCGCATTTAAACATAACCGAGATAGCATGGGTTGAAAGTCAGAAAACTACTAGAAAAAATTAAGCGGTGGAGAGAAATGTGGTAAAGTTTATAAGATATTAATGAGTAAAGGATTGTCATTAGTGCATAAAATATGGGACATTGTGGGTGAGGGTGTATAACTAACGGCAGCAAGTGAGTCCCCTTCCTCACTCTGATCCGTGACTTCCCTTGGGTAGAAAATATGAAGTGACAGAAAAAACAACAATAAGGAACTGAGTAGAAAACAAAAGCTTTAAATGAATATAAAGCAAACTAGAAAGGCTGTGGGCTTTTAGAAGAGAGAAAACGAGAAAGTGCTTGAATAGTTTTAGGTGGGTGAAAGGAATTTAAGACTTGAAACCATGCGGGCAGACTGTGGGGGTATTTCCTTCGTTTTCTATTCCAAAAGTGTCCAATAACAGTGGCCAGAATGAACAGTCTACTAATACGGTAACAGAGGTAGTAGGTAGGGTCCCATGTTGCAGGCAAACGCGTGGTTACCATTGCCAGTACCTGTACACTGATCCCCTCTTTGGACACACTGATACTGAAAACACGTATTCCTCCATTTTTATCTTAAGACAGAACATCTCAGCACTGTATGCTTTAAACTTTTCCCACGTGGCTGACTTAATGAATTTTGTGAGGAACATATTTTTTGTGTATTTCTGTACGTTTCTCGTGTTTGTGCTGGGATTGTTTAGGTATTGCGTACGTGTTCCTACTCTCGGGTCGCAATACACCTTCACTGTAAAGTCGACTTCAGCATTTTTGTTGGCCTCTAAATGGTGGCTTTAAATTTTATTGGGAAATGCTGATTACATTCACTGATAAAAAATAGATACACTTGGCTTTTTGTAAAATTATGTTATAAGCTCGAAGGAAAGAACCTCTTTTGTTCATTATAAAATAAATGTGCCAGGTGACAAGGCGTACAGTATAGTGTTGCCTCACGGGTATGAGTGTTTGAGTGTTACAGTACGTGTCTTATTCCTGTGTGTGTGTGTGTGTGTCTGTGTACTTCGTGCGTGCTTGTGAGTGTCGATATGGAGACCACGTGTTTGTGCGCGCGCGTACGTACGTGCACGTCAGTTGGCAGGGCATGTTGGGTGTGGGTGCTACCCACCACCAGTGTGTGGGGTGCCAGGTATTGCCGCGGGTCAGACAGTCGTAGCCTGCCATCATACAGGTGAGCACCACTTCTGTTACAGTGCCCGTCACCCCCCCCCCACTACCCGTACAGTCATCTTCCCAAGTGAGGTTGTGTCAAATGTCGACGGTCACCCACACAAGAACCATCACCCGACGGTTGTAATATGGGACGGCAACAGCAGTACAACCACGATGTTTTGGTGTTTCGGCTGGGATATAACCTAAGGAAGTGGGTTAGCGAGGCACATCATATCCCTTAGAGAGATTAGACTCGAAGTGGGTGATTCCTCTACATGAGCTTCGTCAGTCAGCTAGTACAGTGTAAGGTTGAACAGCAGCGCTCAGATTCTCAATCTTTCGTTACGTTACTTTTTCTTGTAATTGAAGAGAACATTATCTGTGGTAGAGTCTGTGGTGCAATGTGGCCGCCATCTTCAGTTAATAATATCTTAAAGAACCCAATAACATGCGTCCTCACATTTCCATTTAAGGGAAAAATTAATGTGGGCTAATGGGAATACATCTTCATATCGGTTCTACTTATATGAGCTTATAATACACGTCATTGTCTCTCACGTAGGATAGAGATGAGAGGGATACAGTACGAATCTTCCCTAATGTCGTAACGTAACCTAAGGAGTTGGTTAGACGTGCGGTGTCCTTACGTGTGCAGGAAGCAAAATATACTGATAACTTACTGATATTTTAAGGAGACTTTAATTATATAAATCTATTTAGAGGAAAAAATATATATTAGGGGAAATTTGACGTCTAGGTATTTGAGAGCTAATTTATTGCGTCGTGGTGTTTCGAGTCGGTTACACATGCGTTCAAGCTCTCGGGTTCCTTTAAAAAATTTCGCGTGCGAATTTTGTGTGTGAGGGAGATGAAAATGATTAATATACGGAATTTTGTGGAACCATCTGTATGCCATAGATAGAGTGAGCTTGTTAGGTACATAATCTCACTTTCTCAGTTACAAGGAGGAGGTGAGGAGTGAGATTTTATGTGTACGTGTGTTAGGGAGAAATTTTAACCCATTGGGGAGAGATGTGTATGGATGAAGCTGCTGGGTATAGACGTTAACGCCATGCCCCCAGAACTTCCTTCGTCGCTCACCGCCTGCTAGTGTTCTGAAGGCGCCCATGATTAGTGCCTCAGAGAATGTATTGGGGGTGTAGGGGAGGGCGTAGGGGATAATGTGGGATGGGTGTGTAGGAATGGTGACTGTTGTGGGGGGTGTGAGTGTGGGGACATGGTGATGGGGGGGAGAGGGTAAGGGCTAGGTGGATGAGTGTTGGTTGTGTCAAAGTGTATTTATAGAGTGTTAGCTGGACGCTGCTGGCACCGGTGTGTTGGTGAGTCCCACTTTCTTCCTCTTCTCTACACTCTTCTTTTTCTTCTTCCTCGTCTTTTCCCGTGTCCTACTTTTCTCTCCTCCCCCACCACCTCTTCCCCCTTTTCAGTATCCACTTTCTTATCCTTTTCCTTCATCATTACTCTTTCTCTTCATTATTAACTTCCTAGTCCTCCTCCTCCTCTTCAACTCATCTGCACCTCCTAATCCTCTTCCTCCTCTACATTCTCAACCTCCTTCGCCTCGCCTCTCTTAAAAACAGCCTTATTATCCTCTTCTTCCTCTTCAGTATCACAGCTCCCCCCCCCCACCCTCCTCCTCTTATTGCCGTGGTGGGTGATGTGTGTTCCCGCGCCCATATATGCCTCCCCTACCTGCTCTTCCTCCCTAAATGCCTCTCTCTCACACACACACGCAACGGAAACACCTAGAACAAGTGCAGAAGAGGGCGTGTGGGATTTATTTTTCTCCCCCCCCCCCCTCCTACTCCTCATATCAAGAAGCTCTCAACTCACTGACCCTCTCTTGGCTGTCTCTAATCACCACGACCTCATCTGCAAATTTGGGGAGACGCTTCTGCACCATCCTCGTCACTGTCTCCTGCTTCCACCCTTGGAGATGATGGTGGTGGTGTTGTGTGTGTGTGGTGTTGATGGTGTGTTAATAGTGATGGTTATGGGTGATGATAGTGTGTTTGTATGGTGGTGTGTGTGTTTGCATGATAGTGGTGGTGATGGTGAAGTAAAAACAATATCAGTCGAGGGTATTATCTTAAAAATACACATTATTATTTTTTACTAGAAATATTCAACGTGTCAACAATTATCATATACTGAAGAACATGTCATTAAGAGTATGAGCTATTGTTAAAGCTAATCCAGGTTGTGTGCTCATGATAGTTTGATAATTAACTCCCTGTGCATTAAGTAAGTGGTGTTTACTGGTGTTTTGCGCTAACTTAACCTAACCTAACTTAACTTAGCCTAATTTAACCTTACCTAACTTAACCTTACCTAACTTAACCTAGCCTAACTTAACCTTACCTAACTAAACCTAACTTAACTTAGCCTACCTTATCCATACCTAACTTAGCCTAGCCTAACCCAACCTAACATGACTTAACCTAACCTAACTTAACCTAGCCTAACCAAACCTAACGCTAACCTAACCTAAAAATAGTTGAGCACAATTTCCCTAACTGCGACGAAAAAAAAGTTTATTGATTAAAAGAAAATATATCTGGTATTTTTTTCTTCTCAAATTATCATCTTACCAGAGTTATTTGTCAACATTATTTCACGTTTTGGGGTAAACAAGAGACGTGGTGTGTTGGTAGATATACGTTTATTTGATATATACATTATACCTGTGTTTGGTCTTATGATGTTAGTATTAATGTGTGTGTAAAGAAGTTGATTAACACAGTGCTATCCCTGTTTCCTGCTCTAAAGAAAAGTGTTGCAGTTTTATTATCGAAATATTTAGGTTGTATTCCTTGATCAGCGTCTCTCTCCCGTGATAGTTTATGAAGGATGTGCTGGTAACTGGACGGTAATAATTATCTTAAAAAATTACCCTATTAAGATTTAGAATAAAGATGTGCAATCCAACAGCTCTCCCCTGCACACCTGTCACCAAACTCATCATCATATCCAGGTGTAATTAGGTACAGTCCCCCCCCACTAGTGCGATTACAGGAGCTCGTCATATAAACATTCCACAAATTATCTTTTGAGATATTTGTTTTAATTTGGTTCCATAATATGTTTACTATTGTAAGTTTCCTTCTGTCGAATGTAAACAAACACCTCGCTGCCACACTGCACAACCTGACTAGCCCCTGTAAACGCAGTAGTGAAGGGGACACTGTACATAAAGACATTTGTGTCTCCAGAATGAGAATGTGCTGGGAATATTATCAAGCCAAAGCAATTGTCAGTTCGTGGTTGTGTATTTGTGCTTTAAATGGTGTTTGTATAAAATGATTGTAACGCGCCTCTTGTAGCAGTGACGTGAGAACACTTGAGCGCTTTGTTTGAGGTGTGCTGTCCTGTCGTACTGAGTGGTGTTGATGTTTTATGTCTTACTGCCTTTCATAAGTTAAGGTCTGTAAGCGCTTAATTTAGGTTAATACTACACTAGACAAGAAATACAAATTATTAATCATTTCTAGTTGACTGTAGATGCGACTTCTCGATTGACGATTCACTCACAGATGGACGCTACCAAATCCACGTCGTGTCACCTCTTTTATACTATATTTAATTTCATCGTTTTAAACTAAATTCTGCTGAGCTTCTGTTTTGTAGATAGTTCACTCCCTGGTGTAACACGTCACTCAAACACTGACGGCGGGATTTTGTTTTGGTTATTCTGCAGGATGAATATTGTGTATTACATAGCTTACTAACTTGACTTGCGAGGAAACCCTGGAACAGTTACAAGTTGAGCTCTTATAAACCTCCTGTCCTGGCAGCATGTAACTGAGGCGAATGGATGCAGTTACGCCTGTCAGGTTACAGATATTGATCAAATGATGTAAAGTTGTAAACGAACACCTGGGAGCGGCCCGCCAGCTTTATTGTGTCCGCTAATAATAAATATATAAATGTGTACCATCAAACACTTAACCCCAGTGACCCAGATGTGGTAAACATGTGGAGCTGTGGCAGGCATAAAAAAGTTAGCATCAGGGAGACAAACTGGTAGCCAAACCACGTGGGTAAAACCATGGGTAAAACCACGCCCTCACCCCATTGTTCCACACTCACGGCTCACCAGACACCACATTGTTGTCCGCTTGAAACCACGAGAATTTTAGAGGATGCGTTCAGTGTCTTCAAGATGTCTGTCTGTGTGTATGTAGACTGTGTGTTGGTTTTTATATCTAGACAATTTAGAAGTTGGGTAAATTAACCGATTTTAATTATCTTTTGATGAAATATGTTTGTAATGTTTCCTCCTGTAAAATCTAGGAAAGGTTCAAATGCGAGCGGTCAGTGGCGTGACTTCTGTGACCTTTCAAGAGTTAACATGAATAAAATGTCACGGTTCTCTTGACACATAATACATTATTTACTGTACATTACTTTTATGGCTTTCCTGAATATTTTCCTTTATGTAATATAATATGTTGCTGTAAATGATTAGGACTTCAATGTGTACGTGAGAATAGAAATTACACGTGTATGATAAATGACGTCATAGCATCACGGTAAGATGCTGGCGTTATGATGGAAGAGTGATGATTGTACGGTTAACTGATCTTCAGAGTTAGGTTGATTGGGTCTGTGATGATTATTAGTCAACATCGCATATACTGGCTCACTGATATTTGTAGTGGGTAATTTTCATAGCTGACTTGCATTCATTCTTCATGTTTGCAGCTTTTGTAAATCGTGTGTGTGTGTGTGGTCACGTGTTTATTTACTTTACACGCGTGCAGTATTTTAAAGACAACGGGATTGTTTGTTGGCTCGCTAAATTGACCTAGTTTGTGGCGCCTAGTAGCTTGCCCTGCCCTGCCCTACCCTAAGGTCTGTTGCCCTACCCTGCCCTGGGGTAAATCATACAATGAAAAAAAAACCCAGGAAGTACCACGAACACGACTGCTAAACTTTATTTTTTTCAGGCGATAAGATTTATTCTAAACCTATAACCTAACAACTCTAGGAGTAGTTAGGGTTGGTTGGATCGTGTCGTTTGCTCTCACACCCAAAGAAAGAGTGGACGGTCGTCTTCGTGGTATTGTTTCAACGTCGATCATTTTGCCTGCATGTTAGGTCAACCAGAAGTGTGTATCGTATGTAATGGCTGGGACAGGGCTACTCATTTTGTGCATACCGCGTTAAAAGATCCAGATAGCTAACTAACAAAAATACACCAGGTTGACAGGAGTGTAATGTATAGTGATGCAAACAACAAATAAAATTATATACTGTGAAAATAATTATTAAGCGTTCAAGTTTGCCGGTGACTTCCAAAGCATTGACTTATTAACACAAGAAATTGAGTGGAGGTCTTTCCTAGTTAGAAGTGTCAGGCGAATCCGAGTAAAGTTCAAACAATTGACAATAATATTCTTCATAATTGATAACCTTTAAGTATTTACATCTTGCCTCATAGCTAATAGTGTTAGGTTCTGTTACACTGTAAATAGTTTCTTAGCTGGACTGATGTGTGGAGCATAGTTCCATAATACAAGTCATTTAGCACGTGATGTGTTGGACGAAGGATGCTTGAGAGTGAGAGGTGATGCAGGTTCTCTGGCGGCTGTGCCAACACACCAAAATAACGTACCCAAGGTTAGCTCACAGTAGACTCGCACTGAGCACATGGCGCCCTCCCTCCCTATCGTCTTCCTGCCATATATTCACTATTCATGCTCATTACTGTATAATTATGTTGCATGACGAATCACAGAAGATACGTGATTCATTTGTTTCTATTTGTTTTTAGTAAGTTGTACCTGAGGTTTGAAGTAAATTCGCTCCAAGTACCGAAGAATTTTAGTTACCTGTACTGTGCATTTAGGTTTGATCTGCTCATTATTATAGTCATTTGTTTTACATGTTAGATTCATATTTGTGATTTACTAGTCATGGGACAGTGCCTTGAAAACTAATACTACAAGTATTTATACGTGGGAGTCTGTCGGGTGAGAGGCGGTCACTGTTTAACTAATTAGGCAATAGCGGGCTTCTGCTGACCAACCATATGTTGTGTAGTCAAGTTTTGATATTTTGCTTGAACACTTAGTAACATTAGATTACAAATGTGTTTTTAGTTAGTTTTGAAAGCAGCCATAATTTGCACAACACCTTTAATCAACATTTATTATTACACAGTATATTTATATTAGCCTCCCCTTCCATTTTAAGGGGTCAAAGGTCATACCCAACAACAACAAAATACGCAGAGAATGGTGGCATTTTGGGACAATTTGCACTGACTAAAACAAGCATATGTATAGAGTTTGTTACTTTTTTATTGTTACAAGATTCATAGTAAGGGGAGGGGGACATATTGCATATATTTGAAGCTATTTATTAGTACTCTTAGTATTATCACTATTATTTGTTGCTATTCATTTATTATTTATAATTTGTATGTTCGCTTTGTATCATGTTAATATTATCAATTGTTTTATTGGTCAGGAGGACTGGGAGGAGATCGAGGCGTTGCTGGAGCGAGAACAACACCTGCTGGGCCAACACCACCACCGCTCCGACCCCACCAGCGTCAATCTTCTCCACAGTCCAGGTAATTTAATTTATGTACTTAATACTAGATCACTTTCTGAGGCCCAGTGAGGGGTCCAGTGTTATTTATAGTTGCAAATTGGAGTGGGCCGAGATAAGTGCGCTGCAGCTCTATTACCAGTGCTGTTTTTACCGAGCGGAGGAAATCATGGTTTGTTTTTCCCGTGTTTCATTTTATTAAGATTATTGCTTAGTATGCCCCGTGCTTATCCGGTCGTCTCTTATCAACTCTTCCTCACTAAGAAGGGTGTAGGATGTCGTTTGTCCGTGTTGGATATTACTACCGGGTATGTACAGCAAGGGTCAAAGACTGCTTTCCATAGTTTCATTTGAATTGTTTGTGAGAGCTTATGTGTGTGTCTGTGCCCAGCGTTTGACCAGCCCTCCAGTTATGGACTGCACTGACACAAACTGAACTGGGTGTAGAACAGTGCTTATTATTTATATTATTAATATTTATACTATTATCAGAAGTATTGCAATATTACTGTACCTTTGTTTTTTAATTTATTTGTAAAATCACTTGCGAAGCAAATATAATTTTTTGTGGCGTTTTAATATAATGAGGCACTGTATCTCTGGGATTAGTTCACAGTTTGGATTTAATATTCATGAAGCAGGGAAGTAGTTGTGATGGCCAAGTGGACACAATTATCATACCCTGTTTCTAATGGTCACTACTAGTTTGTGTCTGGGCCACCCCAGTTGACCCAGCTGTGGACACGCTGCCTCCATAGTCAGCAAAGACTATAAAAGTCTTTGATAGCCAGTGAAGCTTAGTATTCAGTACTGTATAGTATATTGTATCATCTGTGCCCCTAATGGGTCATCAGGGCTCTGTACCTTCACTCTCAGTTGGGAAGATAAAAACATATTTAAGGTGAAATATGATATGTAGATTGAATGTTAAAAAACTAGAGAACTAATGAAGTACTGTACAGTAATATCATAAGTTTGGCTTTAATAAATATACTGTACTGTACATTACTGTATAAAAGTGGATAATTTTAGAGTCGTTAACGTGTGCTGATGGCTACTGATTTATTTTTAAATATAATAATTTACCTCATTTTTGCCCAAAGATATTGGCAGATAATTTTCACTTGACATTTTTGTCAGACAAATATCAAAGGCAAAATGATACAGTATTATGATGACCCCATTATCAAAGTTCAAAAGTAAGTTGTTCTCATTTTCAGAGAGAGACCTTTTACCTTAGTACATCATGTTTAACTGTAATGATCATCAGATGTATGTTAGTGTACAGAACCAAATTACACTTGTACACTTTAGAATCTCAGCCTTACTGACACAAGAGTAAGATTATATGGGATATTAGTTTGCTGTAGTGTGTTGGGTGTGTTCACATGCAGTGATAATATTATGTCAGATTCGTAAACTATGAAACATTTATACCCGGGGGTGTTCGATGTAAGAAGGGCTTAAGTTGTACAGTACGTATATCATGTGATTTTATTTGAAATTTTTTCCATTATTCCTCCAGAACACATTTTACGACCCCCATTGGAGACATTACCTCGACGTGGCCACACTCCTCGTACCATCCCACGAACACACGGTAACTTCTCGGTGCCTTTGAACCAGCTGTCTTCTATCCTCCTCAACATGACATTCTCCGACGCAGAGGAGGACCATCAGGGCTCTCGGGCCAGGGAGGCATCAAATAGGTAATGGAGCTGTACCACTACACTACCCTGATCTGTCTGGTCACTGAGAGAGAAAGTAGAGTGGAATTATTATTTCTCCTTCCATCTCCAGTGAACATCTAGTAAACAATGACAGAAACATTTTATATTATTATAATATATCTTTATTTTATGCCTTACGACAAATAACACACACTTACAAGTCGTATCTTGACATTGTAACATCCATAATTTATCTAAATAACAGTGAAAGTGAGGACAGAGAGGCACGGTAAATGCATCACAGTGTGGGTGGAGACAATCAGCTGAGTGAGTCAGTGTTTATGGGTGAGGCCCTCACTGTATGGCAACAGGCACTGGGTCTGTTGTCTGCCATACAGGAGAGGGAGTGTTGAGGAGCGTTCCAGGAAAGTGGTGCATTTTTTTACAGACATTGAAAAAAGCCAGACGACGTGCTCATTAGTTTTCATGATTCATTTGACTGTAGTTGTTCAGGACGTCCAAGGGGTTATGGCTTATTTTCCAAGAGTTGCGTATGTTCCTGAGCAGTCTATGACTCTTGCTATTGACTTATTGTGATAGAGAAATATTTGTTACTGTACATAGAAGATATTATATTGTCTTAAAAGATTATTTGTGTTGTGGATAGTAAGGAAATGGGTCAAGATTGAAGGCTGTTAAGGAGAGTTTTCACAGCCATTTCTTTTATTCGGCTGAACCAGGTACCTGTACTGTAATCACCTTGTTGGAGATACAGTACAGTATGATAAGTGGAGGAATTGGGTCATAAAAATAATAATGGATATTTGGATACATTCCTTTAAGCTCTGTTGAATATTGTATTGAGATATGTATTATTATTGTGTAAATTTTAACTTCAACTGCTTACCTGAATAATTTTTTTTATTTATTTAATTTTATTACTAGGGACCAATTTATCGTATATTTCCTCTTACCTCTCTGAGCAGGACTGGAGCCACAGGCAACGACCGTGAACGCTCCACCAGTCGGTCTCGGACAGAATCTGGGGTGAGTAACGCTTCTACTGCCTCCTTGGTCACTCCAACCTCCTCAGGTCCTGCAGCCAATGGCCAGGCTCATGCTGAGAGTCCCTCTAGGGCCTCCACTGCTGAGGCATCTGGTGCCTCAAACATGGAGATGACTAATGCTGTCCAGAGCATCACGGTTGCTGATATGAAGGTAAACTGAAAAGATTATCCACATCTCTCTCTCTCTCTCTGCCCTCTAGTCTCTCTCATTATTTGACGGGATGGCTCTTGCAAATACTCGTATGTGCAATCCTACACTATTGGCACGTCCTTCCAGGTTCTTGTTTCCTCACACCCCTCTCACTTGTCTGTTCTTTTTCTTATCTTCTCTCTTGTTGTGGATCTTCTCTATATATCTATCATCATGTTTATTTAACTTTACCTAACCTGACCTGTCATATTTATGTTCATGTGTTCACCAATTACTTGTTCAAAGAAATAAGAATATGTGAAGGAATGAGCATTAGTAATCACAGTACCTGTACTTGTAGAGTGAAAAGGGTGATAAAAATACACAGAATTATTAGAGAGAGGTAGAAGTGACAGGAAACAGAAGATGGGCAGAATCAATGTTTGTAGAATTGCGTGGTGGAAGGTCAAGGTGTGATCATCAAGACTTAATCATAAGCTGGGTCAACAAGGGGCTCTGGCAGCATGAGCCAGATGGTGTGGGCCAAGCAAAAAGTTATTCGGTGAGTCTGCCTGTTCGTCCTTCGTAGAGGTAGTCGATGCTGCCAAAAAAGAACTGTCAGGTGGAGAAATGGCAGCTGTATAACGTCTTCCAGTATAATGCTTCCATGATTGACTTCGTCCAAGTAGCTCACTGAATTCTATTTCTCAAACAGCAAGTTACACTTTATTTAACCAAGCCTGCAGAGTGACAATTTAACATCAGCAATTACTTTTGTTTTGGTGTGTGTGTGTATATGTCTCTACTTTTGATGACTAGATTAACCAAACTAATTAAGATTTTTGTGAATATTATATGCCTGTTTTGGTCAGATATAAAGTGTTGTCTTCAGATAGAGACTTCAGACTACTGTAGCACTGTACTGTTGTGATGCTAACACCCGGTGGGTCTAACTATGGCTGTCATAAACTTTCAGTTTCTCCAGCATCTTTAACTAAAGGTTTCAGTGTGTTATTGACTCGACTCACTGTACAGTATTGCCCTACAGCACCAGTAAAAGTGCTGATCACTTGCAATGTGACTTAGCCTACATTCTTAGTCCTCAACACTCTCCTTGATCTGCAGTTGATTACGTCCCTGACTCTTCAGAAACCTTCATTCATCTCATATGCTGTTTCACCACACTCCATTCAGTTTGCTCATATATATGTATACTTTATATACAGTATTTACTATATATACCCTGTAACAGCTTTCTCAATTTCACACCATGAAGTATTTTTCTGCCCCCCCCCAAAACAAAACAAGCTTGTGCCCTTTGCCAAATTATTGTCACATGAAACATATTCAGTGAATGTATTTGCCACCAACAAGCTTTGTCATCTTTTGTATCATTTTAGCCACCTGTTTTACCCTTTATATTATAGTACTGTAACTATAATTATCTCAGTATATGTAGTCTATTTTTGTGTCTGCCACTAGTGTGTTCTGTGGAGTGACTTACCACAGGCATGTATGGATGAAGTCTGACTACTGTAAGTCTTCATATTGGATAGTGAGACATGGCCTATGGAAACATGTACAGTATAATATTACTGGCTCTCCTGCTGATGTACCTAATGGTCACCCCATCTACAAGTGACCAAGACAAGGAAAGAATGCCAATGGTCTGTGTAGGATCCCTATTTTAAAGCCTAGTGCTGTTCTCACTTCCATGAATTGAGCTGGTACACTGTTCCATAGGTGTAGCACCTTCTGCACCCTCTTGTGTAAAGAAGTAGTGTACTGTACTTCCTTCTAAAAGACTAGATAGATACATGCATGATTGGGATGTCTTTAAGGTGTCATTAGGTCTACTAATAGAATTATAGTAGAAAATTCCCAAGTTCTTCAGTGTAATGTGAATGTGAATAAAGAGAGCAGGATAATAGAAAAGTATGTGAGAGTTGCATGAATAGATGTGGATGAATGGGCAGTAGAGAAGTCAGCAATTGAGAGGGATGTGAGTATGGTAATGTGTGTGGTGCTGTGCAAGCCTAGGAATAAATCAAGGAGGCTTGGCACATCCCAATGTCCTAGATACACCATACTGTACTATTTAAGAGTGAGTGTATGTAAAGTGCAGAAAATGAAGAAGTTGACATTGTAAAGTTAAATTGATAGTGGAATTTAGGCTTTGTGAGTTACCATATTTGTTAATTATTTGCTGTATTATATAAGTTAAGGAAGTTAAAGTGATGGGAGAAGCTAGGCTGTGTGAGTTACACTTGTCTTTGGTGTAAATATCTATATACAGTATAGTAGTCTAAAGTTATTAATTAGAATTTTGAGTTTGTGTATCTTCATGTAACTGATTTGTGTGCAGGGTGTGGACAGTAAGAAGATCATGGAGAAGCTGCAACAGATCCAAGGTTACATCCAGCAGACCACTACAGCCATGGCTGCCTTGGAACAGCAAGGTGACACGGTGCGTTGGTCTCCCTGTAATGTTTGTAACAACACCTAGAAAAGTCACTCAGAGATAGGTATTACATGAATCCCCCAGCTTACTAGCCAGTTGGTGCAGTCAGACTGTTCTTTGTTACTTAGTTATGGTCTTCATTGCTCAGTGTTAATACAGGAGGTAATGGGGGTACCCAGAGAAAACCCGAGATGGTTGGTAGGGTCACACTCGATAACACCCTTCTCACATTTGTCCCAGTATAGGGATTGAACCCAAGACACAGGAGTGAGAGTTACATACATTACCACAAGACCCAAAATATTGTATTCTTTAGAATTCTATTCTTTAGTCTCTTGAAACCTGTTGATTAAAATTTCATGTTACATAGCACTATTTTAGTACTTTAATAGAAAATGGAACTGGATAAGTAGAAATGGGGGATTGTACATACTGAAAACAGCAGAGCATAAGAATGATGGGAGAGTGTGGAGTCAGATGGATTATGGGAATATTACAGGAGTTGGGGTGAGTGGAAGGAGAGGCTTTTTACTCATAATATTGGTCACTCTGCATCATAGTGGGAAATGGATAACATTAATGAAAAAGGTCAGCTTCAGTACATGACAGACCTTACCCTATAGAAAGCAAACTACTGACTAAGTTCTGGTCACTTTTGGCAGCCTTAGCAACCACTAAGTTGCTGGTTTGTAAGTGAGTCACACGTCTGCAATAGCAAATTCACTGCCTTTTTTTTTTTTACTTCAGTGTTTAGTACTTTTTCTTTAATATCCTTTGTCTAAGGGTGATGGGGAAGAATAGACAGTCATAGGACCAGCAACCCCAGCTCTCAAGGGGGAAGTGTGGTATGATGTCCAAGCTATAGCTGTAGTAAGAGTCACCTGGCCAAGAACTTCAGACAAGACTACCCTCCCTCTTGATTTAGGCCACATTGCATCATATACTGTAATGTACAGGGTGGCTAAACTATATAAGATTTCTTCCTTATGCTGTAGATTATTTAAACTTTAATTCATGTCATCCACATCTTTCAACTGTGTGTGGTTCAGAACCATATTAAATTCCTGTTGTATTCTATGGTATCATTGTGTTGTGTTTCTCTGAGTGAACAGATATTTTAACTTATGTTGAATTACAGTATAAATGTTTTTAGTTGTAAGGTTCAATGGATCATTCCCACCTCATATACAGTACTTTAAAAGGGAGTAACATTATACTTTATAACCATAAGATCAGTAGATTGATAAAGGTCTTTTAATGCAGAGACAACGATACAGAATTAAAAATGCATTTATGATAACTAGTTTTCAGAAATAGAAAGTTTATGCATAGTCATAATTAGACTGATGTAGTATGTAGTTTGGCAGCAACAGGTGTTAATCTTACAAATAATGCCAACGCTCTCAGAGCAACATCGGCAAGTACAACACACTGGTTAAGGTGCTGCGTGATCTCAAGGATTCCGAGGCTAAATTGAAGGCTCACCTTGAGACAGCGAAGAAGTCTGAGGAGGTGATTTTTGGCTGGTGTGACCTTTGTGGATGTGTTTTATTGTCTTGTGTGTGTTAACCCTGAATGAATTAATATTGTATTACTCACTCTGCTATACTAATTTTTATTTCAGGTTTTCAAAGTGCTGTATCTCGGACATATTAGAAATGTTTTTCTTAAGAATAAACAACTGTAATTCTTTTTAATTCATAGTAATATGCTGTGGATCCAAACACATGTGATTTTGTGCACTATTACGAGGTTACCATAATTATTACTTGTGTTCTCAGTTCCATGGTATATTCTAATCTGTTTGGGATTATTGTCATTGTTTGTTCTCAAATTACTGTAACAACAAATTCATTTAATCAGTCTACAGTGAATCTATTAATAATAAGAAGAAGGTTGGAAGTCACAAATTTATTGAGATAGTTTTAGGATAGAAGAAATGTTTTGAGTACTGATAACACTGATGGTGTGAATGTCTGTGATGTTTTGATGGGAGTGAGTGGTTAGTTAATTTAGCTTAAACTGATCACTGTCCACATTATGAGAGAAGTACAGTATTGTTTAGTTATTGTAATCTTTCTCCATAATTTGTCTTTTTTGCAATACTGTATTTTCTATTTAACCTTAGCTTTTTTTTCTCTCTCTACGTGCTTAATATCTTTAGATTTTATTTTTACATACTGGCACCTAATATCGCTACACAATTGTAGTCAGTCTGAGGGTTACACTTCCCATGTTTAAAGGCAGTCAATTGCCTTATTTTACTTAATGAGGCTGTTATCAGGTGACTAATTAGCATTTGAATTATAAGCTTTTAAAATAAGTAGTTTACAGTGGGGTATGCTATAACAAATCTAATTGGTTCTAGAACCTTGTTCATTATAGCATTCGTTCGTTATAGGATTAATCCGTTCCAGGCCCCCAAATACAACCACTTAACACTGAAAAATATAATATAAAATTGTAAAAATTTAAAAAAAGTGCATAAATATGCATCTAAACCCCTGATATAAAGAATATCATTAATACTTGTAATAAAAAAACAATAAATTAGTAAAAAAAAAATTAAATAATGTTCGTTGTAGGAGTTTCGTTCGTTATAGCATTCTCAATTTTATAGGTAAAACCGTTCGTTATAGGAATATTCGTAGTAGGATCCGTTCGTTATAGCTTACCCCACTGTATATATTACAAGAAAATTTCCGTACTGTATATCAATTACCCAGACGCCTCCAAGACAGTTTCCTCCCCACGACTGTAAGACGATGTTGTCAGCCTGGTGTCTTGTGTGGGAAGAACATACGACTGTGCCATTTGATGTGTCTCAGGTCTTGTGGGACAGAAGATGTGTCCCTATTAAACAAGACTCCTTCTCCCAGTGATCATTAATAAACAGTTGAGAAAAAACTCTTACTGAATAGATAATGAATAATCATGTTGAATGTAATGCTTAATGGTAAAAGGAAACAATGTCTTCAATAAAAGTATACGAACACTAAGATGAAACTGACTACCATGTATCTTGATGTGGACGTTATAATGTTGTTATCGCCCTTCAACAACTAAGGCCTTTAAGCACGTAAAGTCCATCAACAGTTAAAATTTATGAGAGATAAAACCCTACTGTTTTTATATGTCTTTAAGAGCCTGCAGAAACATCATTTGGCAGTTAATTCCAGAATGTATGGCTGAAGGTACTGGTATACATAATATACAGTATACTGCTGCACTTCTCCTAGTAATGAACCACTCACTCCCATTAGTCAACACTGATACTCACATCATCAGTGTCACCAACACTCATATGTTTTGCCTTTGCATAATGATAAATTAAAATTATTGGTAAATGTTGCTGGTCACATTAATTTTATTATGTAGCTACCTTGGATTGTATCCATGTACCAACATAACTGTCTTAGAGACTTAAAGTACAGTATTGTATTAGTGTTTTGTTAATATTTGACTAACATTAACCTAATCGATTCTTTACTGCAAACCAAAACTGACATAACTCTTAATTTTGGTTCACAGTAAAGAAAAGATAGATATGTTTAATTAACATTTGTAGCATTAATATCTCTGGCCAGGTACAAAAAAGTGGAGTAATTAAACAGATGAAGCTTGAAATATCCAAGATTTGTGTGTCAGAATTAGTATTGGGGAGACCTGAATTTAATTCTTATGCCATAGTAATGGATTTGAAGTTGATTCATGGTTATTATTTTTTTGGGGGCCACAGCCACAAGTGACAAGAAGTTGCAAACAGTTGTGTTGAAGAGAAGTATAATGGAATATAATCTTGATAGATGTGTTGAGTTATGGTGGGGACTTTTTGTGGAAGGGAAACACTTGAACAGAATATGTACATCTCTTACACCAGTTAGAGCAAATAGATAACAGCAGATGAAGCGAGGACAAACCTGTGTTGCTGCTTCTTCTGGCCGACCTTCATCAGTAGTAAAAGGCCTTATAAATATCAAGAAAAAAAATTGCTTGGTGCTAACTTAGGTGAAATCTTTCTCTCTGTTAATGCTGTTTGCAACTTGTCAGTCGTGTGAGTTTTTTTTAGTTTTGTGTTGTTTTGTATTGGAATGTTTTTGTTTCTTCCTTAACGCCTCAAGGGCTCTCAGAGTGACATATACAACCGATTTGTTACTTTGAACAAATCTCTACAGCACCAGGAGGGGGAGTACCTCGACATCTTGGCTCGCCTGCTGGTGCTCAACAAGGTAGAATGCATTGCTCATACTAACTTGTTATACCAGTCCTATGTTCACTTATTTAGTTCAGCCATATCCTGCTGTTTCCTCTTCACTCTTGAGGTTTTTCTTTCTGGTCTCTCCTTCAGAAGACTGGGAGAGTAGTGAAGATAATAGACACGTGATGGAGATATGTGGAGAGAAGTGTCAGTAAGAATACAGATTTTGCCATAAAGTAATTTACAAGTGGTGACAGTATTGTAATGTTGGTGCCTTAATCTACGAGTCAATGATGAATTTGATATATGCAGACACTTCAAATGACAGATGTTGTTGTATGATGCTTGTAAATGTTCAGTGTTTTATTATGTATTTTTAATATACTTGAAAGGTTAGTTTCAATTGCTTTGAAAATGTTTAATCACTTTCTTCAGTCTGTAGGAAGTCAAAAGGCATTTAAAATTTTGTTTCAGAACTTTACCAGAAATTAATTTAGTAGCTGTACTTTACATGTTGAATTGGTTTGGAACATGATAATGAATGTGGAGGTGTAGGATTTGCTCTTTATAATCAGTACAGGTGTAGTGGAGAGTTCTTATTTATTGTTACAGCACTTTACATTGCTTTCTGCTCTGTGCACTGTTGCCTTCTTCTGTTTCTTCACTTCTATGAGGTTTCTGTTTTCTTTCTTCCACTTCACACTATTGTGAAAGAGGAGGAAAGACTTGAAGTTTTGTTTTATCAATCATCACTATTCTGTAACTTACATGGTAACAAAATTGATTCTTTGGCATATGTTGTAGATACTGCTGCATTTTCTATACAGAATGTGTAATAATACGAGTTTATTTCCGAGAATTAGGAACAATGTATCAGATAATATGAAGATGTTTAATGTTGGAAAATTTACAATAATTGCATAAGATATTACAATGTCAACCAATGGGATTAAGTGTTGAAGACAAAAATTGATTTAATAGTACACTAAGTTTATGAAACATCATTGGGCCTATGTGAAAATATCTGTACCAGTAATTGTATGCCCAACAGCTAGAATTCAAAGTACATGTTGAAATAGTTTACATAGTAAGTTGATAGACACATAGATATACTATATACCACTTGGTATCTTAGTTACTCTGAGATTGTTATTCATGTTGAAAATATTTCCTTATTCATAGAGTGATTGTAAATGGAAGGATCAATCCATTGTTTAATTTTCTAATTCAATATTGTGTCTGCTGATATTTTCCCTGTATCAATTAAACTGATTGTGTGCTTTTATCGCAGGCTGCTGCCCAGGTGGCCAACGGCTGTCCGAACAATGAGTCAGTAACTACACCACCAGTCAACGGCAGAGAGGAGACGGTGTGTACCTTTGAATTTACATAGTCATTTATGTCTAGTTAATGCTTTCCTGCATCACGTTAAGCAGTTACATAGAATTATTTTTATTACGCTAAGAAAAAACTAGATTCTGTATTGTCTGCCTTTGTACTGTAATTATTTTAATTTATTTAACAAGAGACAGAAAGACCAAAATTGACTCGGTAAAAAGGTTTCTAAAGTTATACTCCAAGATTTTATTGGAAACTTTTTATTTTAAAGAAGCCTGTGGTTTTATACTTGAGTTCTGTGGTCCCATGTTAGATGCAAGCTGCCAGAAAACATACCAGGGTATATAGCTAATTGGGTGGCATGATTTTGTTTGATTGACCATAATTCACTAGAATGATACTGTACCACTCCTTGCTTTAGGATATGAGGTATACACTATCAGTTTTAACTTAAAGCTCATATGTTTCATTTTGATGGAAAGTGAGTTGTCATATCCCTGTCCTCCTTTATAGGGTGAGGATAAAGATACATATTAACTTTAGTTCGCTGAAACTGGTTGTGTTGGTGGCTTTGTATAACTAGATGATGAGATATTTGTTAACCTACAGATGCAGTAAACAGTATGTGATTGATCCTTAATCATGGAGAGATGCCTGGGCTGTATACCTCAGTGTTCCTTTATTGTCGTTATTTATTAAGTCTTTCTTCGTGTATTGTAGGAGAGTGTTAACACCAGCAGCAGTGTTAGTAACCACGTGGTAGGACTTGTTGGCCCAGGAAATGTTGCAACCCTACAGGAACGCTTAGCTGCTAGTCAGGAGGAGTCTACTTCTATCATGGGCCGCATGAGAGACAGTATTGCCCGTCGAGAAGACCTTATGGTCCGTTACAAGGTAAATGAAGCAACAAAGTCAAGGGTATCAGCCTCAATATTCAGTCTCTTGTGTCTTGTTTTAGCTCAGGTCTCTTAACTTGTAGTGGTAACCAGAACCTATAATAACCTTGATGGTACAACACGAACTCTTAATATTTACCGTTTCTGAAGGTGGGAGTTCACTTGGTTTACTCTGTTAATGTAAATGTATAAGTCATCAAGCTCTCTCTGTAATTAATGGACCATATACAGTACTGTATGTGTAATGAAACTTTATATCCTCACAGGAGCAGCTGTCGATGAAGTAATAAAATGTTTAATTACAAAAGAACACAAGAGTCTGAACATGTACTTGGTGGGTGAGTTAACCTTTAGTTAGATGTTCTTAATGTTACGTTTATATTAGTCAAACAATTTTTTTCTCTCTCTTCAGGCTACCCGCGAACGACTGGAGAATCTCAAAAAGCAACAGCAGGATATCCGGACCCAAGAGAGGCAGTTGTTGCATGCAGCTGGAACCAGTGAGACACCTTATGAGGACCCCATCCCTGGAGCTGAAAATTGGACCATAGATGAGGTTGCTCAAGGCATTGTAGAATTTCAGGCTCTTTATGACAAAGTGGATCGCTTGCAGGGGATGTACTCCATTAAAGCTCAGGTAACATTTTGTTTTTGACTTACTGTACATTGTTTTACTGCCATTATTATATTTACACTGAATTAATAATGGAGATTATCAGTTATACATCAGTGAAGGGAAGACACTTTGTTGGCCTGAATGACATTGTAGAATATTTCAGGATGGTTGAAATACCTCATTTGGTTTCCTGAGAGTTAAAGGTTGGGCACTGGTTAATATCATACGAGTCCCTAGTCCTACTGAGCTCCAGTCATACTAGGTCTTCTTGAATTATTCCTTGACACTGGATCATACAACTCCTTAACTTAGGGTCTTAGGGTGTGGTTGTGGTGTTAGTTACAAATAAAGACAAGAGCCGGCCATTGCAATCCCCCTTTTGTTGTCCTTATAGAATGCTGACCCAGATGATGAGGTAGCACAGGCAGATGTGACCAACAAGCTGAATCAACTGGCAACTAAGCGAAGAATGCTGATCGAGACAATAACAAAGTTGCGAAGGATTGAGCGACAAAGGCAAGAAGAGCAGCTGACAGGTAGGATTAGTGTACGGTCGCCCAAATAAATGATGTCATTATTTTCAGAAACTTTCAGTCACACAGTGGTATCTGGCAACTACCAGACTCACTTTAATTTTCCTTTTTTTTTTTAAGTGGAACACAATTTTGAAAAAGTAACAAATTAATTAATAATTGCTAAAACAGTTTTGCCTAAGATTACTGTCACAACAAATCATATAGTTAATTTTTTTTATTATTTTCCAACGAAATAATATGACATACCAGACTGTCGCTCAAGGACATTCAGAAATAATTTATGGATTGAAAATCAGGCGTCAGAATGAACAGGTATACATTTTGTTAAGCTGAAATTAATGTCCCATAAAAAATCTGAATTTAAATAATATTCATACTCACCACATTTATATAATTTACTGAATACATAAACAAATACCATAGTGTACAGTATTTTCCATATACAGGTACACCCCCAGTGGACTTAATCCTTTGAATACATTATATGATTTCTGTAGTGGCAAATGTGTGGATTTACATACAGTATTGGCACAAATTTCTTTAGTTTACAACTATTAATTATACCAGGATATATTTTTTATTCATGTGTATGAAAAGAAATTTAGGCTTTTTTATGTTGCCCATTATTTTGACATGAAGATTTTAAGTCATGAATTAAATTTTAATCTTTTGATGGTCAGTTAAAACCATATTATGTATTGCATGTGAAAAACATTTATTGGGTAAGAGTTCTCCCTTCATGTGTGATATAATTGTTTGTGATTCTCAGATACTGGGGAAGGTCCAGCAAGATCCCAGAGAAACTCCACAGCTCCTGCTGAAACACCAGACAGTAATCAGGGTTCAGTGTCTGATCGACCTATTGGGGAAGTTAGCACAACGACCTCAGAAACTGCCCCAAGGTCCTCGGCTTTCTCAACTGACGATGTATCACAGCTGAATATCAACGCGACCGCCAACAATGTTGCTGCTGTTTCCGATGAGATATCTTCAAGACAGTTGCAGCTACAGACTCTACAAGAGCAGTTGGGTGACATGAGAAAACTCCTGGATGTCACAACTGCTGGTAGAAAGGAGGTAATAATTGTAATAAGTTCTTAAGGGGAGAAGAGCTTGGTACTAGTAGTGGGTTATGGAGATGTTAGTGAACTGGCTGGTGCAGGTTGGTTGTGTCATGGTGGTCTGTTGTGAGATAGAGCTGATACACACACACACCTTTCCTTATTACTACATTTACCTGGTAATTTTTATCAGCCTTTAAATGTTTCTGTACAAAAAATTTCTTATGGGAGACCTGGCTGAGAGAATAACACGAGGTTGTTGGAGTATGCTGTGTCATGAGTGTCATGATCAGTACTGAGTATGGTCTGGGATGCCTGAACTCTACATACTTTTCGTCTATTATTGGTATGTTATTATTTTGTTTATGATGTATTTGTTCGGTTATATTGTCATGTTACGTGTGTGTCAAACTTGTATACAGTACTGTACAAAGAAAGACATAAAATGGGGCATTAGGCAAGTGAACCATTAATTATCAACTTTATTGATATTATTAATTGGTGGAAGGGAGAGTATAAAATGGGACTGTTTGCTCTTAGTTATGTCTTTGCATTTTGACAGAAAAGGGAAATCTTAAATATGTGAAAGAGAACTATTACCCTGTATTGTTATTAATATCCTTTTGTTCTTATGGAGTGACTCATAAATTTTCTGTGGTATGGACAATTTCTCAGGATGAAAGGAGGATGCTCGAGTCACAGAAACGTCTGGCAGAGGCCGAGGCCGCCAAGGCCAGGTTTGTAGCGATGGAGGCTCAGAGTGAGAGGACCCCAGCCATGGATGGAGCAGTGGGCGGAGAGATGGTGGAAGTGGCAGGTCGCAGGCTCCGTCTAACAGAAATTGATAAACAGAACCCAGAAATCCTGAAAAAGTACCAGTAAGTTCTGACTCACTCACTCCTTCAATATGGCATAGATTGAAGAGGTTAACTTTATTAATAAATAGTAAATCATAAAAGTAATTTGTGATGGAGAATTATATACATTTAGTACATTGTCTGTTTTTTTCCTGTCAACTCAGAGAAATCTCCAAGGCCAAGGAACGACTGTCTAAGATGGAAGAAGTTATGGAAATGATCGCCACTGCAAAGAGGAACCATCAAAACCTGAGGGAGGTTATCCCACCCGACTACCTGGCCATCCTGGAGGAGGCTGAGGTCAGTACTTTTATGTATAAAGAAACAAATTTGCTAAACATCAGTTTGTGGTTTGATTGCAAAAAAAAAGATTTTACTGTAATTATAATTTTATTGTGGCCATTCTGCTCATAAATCTAAGGGTGTCCAGCCTTCTTATTCTCATCCCTTTTGGGGGAATCATTGAGAGAGTGGAAGGTCAAGGTCAGCATTGGGGCCAGGGTTCATTCAAACCAGTAGAAAGTACAGCAGGTATGGAGCAGCTCTACCAGGTGCTCCTCTGAGCTTGTAAATTTATAAAGTTAGCTTCTCTTGAAGCTTTTGTAATAGCTTAAGTGTTTCTTTCAGATTATTAGGAAGATGAACAATGAGTTTCCTTATGTTTGTTGTTTCAGCCTTTCCTGTAAGTTGTACTTACTTTTCTTGCACCAATTTCACTTGCCATTCACCCTCTTGGGGTGACTACTTTCCCTAATCCATCCCAAATAAAAAAATTGGAAGGATGTAATGATAACAGATAGATAGAGCACTGAGTCCAGTATTGTGTAACATTATCATGGGAATTATTCAGCTCTCTCTACTTGTAGGCTGAGAGGGATGATGACTTAGGACTATCCAGCAACCAATCTTCAGGAGTCACCACAGCAAAGGAGGAACCTGAGGAAGAGCTCAGATTGTCCAGGCGACATCCCCGAACCTCTCGGAGGTGAGTCAAAATAAACTTGAATATCGTCTGAGTGTTTTAGATTTAGAATTTGTAGATGATCTTACTGAAAAGCTTATTGTATGTTGGAATACCCAATAGAAAAATAGTTTGCTTAAGTTTGAAAAACCTATATAATGTTTGTTTTCTTGTATAATCCACTGTAAAAATTTTTGTGAGAGTCTGTAAATCTCACTGCAAAGAACTGTGTTATAATGTGTAAATTCCATTGGAAAAGGATTTGTTTAAGTCTAAATCCTATAAGATGAATTTGTGTTAGATTATAAGTCCAACAGGAATGAGTTAGTTTCAGCTTATTTATTACATTGAAAAGCAGTTTGTTTTAACTCATTAAACCAGTGAGGTAGAAAATTGTTTTATCATATAAACCTCATTGGCAAATAATTTTTTGTCTTGTAAAACCCATTAGAAAGAAGTTTTATTTAATTTGTTAACCCCATAAGAAAGGATGATAATGTTAGCATGTAGAACCCAGAGGAAGAGTGTCTTAGTCTGTAAAACTCATAGGAAAGAATTTTGTTTTAGTTTGTAAAAGCCATTAGGAAAGGATTGTATTCTTACAGCTCCTGCATGATGCATATGATTTAATAACTAGTAAATTTCTTCAAAGACAAGTTATGAGGCCTCTTCTTTGCTTCTTAACGTGCGAATGATGAGTTTTATCTCTAGAAAAAAAAATGAGGATAGAACAGGATTTGACACCTGGCATGAGTCTCTTAGCCATATTGTTGAACCACTTCAGTGTGCGCTTGAGAGATGCAGTACTTTGCTCTTAAAAAGTTACAAGTTACTGTAGCCTCTTTGTAGCTACTACTGTGATAACTTGAAGTTCATGAGTCATAATGGAGAGTCGGAGAACAGCTCCAATGAAAATATGCACTGCTGATTACCTTGGTAGTTGAACAGAACATGTGATTAGTGATGAGAATCTGTGTTTCCTGTGATGATGAAGAATTGTGACAAAAGATGCCATAGTGACACAGCATCATGAAGAATGTGAAATAAAATAGATAGTTTCATACACTGAGCTTGAACGTACCATATTTAGTGTATACTGTAATTGGATAGCAGAGGTGCAGGCTTCTCTTTCCCAGCCTAGGCACTGTCTATCCACATTCACTGCTGGAGAGATTGTGGATTCAGTTGATCCCCAACAGGTATATAACTGTGTGTCATTTCCCATCCTTCATACCACTAACAAAGAAAAAGACGCACAGCAGAGGTCTTGTGTCATTTGCTGCATCACAGAAACAATGCAGAAAAACTCAGCTGGGAGGTGGACCTAGAGATGAGATTATGACTCTTGGATGAAATAGTAATTAGTCAGTAAAACAATGATGTCTGTTTCCAAGGATGGCGGTTTAGGTTAATAAATCACCTTAAAACTTAAAATTTCTTTTAATTCCTAATAAGAACCTACTAGGTAGGGGAGGGAGGTTGTCTGAGGAACCCTACTCATTAGAGGTTTGAAGATACTAGCAATAGGGACAACACTGTTATACAGTACTTAAAGTTAAGATCTTCATTTCCTTATTTGAATGAAAAAAAATAATGATATTTAGAGGGACAAAAAAGTATATCTGTAATATTGAAGAAGTAGGTTCATTTTGTCTGTGATGTTAATGGTATTTGTGTTCCCTCTAAAATACACCATTGGGGAGAGCAAGAAATTATCTTAACAATACAGCAAGTGTTTGCATTTGTTAGGCTTATGTTCCTGATAAACCTCATGGATGTGAATTTCTTTGTGTAAAGGGAAAAAGGGGGTTAGGTACCCAAGTTAGACTGAACATAGGAGGGGAAAGAGTGCACATCCGCACACTGCAGCTGCTGAGACACAACTGTCTGGTGAGCCAGCTGGCGCAGTAGGTGATGTGCTACCTCACTGTTGCCATATTTTTTTTACCTGTATAAGACTGAAACTTAACACATTTTGTCTGAGAGCTAACAACACAATGGTGGAAAACGAAGTATCAAATAAATGCTCTAGGCATTTGACTGACATATAACTCATGAAATCCACAGCAGACATTTCCTTTTTGGACAGGAAAGCTCTGAAAGGCTGTAAATAACTTTGGCAGTAATGGGCTCCTTTTACATGAAAAGTTTTTTATTTTATTTTTATGACAGTAGACTCATTCACACCAGAATGCCTGTCCATTGCAGATGCTCTTTATGCCTGCAGTGTGTGTGTGTGTCTAACACATTTAGCTCTTGCTTGAACTCATCAATTCTGCCTCTTCCAGCTGACTCACCTGTCCCACTCACTGTATGTATAGAGGCCATGATTAAAGGAAAGTAATAAACAAAAATTACAGCTGGTAGGGCAGGGTGATGGACTTGCACTCATAAATACTTGAAGTCATTGAGTTGAGTACAATATTGGGAATTGGTGTACATTTACCAATTCACAAATACATGGAACTCGTTACAGTAAACTTGGGAATTTCAGGTTTCATTTGACCACTTTGGTAGAAGAGGAAGAAGAAAACTTCCTGAGTTTTAACAATATATCCGTCAGTCTTCACTTGTTGGCTAGGCACGATATCATTTCAACACGTTTCTGTAGAAAAGAGTTTGTCTCAACAGAATGGGGGGAAGTCATCATTGGTATTATTCCACTTGAAGAGAACCAAGAAAATCACTTAAACTTTGCCTCATACATATACATTGTTTAGAACACTTTATTCATTGTCAGTTAATTGAATTAGTTCTAATGATTGTTGATAAATGCTACCAGAGCTGTTAGCAGTCACTTGTAGTTTCTTATGTCAGAGGGTTAACTCGACATATATTTCATCTATACGCATCATTTATTTACAGGGCACATGTAATCTTTTTCTAATTCTGTTGCATCTACTATTAATTTAAGACCTTAGGAATAGACACAATGCATTGATGAAGATCTGGTTTGTTTATTCAAGACAAAAGTCTCATTCTTGAAAATTATATTTTGTCATAACTTTTTTCTTAACTTAAAGTTTTTATTATACATCCTTAAGCTTTATAAGCAGTAGTTTGTGTGAATAACCAATGCTCATGTACAGTATTTGGTGTGTAAGTGGTCAGAATGATTGTATGTGGTGATGGACATCACTACACTGTATATTGCTTTGTCCTTAAAACTATGTTTCTTGTTTTCCAACAGGGGTAGTCTAAGTCGCAGTGATGTGGCTGCCTCAGTGGGGCGCAATGAGCGGGACCATCGTGTGAGGGAAAAAGAGAACAGTGACATTTCTGCTATGCAAAAGCGACTGAATAAGACGAGTACCAGAGTTTCGGCCATCAATGAAGGGTCGAGACATGGCCACGAGAAAGGAGCAGTTAAGAAACAGCCACAGGTAATGTCATTTTCATCTGTCACTTTATTAATCAAAGGAAAATAATGAGTTTTATTGGTTTTAAGAGTTATGACCCAGCCTTGCTAGCTTTGCTTTGCTTCAGCATGCTTAATGGCAACCGAGTCACCAGAGCTGTGCTCATCCCGTTTTCTGCTGCTTATTCTGGACTGGTGTCCTGGGTTTGTGGTTGTGAGCAAGGTGAGGGGGGGGGGCATAGTCTGGTTTTACCTAACAGCTTCCATCAGGTAACTATGGCTAACTCATGAAAGCATACAAAATGACTGTAATCCATTGAGTATGATGGTGGATGATTATCCTTTATAATGAGAGTCTATGGTAAAGTTTGCTTCAATTTACCCCACAAAATTTATTTACAAAAGGTTTTTCACAAATGGAACCCTTTCATAAATTGGAGCATACTTGTACAGTAGTGTATATTGGTGATTTTATTAGTACCTGTACAGTAAACCTAGTTGAAGAATAATGAAATAATGTATTATAATATCTTTTGTAGGCTTTATGGCAAGAGGGCACCACTACTGTAGACCCAAGAGTGTCAGAAGTGTTGGCCATGCAAGAGGAACTACGACAAAAGAAGAACACTCTTGAGGCTCTAATGAAGCGCATGGGGAAGTCCTCCTCACTCAACATGGACAACATATCCGACAACATCTCAGACAATGTGTCCGAGACCTCCGACAGGCTGGATGGAGGGAATGGCACAACGGCCACCTGGGGAACGGCTGGTCTGCATGATTATTCTGACAACCATTACCAACACTCGAGGTACCTGCATGACAACTTTTCTTTTCCCGTCTTTAGTGATTAGCTTTGTGTAGGTTAGGTTAGGTTAGGTATGCTTATATATGTGTAGAGGCTGGCATAATGTCCAGGGAAGGTTGGGTTAGGTATGTACTGTATATGTGTAGAGGCTGGCATAACGTCCAGGTAAGAAAAGAATGATTCTTTGCTATAAGTGTAGAACCTCACTTGTACAGTATATTTGTTATAGACAGGACCAGCCACACTTGAGCCCAGATGATGTGGTTGTACAATGGGCCTTAGAAGGATACCATGTTACTCAGCTCTTGGGTGATGTATTCACAGAGAAAAAGTAACTTTACTAAGAAAGGAAAGTTGGAGACATTTTATGGTAATAAACTTGTACAGTACTGTATATATGAAAAGAAAATCCAGAGAAATATAAATTATTAAAAAATTTAGAGACTATTTGTGTAAATGGTGAAGAGATTCTCATTTACAGAATATATAGACTGAGTGTTATGACCACTACCTCTTGGCCAATTCCTTTATAGAACTGGGCATCAGAGATAGAAAATAAAATAGAGGGATTTATTTGTTATAATCAGACAAATGCTTTGATTGTTTAGATCTTATGACAATAGAGAAATTCACTTGGAATAGTCAGGAAACTTTTCTTCTTGTTTAATATTTTATTGTCAAGTAAATGCTGTAATCATTTAAACTGTCATTAAAATAGCTACTATTCATTTGCTATTGCCAGACAACCACTCTGATCATTTTGATTGTTATAAATGTTTATCAACAGTGATGAAGAATTGATAGAAGAGGAAAATGAGGGCGATGAAGTACCCGTACGGGCCCACCGCCGCTCCCAGCAGCCCACTGGCCAACCCAAAGACCGCAACCGTCACTCAGCCACGCGTCACCGCCGCCGTCAAGACTCGGGCCGTTTCTCAGTCAATAACTTGACCACAGCTCACAGTGGACGTCCCAAACACAACCGTCTTAGTGCGTATTTTAGTGTGTTGTTGGTAATTCTTGTTGTATAAAACTTTTAGAGGTTGTATTGGTGCATGGGTGTTCAATAGTTCCCAGCTGTTTCCTCTGTTTCTCCAAGTTGGGAAAGGTTTAGTAGTAAAGTCATTTATAGTGTGTAAGAGTAGAAGGTTAATATCCAGGCAGTCCAAACATTACTTATAGTATGAAAATTTCCTGGTTAGTTACTCACTGATAACAACTGCATTAGGGTTTACTGTCCACTACAGTAGACAAGAGTACATGATATCTCTGTTTGGCTTAAATCTGTATTTGTGAGAAGGGTGATGAGCATTAATACAATACTGTATATAGTTTAGTGGGAAATATAAGATGATTTGTTGTGCAGGAGGAAGTAGTGTTCCCAAGGCTTCATGGGAGGCGGTGGATGGCTCCAGTTACAAGTCTCCCTCCAACACCACACTCCAGGCTCACCAGACTCTTGGTGCAGCTCTCTCTCAGGTATGTGTACATGCATCTTGCCACACTCTTTTATGTAGATGATAAATCAAGTAACCTTTTTCTGATGTTTCAATGAAAATTCTTATTTTAAAACTACCAGAAGAACAGGAAGAAGCAGTCCATGTGGGAGGATAGAGGTGTCTGTTATGATACATATTAAGGGTATCGGAGGATGTGAATTAATTATTTGATTGGGTTCTAATTAAATCATTGTTATTTACACAAAGGATTGGTTTAATTTCTTGATCATTTTAACAGTTGAGTCAAGTGCAGGGAACAATCAACAACCTACAGGAGAGTCTGCGCCAAGAGCAGAACCAGGTGCTGGGGAGTGGCCCTTTCTCCCAGTTTATGCCACAGTACCTCCCAGACGTCCCCTCTGCTGGCTTGACGCCCACTTCCTTGCCTCCACACATCCCAGGAATGGGTACCTCCACAAATGGAGTACAGGCCCTCACTCCCATGTCCCCATATGCTGGACTAGGGTCTTTGGCTTTGGGAAGTCAAGGTAAGAATGGTAAGACAGCAATCCCTGGCCATAATACTGTACAGTAACTGGTCTGGTCAACATCATGTTAAGTTAAAAATTTTACATTCCTACATAGAAACTATGGTATGGCTTACTCTGGTCTGAGAATTTTCTCAAAAATCTTCTTCCTTCAGGACCATAAAATCAAATGGAAACAGCAGAATTGTTAGCTCTCCCACAATGGTGCCTCACATGTTCTAATTTGGTAAAAAATGTTCATCAGACATAACCACAACAAAACCAAATATGGGAGTTCTTAGTTTCTAGCTGGGACATCCTGATGGTGCCTACCACAGCTGTATGCTATAACAAGGTTGGCCTCCCACAGTATTATCATCTGTTGTATCAGAGTGATGATGTTTCAGCTCCACCTTCAGGCCATACAGTTTATAAGAATCTAAACATTCACATGCAGATAATATATGTATCCACATACTGAAGAAATCTGTGATATACTGGAAATGTTTTCTCCCATACATGGCAGTTTCCTATTCTTTTCATTCTGTCCTTATGGTGCTACTGCTGTTCACTGTAGAGGCTTCCTTGAGGGCTGGCTATGCATTAATTACCTGATGATGATGACTACAATAGTTTGAGAAAGTACTGAAATTAATATTTGGCATTACATCAAGATGTTTTAAGTAGTAGCACATTCTAACCAAGGATTATGGTACAGTAAGCCTTCAATTTTAGATATAAAATTTAAGATACAAGTTCTTAATCTTTGCCCTGTGTGAGTTACACAAAGATTATGAAAAAATAAGACTTTTTCAGAAATAGAGAGAATGAATTTAAATGAAGACCACAGTTTTAAGTGTGTACTGATCATTGGTCTTTTTCAGGAAAATTGTAATGGAGTGTTGAATGTTGTGGATGTTAGTGAAGTAAGTAAACATTAATCTCTCTCTCAATAGGTGGAAATGAAAGCAGTGGGCAGCAGATGAACCAGCAGCTGATGTTAGGACTCCAGCAATGTTTCTCGCAGCTTCACCTCCACTCACTGGAGATCCAGGCTCTGAGCAAGCACCTTCAGGTGAGGCGATCACTGTTCTTCCCGCCATACTTCCCGCCCTTCCAGTGAGAGCTGGCGGTTGCTTCTGCTTCTTAGCCTTGACCATGTTAAATTATCTTTTAATGGGCATAAGAGGTGGGAGTTGATGCTGGTACCTGTAGTAATGGCTTGATACCTAAGTAAAATCTTATTACCAGCAGAAATAAAATATAAAAATAAAATGCAAAGTATACTGTATACCATATACTGTACTGCATAAAAAATATATAAAATAATAATAGTAATAGTAATAAAAATATTAACCAAGATGTGGGATTATATATCTCTGTTAAAACTCATGGAATTATGTAACGTGCATGAGAGATGAAGAGGGTGGTGGTCTCGCTGTATAGTACAGCCTCTTCTTCACAGTTTGGTGCATCATAGACTTAAGACATCAGACTGTATATATGTCCAAACTTTGTCGTGACAGCAGTGTAGTCATTTATAGAACCTTAAAGGCTTCTTAAACTGTAAATACTGTACTGACAGGATGATAATGATCTTTATTATTAATACCAGCTTAAGGAGAAGAGTGGTTGGTTCAGCTTAGCATCATATTCATATTATCCAAAGAAAAGGCTTTAAATTGGCTCAGGTCAATGTATGTGATAGAATTCTCTCCTATCTAGTCAGGAATGAAGGGGAAGAGTCATACTAACTTTAATACTGTTGAAAGTGCTGTAAACTCCCGGCCTATGAGACACTTAGTTCATTACTGTGGCGTGGGAGGGTTGAACGGGCAGTATTGTGCGAGATGAGTAGTGAGAGTCGCATTAAGGCCCGGAATAAGCTAAAGCTTTTGTGTGCTGTAGTTTATAATACTGTGAGAATACATTACAAAGGAGAAGAGTTATAGGTTGTACAATCATATAGAAATCACATAGAAGTTTAGGACTGTATCAGGGAGCTTCATGTAATCTCTAGGAAATTTTTTTATTTTATTCCTCGATGTTATTAGTTATTATTGATGATATTATTTTTTCCTGTAATCCAGCATTCTTCCAGTTATGAGTTAGATCTATCTTATACTTTATTATTATTATTATTTTAGTTTGAAGGACATTGGTGATCAAAAATCTGTGTTCGGTGTCCGTGTTTCCCCCTTTTTGTTCCAGTTGATGGTCCTTACTTGTTACTGTATATACCACAGGTGCTTGTCTAGTAAACCCAACGTCTCAAGTTACAGTGATCCCACAGTCATCCGGATTCTAATTTATTATGTCCTCACAGTTGTTCCCTGTTCTGTGTGATGTAATAAAAACTGACCCTGTCGCATAAAGTGACTTCTCATTATTGGTGTCATGTGTTGAGAGCTGCCTGGTGTGACCTAATAATAAGTGACCCGTTTACCCTTAGTTCCTTTTGTGTTCTTTGTGGTCAGTGTTGAGGGCAGCTCCTTGCTATGTTTTTGTCACGCCCTCAGATGGTTTCCCAGTTTGTTTGTCTGGCCTCCTCCCTCTACTGATGTTTTCTTGACCTAGATGCATAATATTCACATGTAAGTTTTCAGTATAAAAGTCTCTTTAAATCTTTACTGAAATACTACATAGTAAGATTGTGTCTGACAGAGCTGCCTTTTGTTGGCTCTGGAAGGTGTTACCCATCTTTTGTCTAGTCTGTTTGTTTAGTTTTTTGGGTTCAAGGAGAAAACATCACAGGTATAATGAGTTGAATTATTTTATTGTACCTTTATGCTGTACGTGTTGGCCTTTGTGACCTTCAGTTTGAACTTGTAAGATCATATGACAGCTTCGGTGGGTTGCCTTGTGTATGGCACTGAAACTTCAGAGTTGCATGCATTACATATTGTTGGGCACATTCTAGTCATTTAGTTATGTCTTATTATATTATGCACAATACTGCATTATGCACATGCATGATTCAGCCCATACATATATCTCTGCAAGTATGCATGTTGGGCTATTTAGTACACAAGAGAAATTTAGAATTGGCTAGTCTAGTATTTATTCCGTATAATTATTTTTTATCTCTGTATAATTGATTATATGCAATAAATTCTTCTCCCAGTTCTCTTCTCTTGACTCTTCCTCTGTATGGTGATTGGCACTTGTTCTGTCATACCACACAAACCACCATGGTCTGCACTGTAACAAAAGATGTACACAGATGAAAAACACTGTTGTCTATAATTCAGGAGTAAAGTGCACATACAAGTACTGTAGATATTAAGTCCATATGCATGTGAAACTTCAGGGTAATGAAAGACAACAGAGAGTACAGTACTGGGGTCCAAATTCTTAAAGGTATGGTTGTTTAAGTTTCCCCTGTTGTGTGATGCCATGGTTCACATAGGGAAGGTAGAAGGATGAGTCTCTTGTGTAATTCTAACACTATTTTGAGTACCAACTTTGTCATATAGTTTAAGTGAGAAAGTTTGATAAATTCCTTTGCCTCCAGTTTGGGGAAGACTTTAACATACAGTAAAAAGGTGTAAGAATCTGGGTTCCAGTCTTCATGTACAGTATTGTCGCACCATCTCGCATGAAATAGTTAAGTCTGGAAGGTTCTTAAACTAGCTGTATTGCCTTCACTGGAGGTTTAGGATGTTCTGCTTGTTGTTTTGAGTTACAAATTTATATAAGTTGTACAGTCAAATGTTCCTAGGTAAGGTTGTTGTTTTTTTCTTCCAGTCTTCCTCCTCTCACTGTTGCACCATTATCTTAAACTGTATCATATTCATACACTTAGTTCTCCTTAGACTTAACACATTTGGTTACTCTCGTCTCCCTTTCTATTGTTACCAAGTCATAGTACAGTAGAGTAATTTAAGATTTAGATATAGGTAACAATAGTATTTCACAACACACAAAATAACATATTTGTGAAGATGAGTATATTGTGTAGTGTGTGTTTCTTCATATCTTAAAATGGGCTAAAAATGGATTATAATAATTCCAGTACTTTAGGAGAATAGTATAGGTATTATTAGATGAAAAAGTTGAAGAAATATGCTTTGTATTATTTTAGAGCTACTGTACTGTACACTTTCTGTGGATGAGAGTGATGGTGTGCAGTCAATCCAGAAAGTATCGAGAACTCCAAGCATCCAAAAGAATAAGAAACATCGGGTCAAGACCAACCCAACCCAACCAATTCATATACGCATCTGAGGTTATCACTCGTTTTCTATTCCGCCAGATCGTGGAGTCTCAATACTTTTTGGATTGGGTTTACATGCATCAAGACCATGTAGTGGTAATTAGACAGTCACAGGTGTATATTGGGGTAAAAGGGGAACGATAATTATTTATCTTAGTAACAAGGAAGTTCTGGAGAAGGATTTATAGAAGGTATTTGGGTATGAACGAGGAATTTGTGTTGTTTATTGACAGACAAGTGAAGGTCTTCTTTGGCTATACATGTGTTAACAAAGAGGCAGCATTCTCTAGATTGGGGGAAGAGAAAGAAGAAAAGTGGATTTGAGGAAACAGAAGAAGGTTTAAGTTAGGTTGACTGGGAATGACTTAACTAAACTGGTATACCTGGACGAAGTAATTAATAGTGAGTTTATAGGAAGATAAAATTTATGAAAACCTTAATTTCTGTTTTTTTATGAAAAACTCATAGGAAGTAAAATCGAATAAAAATTTAAAGAATTATCTGCATGAACAAACACTTCTTGAGACATCAGATGGTAAGTACATAAGCTAACTTAATGCCCTGATATCATTACATGGTTACTGAATGGCCTGAACGTGTCGATAAAGCTAAATATGTAGTTGATTTTACTTTCATTTATTTTTATACGTACTGTACTGTGTGTGTGGCTATGTTCCTCTCAAAGCATCCACTTGTCATGTAATTTCAGAATAAGTGAACATTACTGAGCTGTATAATCCAAAAAGAAGAATTATGTTGTAATAGAAATCTGATGTGCTTCAGAGTCTCACTTTCATTTCTGATTTATATATATATACTGTACTGTACTGTATTACGGTTATGTATCTCAGATGTCTTACCAGGGCTGTTACAAACTACAGTAGGTGGTCAGTCAAACTCCAGATCTTAAAACCTGTCTTGTAATTCACCTCAGGTTACAGTTGTTATTTAGCTGAACCAACATATCCTGACTCACTGAATATACTTTATTATAAAAATAATCATGTTTTTGTAATATGTTATGGCAATCAGTCAAGGAACATACAGCATTTTAAAGGGAGAAAAAATCCCAGCTGGTGAATGTCACGCATGTTGCTGTACGTCTTGTTATTTAGAAGTTTTTAAGAGTATCTGAGTCAGGATTTCCATATTCCAACACTGTATAACTCCAATGTGTAATTAGGGTACTGTACATATGCCTGCCCTGGTGTATGCTTATGCTCCTGTGAATAAAAAAAAGAACTAAGGAAAGAAATATAAATTGGAAATTTTTTGGAATTTATTGAGTGAGTGTAATGTCATGTTTTAAGAAAGGGAGGGAAAGGAATTAGCTTGAAAGATATGACTTGGAGACCGGCAGATAACCAGAGATCATGGGGAGTGTGAGGTGTAAATACAAATGGGGATCTCTGTATAAAATTATGGGATCACTTGAAGATTCACCTGATTATTAAGCACTGTAAAGTTACCTGGGGAGGTTAGGTTAGGTTAGATTAGGGTGGTTTTAATCTTAAAGTACTATAAGCCGGGGTGGAGCTAATCTTCATGTGATCTAAATTATGGCGTGAGAGAACATATTTTTCTAGCCCAAGGTAATACTGTACGTACACAAATAGGGTAAAAGAGTGTACTGTATATAAGTCATAAGAAGGGAATAACCAGATTTTATTTATAGATTAATTGTATCTAGTTATAAGTAATATGAATCTGTTTACACTAAGGAGATCGCATTGTCTACTGCACAACATATTTAAGTTAAAGGTGGAAGCAAGTTAATGGGGGTATTTTTACATACCCCCTCCTCTATGGATACAATGTAGTAGACTTTCCAAGCTGCTGTGAAATAAAGGCTTCACTATGTACTTTTTTGGGGGTTCGGTGTTACAGTTAAATGTGTGTGACTGGTTGTGCCTCGGTGGTGGTAATTGTTGTTGTCCAGTTGTAACTGGTTGTGTGGTGGTGGTGACTGGTTGATGATGGTGACTGGTTGTGGCTCTGTGATGGTAATTGTTGTTGTCCAGTGGTAATGGTGACTGTGTGGTGGTGAGGGTGACTGTGGTTGTGTGGTAGTCTATCTATCAACAAACACCATCATCATTACAGCCATTTTCTGCGCCCGTGTGGGATAGATGCGATGACCATATGGCAGCGCTCTCTCTCTTTCTCTATGTGAGGTTCTGCAAATATGTGAGGTTAGGTTTTAGGTTATATGGGTATGTTAGTTGTTGTTGGGTGTTGTGGCTCTATGAGGTGGTGTGGCTATAAGAGGTTTTGTGGACATGTGAGCTTCTGTAAACTAGTCCTTAGTCTCGGATCTTTATTGACCTGTAAGCACCTAATTTGAACATCAATTATTCATCTCTGTATATGTAGATAGAAAATAGTACAAAATACATAATTATTGTACTGTAATCCCCAGAAGTTGTAGATATGTAAGGAGATGTAGGTGGGTCAGACAGCTACTGTGGCTGTCTACTTTATGTACAGTTTGAGATAGATCTGCCTCTCCTTGTGTCATGCCAAATATGTCAAGGGTTAGCAGAATCTTTGTGGCCATCTGACCTTTACACCTGGAAGGTTTCTGAGTATCTCAATGTACGATGAGTACGTGCTCTCACACCTGTGGTAGAATTACAGTACATAATATTGCTACACTGAATAGTATAGTATTGTCAAAGAACATTCACAGGCCAATGCTGGTAGACCCTTTCATAAATCAAACCCCATTTTCCCATTATAAAGCTGGGATATGTTCCTGCAATAACCACCTTCTCAAAACATCTTATATGCTACAAAACTCGTTATTAATAAAAAAAATTATACCCAATGATTTTAAGCAATTAAGAAACAAAATAAGTAAAATATGTAATAGTACAGTAATCATTTTAATTATGTACAATGCTTACGAGAAACCAGACAATATTGGAAACAGTTAATAGTATGAAATGCTAAGCCAACTTCTCTGATACAGTACTTATATTGTCCTAGAAATATATTTTAATTAAAAAAATTACAAAATCTTATGAACATACAAGCAAAATATAAAATACAGTACGTACAGTAATACCCCTGTTAAGATGGACTACTGTATAGGGCCTTACTTATCTAGAATTCCAATTTATGTAAAACCTCTCCCTGGGTGTTGTCAACCATCATTTTGCTGAAAAATCCCTTACATAAACAAAGTAAAAGTTAACATTATAGTACCTTTACACTGCACTTATGTACTATAGCAGACAAAACTTGAAGTGGAGGACGATGGTGGCTGCTTACATCTACAATACCTGTACGTACATTGCCTTTACAGTACAGTACTTGCTTTAAGAGGCCATAATAATACACTGAGGAAACACTAAATATGAACAAAACACATAATGTGGAGTGGAGCGGTGGTCACAGCAACAAACATGTGGGAACTGACGCCTCTCGCCCAACTGTTGCCTCACTCAACCTTCCTTGTGCTGGAGCTCATCTGACTTATGGGGTTTCCGACTTACAGAAGTCTGACTTAGAGGGGCCTTACTGTACACAGAGGTGTGATACCTGTACGTACAGCGGTAATACGCATATCTCTCACTACTATGTCAAGTCTTGGCTCAGGACACACAAGTGTAGGGTGTTATCCAGTGTAACCCACCAAACATCACAGGTTTTTTCCAGGTACAGTACTCTGGTTCCCTCCTGTATTAACACTGGACAATACAGTTCATAACAAAGAACAGAACAACTGTCCAGATGGCTTGTAAGCTGCTAAGTGGTGAAAAGATAAAATAGAAAAAAAGAAGAATTAAATTGAAATTATAGGTAAAGAAAATGGTTCAGACAGGCACATATAGTAAAGAAAACGTCTTAACTGCCATTTACAGCAGGGTACACTCGACTCTTATTTGTATGATGCGGTTGTTGTGTTTCTTCATATGCTGGTTCTGTACAATACTTCTGTTTACCATATTATTCTTTACTCTGATTCTGATGGAAAAATCTGCATTGAATAAGTAAGCATACTGACAGAAAGAAAAAATTTACATTTTTGTTATAACATAATTAGGAAAAATTACAGAAATAATGAAAGAAACAAGAGTAACCTGGGGTTTTCTTTTGCAAATAAAAGCATGGGACTACCTTCCCCACTCCACCAAATTTTTGTGAACTAATGCTTATTAAATTCAGGTCAATCTGTAGTTACATTATGATTGAATACAAGTTGTCATAATTACATTGACAACATTTAATGAGATCATTGCATAACAAACACTACAGAAGTGTTAACAAAAGTGATGTTCTTTGACACAAGTATTACAAGATCTGAGGCCAATTGTTGCCGTGATGCAGCCATGAGATACTAAAGGTGGTGAAGGGAGTTATGGGTGGGAGTGTTACCATGTGACAATACAACCAGGCCTCAGAACCTTTACTTTTTATCAACACAGATTTTGTTCCTTCTGTGAGCCACAACCTGAAGAGATTGTTCCTAATAGAAATTATACCCAGGAGATTATAACTTGGAGAAAGGACAGAGTTGCACTGTAAAAGTTCTTCCATTATTATGATGCAAACAGTTATGAAATGTTGTTATTTAATGTTGATGCCAAAGATTAATTTTGCTCACTGAAAACCTGCATGTGTGTCTGTCTGTATATGTTGACTTCTTGCTACTTTTCTGTCACTTTCTACACACGACTTCCACCACTGTTCCTGACACATGCCTTTGTATTGTTCCTATTGTCCTCTGCTCCTCTCATTTTTAAGATTTCTCTACCCCATGATCCACCCCACCAGTAAAAGTTGATTATAAAGTTATATGGAAAGAAGTCATAGCTGCATTAAAGCAATAATAGTATTCTACAAGAGAAGAGCAGGTGAATGAAAGATTGAGTTAAAGTTTTGAATAGGTGTGGGAGTCAGACTAGAGGTTATAGTGTCTCCCCGGCTATATTATTCACATGTATGGATGAGAGTGAGGGTGAGTGAGACTGGAATCCTGCCAGAGTTAATTTGGGAGGTGTGATACTTTTAGCTGATGAATCACTACTGTTGCCAGAGAATGAAAGGGTAATAGAATAGATGGTCAGAACATTTTGATACATTTTTTTTAATAGAAAGCTAAAGATAGATGCTGAGAACTGAAAGTAGATTAATTTTTAAAGGAAGTAATCATTATTGTACTGCTGTGTTATGTTGTTTTATAACTTTGGTGTCTTACAAGGTTAGGATCATTGGTGAAGTGTCAGATGAGGGTAGCAAATTGAAGTACTTGGGATCAGTATGTTACGGCAATAGAAAATAACAAAACAAGGAGAGAGCAGAACTATAGAGAAAATGATTAATATGTGGGAAGGATTTGAGAGAAAAAAATGTAAACATAGATGAGAACTAAGAAACGGGGATGGAGTACAGTACAGTTTTCAAATGCATTAATATTAGAACTCCTAGTATTTGCATTCCTATTCAAATCCTTGGGCAAAGTATTCATATTCGTAGGATAATCTGACGAACAAGAATTGTTTTATTAATAGAAATAACCATACACTTGGCTGATGAATTTATTTTGGACAAATGAAGAGAGAGAGAGAATTTTTAGGGATGTACAGTAGCTAAAGCAACTATCTGTGCAGGTGGGGGTCGATATGCTCTGAAATTTGACGTGTGACTAGTGACAGCCCTCGTATACCAAAATTTATCTTCCATGTTCTCATATTGTTTCCCACAAATTATGCACAGATAGTTGCTTTAGCTACTGTACAATTGGCTCATTAAGTCCATAACTGGAGTCACCCGAGAAGCTATATATCATAAACCTCACCAGACCTGAGTAATTAAATTTTGTGTCTTTGTCATAAAATATGGGGCACACAACAGCCTGATCTATCCACACAAAACTTCATCTTTATTCAGTGTCAGAGATTGAAATTATACAAGTTCTTATTGTCGATATTTGGGTCAAGTTCAGTAATCAGCATTTCCTATCTTAATGAACAAGGTAATTAACCTATTACAAGTACTTAATAGGTCTTAAGACACCAACAGAAAAAAAAGCATTGAAACTTAGAAGATAAAGACACATTTTAGTGATGGGAATTATTAAAGGAGAAACCCCGCCCTCATTAAGATTTGCTGGAAGTTCTAGTTCAGTGTTGGGTGTATGGCTGGGTTAGGTTAGGTTTTAGATAAATGTATAAAGATTACAGCAATATGAATAGATAGCTTATATATCATAGAGGAACTAAGGTGATAAAAAGAATGAAAGAGTTGTACAATACAGACACACTATTAGATGAAGAAATATACACAATACTGTACTGTTAATATAAGATTTCTTGTTGCTTATGAATGTCTCTTATTCAATATTATAATACTGAATGGCATATTTTCTTCTACGTTAGCTCCTTGATAGAAGGGATCAAGCCGATTCACTTCCAGTTCCTGATTCTGGAGGTGGACGGCTCGACAGGAGAAGAGGGAGAACTGGAACTAGGAGGAGTGAAGACGAGGAGGAAGAGGAGGAGGATGACGACGACGACGACGTAACGGCTGCCACTCGCCCGTCATATCCCCTCCACCACAACCTCCTCGCTGCCTCGCACACGCGGGACGGGAAGGAGAGCGCATCTCGGGTGCCACAGAGTCTCTCCTTCCCTCTCTTCCTCAGTCAACCGGGCGATGGAGAAGCCCACCCGACAGGCGTCACGAACCCAATATACGGCCGTTTAGGAGACGTGAGGGAACCGGGTTCTTGGGGCTCCTTCGCTCCAACACCAGGCACGGAGCAGCCCTCGGAGCAACTAGCCTCGATGATGGGTGTAGGCGGGGTGGTAGACAACAGCCCATCACACCCTCTCCTCCACCTTGACCGTATGAGTGAGGAGAGGCCTCAGTCACAGCCGCCGGATGACCACCACTGGGCATCTCTGGCTTCCACCCATCCTCTTCATCATCAAACTACAGATCTACTCAATAATCAGGTTAGCATCTTGGCTGTTCAGTGTGATGTAAGATTTCAGAAAGGCTTGTCCAACAACTTCAATCGTCAGTCAATATTTCATCCTTATCATTCTGTTATCATGTGTATTGTCATTGATATCATTCTGTTGTTATCCTTTTCATTTGTCAGTTTGTCATAGTCCTAATCATTGCTTAGTAGAGTTTTTGCTCTACATGACTGTGATTATAAATCTTAAACTTAAATTTGAATGCTTGATTTTAAATAAGTTTATGGCAAGATGTTTGAGTGTAATGTTTGGTACTCAGATGGTTGGTTGGGTGTAATGTTTGGTACTCAGATGGTTGGTTGGGTGTAATGTTTGGTACTCAGATGGTTGGTTGGGTGTAATGTTTGGTACTCAGATGGTTGGTTGGGTGTAATGTTTGGTACTCAGATGGTTGGTTGGGTGTAATGTTTGGTACTCAGATGGTTGGTGAGTGTGTCTGAGTGTAATGTTTGGTTAGAATCCCTGATGACCTGACAAAACACCTTTTACTAGGTTCCTCCCGGGACTCGAGCCAACAACTACTGGGACAACTTCCGCAGTTATTCCCGGCAGAACCTTCTCTCCACGGCCACCAAGAGCAATACTAGTGACCATCATCCTGCTTCCACTGCCTCCATCTCTGCTGCAACTCCTAGTGGCACTGCAGGGTTCCTCCAGGTACTGTTTTCTTTGTGAAGCTTAAATATACTGTACATCCCCCTCCCTCCTTCCTTCTTTCCTTCCTTCCGATGTAACTGGGAGTGGAGTCAAATTGCCCCATAAACTAGTGATTTTCATTATTCATGACTTTTTTTATATATATATTCTGAGAGAAGGATCTAGTCACCATTTTGTCCATCCATTGGTTTTACTTATTTTGTTACTTATCACAGTCCTGAGGAACAGATGTAGCTTGAGTATATTCCTTTTTAACACAAGAATAAGGAGTAAATGTAATATAAACAGTAGTTTCCTGTTTGGTTTTGTGTGGTTGAATTCGTTAAAATAAATTTCCTCACCAGGCTTTTATATTTATTGTATATTACATTACATAATTCACATACATTAGACTTCATTTACAAAATAGATACCAATTTTAAATTTTTATACAGTGCACTTAGAAAGAATTCCACCCACAGTCTCGGGAACCCATTCGAGTGGAGGACAAGCGCTTCAATGTTTCAGTGAGCCATAACAATAACAGCAGTAGTGGGGGCGGTGCACGAGCCAGGGTGTCCAACCCCCACTTAAATAATCCCAGGGGAGGCAATGCCAGGGTCAGGAACCCTGTCTCAACTAACTCTCAGCAGATCCTCGGCCAGAACAAACACAAGACTAATAACCGCAATAAACAAGGTGGGTAATTTGTTTTTCTTGCCATTTTCTTTATTTATGTATTAATTTAGGGGCATACTGAACTGTGTTGTACTGTATGAGATCCACTTGTAACCAATTGTAAATAAAGGTAAGATTAATTATGCAAAAGTACAAGCCTTTTTCTAGGTGGTTGGTGGCTGCCAGGCTCTGGGTCCAAGGTGCCGAGTACAAACATCCCCCCGAGTGTCACCTCTGCTGGCACCTCCAGAGATCGTAGCTATGTCAATTACAACTCTGTTCGCGGAAGTGGTAATGACAGGTATGTCCTCTCTTGCACTGAGTTTGTTATAGTGGTAAGAGATTAGATATTTGATCATGGATAAGTGATTTTTCTCTTTTTTCTGCCAGATAAATAAACTGTTTTTGAACTCTTGTACCTGTGTTAAGATTAAAGTTATTTTTACAACAGCCACTAGTTATATGCTTTCTCTCTTTCTGTTTATATCTATGACTGTTATAAGGATATCAACAAATATTTTATCTTAGATAAATAAAATAAAAAAATATTAACTTGTAAGGTTTTATTTTTTCAATATTCTCCTTATTCTTTTCCCCATGTTTTTATTCATTGAGATAACCTTTGTTTTATTAACATATTATCATTACATTATCTGTAAATCTTATTTTCACTTCTAAGATATCTTAACATTACTACTGCTTGTATACAGTACAGGGAGGCCTCATTATACGCTGTAGTGATATACAGTTTGTCATTTTACATATACAGTACTGTACAGTAAACCCTCGATAACTAGGCACATATGGGGCTCTGGTCTTGCCGAGTTATCCCAAATTCTGACTTATCGAGGCAATTTCCCTCCTCCTACAAAAATACAACAATAAAAAATTATTGACCCATATATGTTTACAAGTAATTACTAATTGTAAAAAAGTAACACTTTCCAGCATGGCAGACAAAGAATGAAGCATCATAGTAGGTGACACAAATGCATGGTAGGTGATGCAGGTGGCCAGATATGCCGAGATTTTCCCAGATAATTTTACGTATTTCGGCATTTCCCGAGTTATACTAACACATTCTGAGACCATATCCATGCTGAGTTACCTGGTATATGAAATTCAGAGTTATCAAATGCCGAGTTATCGAGGGTTTGCCGTACGTCGCTAACAAATATAGGAATAATGTATAATATAAAAATAACCATAATAAGAAATAAAAGTGCCTTACACCTGTTAAATTTCTACCACACCAAAATACCTCAGTCACCTCTCACACGACTGCGTACTTTGCCATTGTTGAATGTGATATCCACAGAATTTGCAAGTGTGCCTTGTGAATAAAAATGATAAAATACTGTACTGTATTAAGAGAGTCAGGGTATATTCTGTGTGGAAGATGGAGTGTATTTAAGAGTAGCCAGTGGTTTGGTAACACACCGACTCACCGGACTACGGTGTTCCAACACCCAAAATGAATTTTAGAAAATCGTATACAGTTCTTACGATATACAATGGAGTGGGAAAAGAAAAAAGTATTGTACAAAACTACGTCTGGGTGCGTAACTTTTGAGAGGAGGTGGGAAGGAAGGAGTGCTGGCTGGCCTGAGAGGACAATACTCTCTCCTGCGCTTGGCAATCTGCGATCCCTTTACAACGACAGTATGGAACTTCACCATAATTCCCATATTATTTTGGTTCATTTGGTGTCTGGTTAATACAACATTATCCTAAAATAATAAATTTTCCCCAAAAATCATAAAACTCAACCCTAGATGAGTAATTGCGTCGTATTATATTCCCAGTCTCTTGTTTACAGTGTGGTAACAGCTGATCATTCCCGTTCTCCCTAACAATGTTGCCAGCACTCACCATTGTTGGTACTGCTCAAGAGGGTTGATGCTTACCACAGGAGCTGTCTTCAGCACTTAGTAAATAATATTGTAGCATATTTACCACCACCTAATAAACATTATTGTAGTGTATAATGCGTCTCCATATGCCCTGGTTTATTCACTGATCAATTGTGTAAAAGCCAAATTGAGCCATCATGAATCACTCAAAAGTAATAAATAACTTTGTCATGAACATAACTTCATATCAAATGCTATACATTATGTTATAATGACCCCATTGTAAGCTGATTTGCTGAAAGTTCTCTCTCCAGGAGCACATCCTGAGCTTTCAAGGGATATTATTGTTCATATTGGAATACATACACTGTATGTACCCATAATTACATTAAATCTTATGGGGAATAATTCCTCACTATAAAACGTTTCACTATAAGTCGAGTTTCTCTGGAACACATCCTCGGCGTATACTGAAGACCCCTACTTCTTAATAATTATCTCCCCAATCTTTTCTTTTTCTGGACCTTTTGATCCAGCCTGGGAGAGGAATAATGATAATGTAGATAAATAAATATAAAGTTTAAGTTCTCTTTTAACACATTTTTACAGAACGATTTGGTTATAACGCGATGAATGTATTCGGGAACACATTTTCCAAAATGCAGATGCAACAGATGTAATTTGGATATGACATGGTTGGGTAAACGGAGCTGCTGTATATCACTCGAGTAGGAATAAGTGGTTATGTGGTCTCCTCTGAGTAGCATGACACAAGGCGGAGCACCACCCCCACAGTCTTTTATCTTTGTACAGGGGTGGCAAGGGTGTGTGTGTGAAGCATTCTGGTAGTGATAGTAGTGGAGGTGAAGTAAAACAAAGAAAACTATAACTCGAACAAATTTAGATGTGATTAAGTGATATGAATGCTCACCTGCGTTGTCAGACTGGCTCCACCTCCTCCCTCTCTTCTTCCACCACTCATCTCAAACAACCATCTTCTCTTCTGGTGGTGAGTGTTAAAACATTCTTAAAAGTTTAGCAAAAACTTTTAGACAAATACTGTACTTGAAAGTACAGAAAGAGAAAAATTAGATACTTTGGTTATATAATTAGGGATGAGGGGATAATGACATAAATATTAACGGGCAAAGATGAGGGTAGGTGAGCCGGGGAAAGCAGAGACTCGGATGGATGAAGGATTAGTAAACACAGCCCAAGAATGTTTAGAGTGGAGGAGTGTGGTCACCAACCCTCAGACATAAGGACAGTACTCTGATTGATTGATGGTTTAATGTGTTTTAATTTAAAAAGGTTTAATCGTTAATAGCTTTTAAGTGAAGCACACTACTACCTATTATCTCATCATTTTCGTTCTCCTTCATGGCTCCATTGTCTATCACATAGCAACATAAACTAACACACTGAAACAACCACTTTCTCTTAATGAATAATTTTATCACTCTAAAGCAGTTATTATAAAAGAACACATAAAAACTGACAATAATGTGAAAATGCGTCCAATGTTGGTCCCATGTCAGTCATGTTGGTGTTCTCAAACCTGGCCCCCCTAACTCCTTAACTCCCATTGACTCGTTGATTACTGTAATGCGGTGTTTTTCAGGAATGCAACTTCTGCGTTATAGGAGAACTGATTGTATTAACTTAACTTTGGATTTTTACTTGCAGTGATAGTACTGGGGCCGTAACCTTGGAAGTTCTTAAGGAAGCAGAAGCATTGATGCGTCGTCATGCCAGCCAGCCTGAGTTTTTGCTGCAACTTTTCCGCCATGCATCACAGATCACCGTACACACTGACCAACATGTGGCAGTGGCTCTGCTGCAAGACCTAGCCACACAGCCTCATGGTTCCAATCATGGGTAACTTGAGAGTCTTTCTTAAATGTTCCTCTGCCAACCCACATGATATGATAACTCTCAAACTGCAGTAACACGCTAAACCTTTGGTCATTGGAACCTATTCCCATCACCAGAAAATGTTTTAAGTGTCAGTGAGCTTGTTCACATGCTGTACAGGGGAGGAAAAATGAATAAGAATTTAAATTTTCCAGGGTAAATGCCAACAGCCGAGGCAACAACAATGAAACAAATAGCCTGTCCCTGCCAGCCCCATTACGAGACTCTTCTTGGCGTCAGCAGACCTCTCCCTCTCACCCTCATAATATATTACCCCAGGTACAGTACTTCTGCCATGTTGTCCTCTTGTTACTTGTCTCACCTTTATTCTGTTTCATATTCTTATCCTTACTGTGTTCACTCAATGTTGCTGCCTTTTGTGTTGTGTGTGACAATACAGTTACATGATTGTGTGCACTGCCTGAGGTTGTGTGGTCTTTAGCTCAGGTGACTTTTATAACAGCAATGGTAGAGGCAGAATTATTCAACATACCTGTGAAGAGACACATTGATATTGCAATACCTGGCATCTACAACTACTCATTTACTGTAAACATTAACATTTTTAATTCTTGGCTGTAGGTGTGCAAAACTGTTTCAGATATTCTAATCATGAAGGAATTAAAAAGGGGCTCAAATGATACACCTGCTTAATTAACAGTGTGGGGTTATGTACATGACTGATGGAAATTCATGGTTATGTAACAGTTCTTTCATCCCACATGAATTTTATAGCCAAAAGACATTTTATTTTATACATATGCAATAACTTCTTCCTTGGTGACACAGTCTGTCTGGAATAAGACAGGAAAGAAAGCATCAACCTATCCCAGCCAGTTAGATTTATAATTTTCAAGGACTGGTGAGCAGCTGGTTCCTTGTACTGTACTGATGCTTTCACCCTGCTGTAGGTGGAAGGAACAATTTGAACTTTCATTTAAGTTTTGTTGGTCAAAGTCAATGTTGGTTGTGCCATAGCTTAACATAATGACAACATTTTAACACTGTTGTTGTTAGTTACTGTGACTTTTAAGTGGGGTGGGGGCTAATGTAGGTGGAGCTGACAAAATAATACAGGGGTTTGGGTGAAAGTTGATAAGGACAAAGATTAAAAAAAAAGAAAAGCAAAGTGAGGAAGGACATGGGAAGACTAGACTTATATCTTGCCTTTTATATACTACAGTGGGGTATGCTATAACGAATCTAATTGGTTCTAGAACCTTGTTCGTTATAGCATTCGTTCGTTATAGGATTAATCCGTTCGAGGCCCCCAAATACAACCACTTAACACTGAAAAATATAATATAAAATTGTAAAAATTTTAAAAAGTGCATAAATATGCATCTAAACCCCTGAAATAACCAATATCATTAATACTTTTAATAAAAAAACAATAAATTAGTAAAAAAAAAAAATTTTTTTTTTTTTTAATTATGTTCGTTGTAGGAGTTTCGTTCGTTATAGCATTCTCAATTTTATAGGTAAAACCGTTCGTTATAGGAATATTCGTAGTAGGATCCGTTCGTTATAGCATACCCCACTGTATACCCAGATTCTTAATTAAAGCCCAGTGTTAATTCTTGTGTTATCTTCTGTTACAGGAAAATGTGAGTGTAGTGGGCCTGTCAGGGTCAGAGGTCAGTGACAGCGGCCTCACATCCGAGGACGAAGACAGTAGAGTAAGTAGTAGCTAATAGTTGCCACGTCAACAGGGATAAGTTATGTGGAGGAAGTGTATTGTATCCTTACCACCATAACTGTTTCACAACTGGGTGATGAATCTTGTAGTTGTTAGTAGTCAGCCGCTTCACAACTCGATAATTTTCAGAGTTTTTCCCTCTTTTTATTCCTCATATTCTTATTGCTTCTTCCTTTATTTAGTGGAGTCTTTGCTGTATTTATATATTTCTGCTCCTGTGAGTTTAGATGCCCTATTCATCTCCCCGACTGTAGTACACCGTGAGTGCACTTTATTGTACTGGTACAGGTGTTTGTTGTTTATGGTGGTGGTATCCTCTCTATTGCTTATGGAATAGTAAAGTTGGTCACCTCACTGCCTCCTCACTTTTTACAAGCCACTATTTTCTTCCTCCAGACATATATAAACTTCCTCTTTTAATGTCTTTGGAATACTTTTTTTTTACCAAATTTTGCAGTTTCACTTCACTCCTGTCACGTACAGTAGATTAGCTTTCCAAACGTTTTCCTGTACAGCCAGAACAGTGCCTTAATGTCTTGCTACTGTTTTTGTCCACCAGGCTCTCTACCGCAATGTTAAAAACCTCAGTCTGAGTCCAAGTGGTCGAGCAGGGCTGTCCGGTGCCATACCCAGGTCCACCCCAGGGGTCAACACTAGCAGCCACTCTCGCCCTCAGTTCCCTCAGCCTCAACAGTACCAGTCACAGTTCCCCCATCATAATTATCAGTACTTCCCCCAACAACCCAACCTCTCAAACAACCAGGGAGGTAGTAGCCGCAGTGTAGCCAACTCTGAGAGTTCCCTCTACGATCACTTGGTCTTCAATGACTCACACATGGGCACTGCTCACCCACAGCAGGTTGGTAGTTTACTTTCAAGTATGTATCATTGTTATGTATAGTGTCACACATGCACACACACACACACACACACACAGTGCGTTGTTACATGTGTAGTTGAGATGTATACTCCAGTATGTGTATGCTTTTCTAACTTGACACCCTCCTCCAGGTGGCTTCATCTAATGGTCAAACCATTTTGTGGGGTGTCTAGGTTAACAGACAGCAGCCCATCCCTCCATATTACAATTATTTCTCTTACAAAGGTGATTTAAAAGCATATGTTGCCCTCCAGAGACAGAAGGTTTAAAGATAGCTGTCGTATATTTACCTTGCCATTACACACATCACACTAGCTGTGGCTGCCATCTTGATTTCAGGGCCAACCAGCCAGTTTGAATTAGTTCATAGCTACCTACCTCAAATAGCAAACATCTCTCTCCAAGACAGTGTCCCAACTTGATGGTTAGTTAGTTAGTTAGTGTTGTCTCACTGGGAAGCAAAATCCATCATGGTAGATTGAATTTGAAATGAAGCTGCTGGCCGTAGCTAACAGTGGTTAGGTAGATACGGCTGTCTGTTAGACCTCCTGCATGTATAAGTCAACCTCCCTGACCAGATATCCCTCCTCCTAGAGACAGGCCTGGCACTTGATATAACAGTATTAAGGACCTGCTATGCTTTGCCATAAACAGATGACCTGTACCAGGAATTTTCCCCCCACACACTCATCATTCTGTCACTTTATGTAACTTGCTGACAAAACCCATGAACTTTCAGGCTTTTACGGCCTTAGTGCATGAGTCATAAAAGCAAGCATGAACTACGCATTCATCCCAGTTGGGCTCTGTAAACGCTTTTGCACCTCACCTTGCACAGGATGCAAGGGGGTGCCCAATAAACTAGCCCCCTCGTGGGGCAAATTCATATTCAAAATTGTCACAGGAATGAATGAGCAATCATAAGCTTAACTCCAAGCTGCCAGTAGGGGGCTTGATCAACTATTCTAAACCCTCCAAAACGACTACGGCCTCTTCTTCTGATGCTTGTGTGTAATGCTGTCTTTAATGTGTCAAATATGATAATTATTCTTGATTGTGTTAAGACCTTGCCTAACACTCAATACTTTACACCAATTATAATTTGTAAATGATCTTTTAACACTTAGCGGTAGCCATGTTTTAGTTTTTGTGAAGTCAACTGAAGTACAGAATGATTGTTTACATACTGGTAAGTGTCAAGTACTTGGCTTAGGCCTTGAAAATTATTGATGCTGATGTTAATGGTGATACTTTATCTGATAATGATTTATGGATGGTTAAACTAAGATTAATTTAATATGACATCTGTGAATAGTTGTTCCAGGCTTTGATTATGCTTGATGATTATTTGTTTAACAGGTCGTAGAGGAATGGATATGTCGGAGTGAAGGTGAGGCAGGCGAGGAGAAGCTACAGAACCAACCAGAGACTGTGGGCTCCTCTCCTGAAGATGCTCACCACATCATACATGTACGTCATTATCTGTCTTTCTCACTTTCTAGGTCTGTGTTTGTCTTTATCTTTGTCTAAGCCAGTGTTAATATTCCTAATTTTCTTAGTGTGTTTAAAATTTTCCTGTTATCCGTATCTATACTCACTGTACCATTCTTGCAGGAGGAGCGAGGTGGCCTACACTTCTGTCACCAAACACTGACTTCTTTAAACACATCTCATCTTTTTTCATTCTTACATCCCAGTTACAAATATTTCATCACTACACCCACATCTTTTATGGCTCCTTGCACCTTATGTACTTATATTACTCAGATAATATAATTAGATTTCCATAACTTTGGGATGGAGTTGTTTGTTTTAGTTTATCTGTTCATTTGGTTGATGTGTTCGTTCATTCATCCGTCTGTTCACTCTGTTCTTATTATGGTTTGGTTATTGTATTGATACATTCTTTGACTCCTATCTTCATTCCTTCCCCAGGGTTGTGTACTGAGCGTAGGTATACAGTACGTGAATTATAAAATGACATCGTTCTTTAAGCTAGGAAGGATTCTTGTTTGATACTGAGAATAAGAAGAAATGATTAAAGAGCATATGTAGCCAGTTTAGTTTTAGAAAGTTAAGCCATTAATTATGATTTTTATCTCATCCTCCTAAAAGCATGTTGTGAATAGATTGATAGATGTAGCTGGACAGAGGTTGTTGAGTTCGGGTAATGATTGATGAATTCTTTTGGTTTATTCGTTTAGCCTCTAAATAACGACACCGAATACCTGACATTTGAGACGCTGGTGTCATCAGCGGTGAGGGCAAGTGTAGAAATATTGCTGAGCCAACTTGGTGGATCACAGGCGTCCGGGGGCCTCGTGTCTCCGCTCCTCATCACTTCACTCCACAATACACTTGTTGCTCAGGTCAGATTTACTCAGTCATCAATTATTTTTATGTATTTTGAGGAAATAATTTGTACCTCCTGACACCTTTAATGTGATGTGACTTTATAGACAACAATGGTTAACTTTCTTGAACTTCACCAACTTAAGAATCTGTCTGTATTGAAGAGGTCAACATTATAGTCACATTGTTTGTTGATATTTTCAGATTCAGACCCAGGCACAGTCACTGCAACTGCCTCAGAGTTTCCTGTTCTCGGTCGACACTGAACTCAAGAGTGCTCTTCAGGCCTTCTCTGGCAAACCGTAAGTACAGTACCTTTGTTGACAGAAAATACAATAGTCAGTGGTGGAAATTATCAATCACAGAAAATACTATACTTAGACATTTAAAGCATGTATGACATTGTTGCTTGTCATGGTTTGGTTAGATATGGACTGTCATAAAAGTCTCTGTTTTGATTCTGTAATGTTCTGACCGTAGATTGTATTGTACCAGTTTTTGCTTCCTCATCTCACCATACAGTACAGTACAGTATATGAAAATGCAAATACAGTAGTTTCAAGTAATGGGATCAAAATACTTTTAAATACTGTAGTAGTCAAGGTCACAGGAACATGAAAGGTCAAAGTGTGTGAAGTGTGGCTCCTGTATCAGTGCAAATATTTTGATGAAACCTTTAAACCTGTAAAAGGATGATTATTATAATTACAGAAAGGTTAATACTATCAACAATAATATATGTCCCACAACTCTGTCATGAAGGTCAAGGTGACACCATGGGATCAAAGGTCAAAGCGAAGCATTTCCATGTGTGTTCTTTAACTTTTCAGCTTTAATAATTTTCCTATTATATTATTTTTCACTGTGGTTATTCAGATGAATTTGTTTTATTACCTTCTACTCCATAAAGTTTCACACACACATTCTTGGTCAATTTTCAATCCTGTAGAGTCATTGTAAGCAACCAGAGTGGATATTTTGATCATATTGACTGTGTTGTGTGACAAGGTATCATGTTTTAGTATATTACTCGGTTTCATATATTTTCAATCCCATTTAAATTAATGAGAATGAAGGGAGAATCTGTGTCTCCTCACTGCTCCAGCCACTCTACATTATTTACTGTAGTAGGTAAGAACTTAGACATTTTTAAAAACTCTCAATTATATCTTGGGTTACTGTTTAATCACTTCAATCTGGTAATTATTTTTTAAGCTCCATATCCTGATCAGAAAGGTGACTTGTTAAACAGTTTCCTTATATTTACACCTTTTAAAAGAATTATTTTTTTCTCTCTCTCCATGTCTTACTCAGATTGTTGGAAGTGAGCAATGATGTGCCATCAGTAGTGTCACAAGTACTGCTGACACAGTACTGCAGTGTGCTGGTCCAACGACTTCGAGACAACCACCCAGTGCTGCCGCAGACGCCCACTAAGTTGCCTCAGAGCAAAATTCCCGTGAGTTATTTTGTGACTTATGTACAGTGAAAGAATTAAAGTATTGAGGGTACGATACTTCAAGGTGATCAAGTGCTAGTAATGTATGCCTAATTTTAGTCAATACATCTAAGGTAATGGATTCTTGAGGCTTTTTTTTTCTGAACTACAAGTAAACTATTGATGTATTCGTTTTATGATATTGATACCTCTCGAATGGTACGTAAGTGTCCAGTTGAATGTGTTTACATAAGGGTTGTTCAGAGACCTACCCCATCAAGGAAGAAATGAAAATTCTCACGGTCATTTTGTATCAACAGAAGCCACCAGCTGATATAGGGATCAGCCATATATCAAGAATGTGTTTTTAATGTTTAAATTTTTTTATGGAATATAGTACAGGACCCTGCTAACTCCCCACCTCCCTTCCTCTACAGGATATTCAGGAATTGCATGATAATCTTGTGTTTAAGGGAAGTTTTATGTTTTTTCCTTTTGAAGTAATGAATTATAATCAGTCACTCGGGAAAAGTGTTATTAAAGCTGGCTAAGCAATGCCAAAAGCTCTTTTTACAATAAATTGGATAGATATCATTAGTAAGATTCAGCCATCTTAACATTGCTGCAGACAGTGTGTGCTCAATATATATAATATTTCAGATAAGTGAAGCTGGTGCTGGAAATGTGGCCACCGTATCATCTACATCTCAAGGACGACATACTCAGGAGAACACCACCGCCACACAAACAGAGTCTAGTGTGTTCTCCCTGACACCCCATCAGCACGCTAGTCTTAGTCACTCCACAGATCTGTCGCAGCGTCCCAACCATCACGGGTCTCGCACATTCAGTTTGACTTCATCTACGGGATCGTCGGTCACACATGGCTCCGCTCATTCCTCGCACCTCTCATCACATGCAGTAGCTCATCCCTCCATTCCATCATCATCACCACACCCACCTCCTCACATAACAGCTTCAGTGTTCCAGTCTTCGTCTTCGGGTGGTGGACACTGGCAGGTACCTCTGTCGGCACCTTTACCTTCACCCAATGAAAATGGAGCCAGTGTTGAAACTCTTATTGATAACTCTATCAATTCTATAAATTCCCATCCAACTTCTCAGCCTGAGTCTTGGGCTGTGAGCAGTGGAATTGGACAGGTGGCAGAGAGCCCTGCGCCAGCATCACGACCCAACTCTAGACTGACAAATAATATTGGTGCTGCAGCTGAATGGGCTGAGCCGGAGCATGAAGAAGCAATGATGGATGACAATGTTGAACCTTCATTGCCAGTACATGATTTAGCTGAGGCAGACCAATCACAAGGTATGTCTTTTTCTTCTGTGTGTCTATTAACTTGCTGTACATATTGGCTATAGAATTGGAGCATAAACTTAAAATCATTACCAACTATTTGTTCACAGACTTTTTACTTTGTGTTATTTTAGGCTTAACCTTCAAGATAATTCCTCCTGTTTCTCTTCTCATTAAAATACCTTGTAGATTATATAGACCCGGTACAGTATAAGGAATTGATTTATGTTCACAGATGCAGCAGAGGGTGACTGGGAAGACTCTCAGGCAGAGGGGATCCAGGCTGACAGTGGGGGTGCTGTAGGTAATGCCAGCCCTCAACATTCATCATGGCTGCAGGCCAGAGAAAAGTCCTCCCAGGTGAGTTATCTTCATTTTCATTCCTGCAAACTAAGAATGGTGAGTGATGTATCAATTGTGGCGTGTGTTTGACAGCGGTCATCTCTTTGTATTGGTCTCATTTATAACTAGCAATAGTTAATGTATGTAATCTGTTTTTTACTGTAGTTCATTTGTATGTAATTTTTTGCCTCTACCTAACCTGGTGATTGAGTGTACATCTCAGGAGTTGCAAACCTTTAAGTTGAAAAGAACAAGAGTTTAATTTTCTGTATCTTGGGGCTGTTTAGCAGGAGGATTTTCTCTGTTGTTCACCTCTTGAATACACCATGTTATTAAATAACCATGTGTTTGGTACAAATAAAACCCATCTGAACTTAGCTAATGCCTATGTTTTGTCTGTTTACTTAAAGTTCAGTTGTTACTTGGGAAGGCATCATATGTGGCAGGAAATTCAGTATGATTATAATGAGCTTTCAGAAAACTGTTGTAAAGTTTGTCTTTGTTGTACAGGCAGACCCTGATTTCTGAATTTTCGTAGTTACAAGGGGAAAAAATTTATCCCACTCATTGATTTATGAACGAAAACCCAGAATTTAGGGAAAAAATTCATGAGTTGTAAAGAAAATATGCAAAAATAAAGCAGATTTTTATTTTCTTATTAACTTGCTTAATTATTTAATTATTCTCTAACACTCGCAATGCTATTAACTTTCAGTTTGTTATCATTTCTTCATCCACCATATAACTCAAACTCTTTTTTTATAATGGGACTCTTCTGGGGAAATATGCATCAGTTTGTAAGAAGTTTTTCTGGAACATAACCCCCTCTTAAATCAGGGGTCTACCTGTACATTATTACCTGACAGTTTTATACTTTTAGGGTTTCCAGGTTGTCTTGTTTGTGTTAGTTTATATTAAGATGGAGGAATGGTATTTTTATATGCTATCTTTATTAAAGAAAATAAAAATCATCACTATTTGATCTGGTTCTTCAGCATTCAGTAATGTTAAATGTTCATTGGAATATTATGTATATGTGTGAGTGTTAGTCGTCTTAGATCTTATACACAACCCTAGACGTGTACATTGTTGTTTAGGTGTCAGCTATACGTTACCTAAGTGTTTGAGTCATTTTAATATCTTCTTTTATTTCTCTGACAGGTGTCCTTCAAAAGAATCGTGATATGTTTCTTCCTACCCTATCTGGCCTTGGTGTTTTTCTTGTAGAATTATATAATGACTGTGTGTAGTTGTCATCATACCTCCGAGACTGTTACATCTTGAATCACTGATTTTGGTAAAAGAACCAAATTATTGCTTTGTAGTGATGACACCAGTTTTGGTTATTGACATCTTTTTTTGTAATGTTTCTGTCTTGTCATTTAGGTTTTTGGTAGACAGCTTAGTGGCTCTCATCCAAGCTTCTCTTTATTAAGATTCTCAGACACATTCACTCTGTATCTTACCTTGAGCTTCCTCTGTGTCTACTTTCAACCCTACAAATATACTGTACACTAAATATTCATAGCCAGTATACTAGAAGGGTAGGTCATGGTGCTTCCTCTTGTGTATCCCAGACCTCACCCTTTCCCTCAGTCTCAGTAAACTAAAGAGTGGACCTTGAGTAATCCAAGGAGTAGACATCCCCTTAAACCTAAGCACATGGTTCCTGCAGCAAAGGGGTAGAATAATGCAGTACTAATCCAAAGCAACTGTGAAAGTACATAACATTGTTTGTGATTCAGAATTATTTTACCTTTCGTGTTCAAATAACATTCCCACTCACAATAATATACACTTGTAAACTGCACATTATCAAGTTAGTTATTGCTGTTTCTCATAGTTTTTTTACCTCCTTCTTTACTTTGTTCAACTTACCATCTCCATTATTTAAACATTCACCAGTTTGTTTGCTTGTTGAGATGATCTAATTCTTCTTTTCCCATGAATGTTTTCCAGTAGTTATTGAAGCAGTAGTGCTGGGAGGTATGGTGGTGTTACATAACTGATATCTTGATAAAATCACACGGGAAAAGGGAAACAACGGAGCTCCTTAGCTTTCGTCTTTATTCAAGACATCTCTGAAGATGTCTTGAATAAAGACGAAAGCTAAGGTGCTCCATTGTTTCCCTTTTCCCGTGTGATTTTATCAAGATTTATCTTATCCACGTTTTCTTTGTGGATCTTCATGAAATAACTGATATGTTCAGGGAGGATTACTTATGTCATCCTACTTGATATTCTAGCAAGACATCCACAGCATTTATAGCAACATTTATGCACACTTGGACATAACTGTTTATGGTGTAATATCTCGGGTGTTTTGTTCTTAAGACTTGATGACCAAACATTTCAGCCAAACATCAAGACAGATGAAACACAAGAAATATTCACTATTAAACAATAGAATTAACCTGGATCAGTCCTCTCATTCCATGTTTGCCTAAAGAAGTAATAACAGTATAAAAGTACACATGATTCATCAAACCAAAGTAGTGTTTGCCCAGAGTGATGGTATGGTACTGTCAAGACTTATGTCAGTACAGTACAGTAGTATTAAAAAAGTGAATGTTGCCACCCTGTGTGATTCATGTGCTAAGCGTTGTTTGTTTTGTCATTGACCATGTGCCTTCCAGTGTGTACTAACCCCTTCTGATCCTTCCCCTGAACCTGCCTCACATAGCAGATGGATGCAGAAGGCATGGTAGAGTGTGACGCAGATGCCGCAGAAGGGACCACTCGAGGGGCTGTCGGACATCACGGGTACGGAGAACACCACAAACAAGTGAGTAAAAAGTTGACTCCCAGCCTCAGAAACTTATTAGTTATTACACTATTATACTGTATAACTAATATAATTTTTTGACCATAATCTACAACATGTAACTAGAGAATTTGTTGAGTAGATCATATACTTTACTGTATGTATCTGGAATAGGATAGTTTCAGTAATAATATCTTCAAAGAATTATATCATCAAGTAGTTTTACTGTTGGATGGTATCGTATGTTAATGTACACTAACCAGGTTTAGTATTAAGTTAACTGATACACAATAAGATTATGATAAGAATTTCATGCATGACTATGATACAATAAATGGACTTCCCAAACTTTTCCCAAATTGAAGGTCATTTACATGTAATTAACAAAGTTATAAAGATGTATAATATATGATAGTGTGTAACTGTCAAAGAAATTGTCAGAGTTACAACCCAAAGTAAATAAAAAACCTTGATTGTCACTGGTCACTGAAATATGGGTCATTTTTGTCATTTTATTTTACTCCTAGGCTTCACTTGTGCTTCTAATTAATATTATTTATACTGTATATATATTATTATTTTTTTGATTTTGTTACAGATTTGTTGATTATAAATACAATAATTCTACTAACATGGACATTAGTTGATAAAGCTGTGCAGTACTAAGGTGATATGATAGCAATAAGATGGAAGTAGACTGAGAGTGAGAGGAGTTGTGTTAGGACCCAGGAATATATGATCAAGTATGTGAAGAGAGTAACAAGAGACTGGACACCCTCGGGGGGGGAAAGTGGTGTGTGAAGTGAATAGTGACTGTTACCGGTGACTAACGTGAATGACTGTGAAACTTTTAGTCGACATGGTAAGAAAGATGAAGTCATGAAGTCTTCCAGCAACATGGAGATCTTAATTATAATGAAACTACATTAATTGAAACTGTATTAACTGCATGATACAGTACTGATATGATAGAACATACTCAAACATCTTAAATATATAAATTTCATTACCTATAACCTTTACAGTGATTATTAGTAGTTGTGTGAGTGCTTTTGTGATTATCATACATTGTTCAGAATGATGTTATGTTTAATCCTATGTTTACTGCATACTCCAATACCCCTAATCCTATTTAACACAGTCCACTGCCAAAATTATACTTGGTTATGCCTACTTGGTCCTGGAGTTAGGAATGGAATATCTTAGGTACTATTTTACTGCATAGGATAGTATGTGCATTACCTCAAGTTTAGCCCTTAGTTATTTCACCTGATGATTAAGCATCCTTACACCACCAGGGGATTAGTTTAGGTTAGGTTAGAGTTGGGCTGGCCAATAGCAGGATTCAATAAGCTGTGAACCCAAGACATGACTTTTTTTCCAGGCTTCTTCTTGATGTAGTACAGGGCGGCCAGAACCACAAATATACACACACTCTTATTTTCATTCTAGATGCTGTAATACTCATAAACCACTTGATGCCACACTTTCCTGTTGTTTACATCCTGTCCTGCATCCAGGGTGCCTGTCCCCTATTATTTTAATGCATCCTTCACTACATCTATTCATCTCTTGGAACCTCTCTCTCCTCCTTCCTATTTAATCTCTGAAACATACACGCCTACTAGCAGTGCGAGTCATTTAGAAGACGGCTAGATTTTTTACGTGTAACGTCCATGAGGTGAAGGTAACTTTAAATGAGAACGTTTTTGTTTATAAAATGTAAATATAAATATCTTGCAGGGAGCAAGCAGAGAATTAGAGTTGGATGAGGTTCCCACTAAGCTACAGAGCCCCGAGGGAGGTTCACCGAGAGGGACCCCAGAGCACCAGTCAAGCGCACCACAAGGGCACCACCAGTCCACACCTTCCTCACACAGTGTGCAACCACCTCACTCTCCAGGAGGTGTGTACACTCACTCACTCACTCACTCACTAACAATTGGTAGCTTCTGTAATTTAACTGATATTTTTTACCAATCCTAATTTACTGATTGACCAAGTGAAATTTTTTTTTTAACTAGATCCTTTTGGTCTGTGAATACCAATCTGACTGACTGACAGCGGGATCTTTACTAACCGTCCACACTGAAGTAGTTTATAGCTAATTATTTTGTCACTTGTTAATGCATGACCTAAAACATTGATACACAAGGCATTTAGTGATGCTGGGCATGTGTATTGTAGTGTGGTCAGGACTCAGGTATCCTGCCGTAATTGCCTGCCTCTTTTTCTCTTATTCTTAATTTTCGTTGATATTTGTGTTTATTTAATCATCAGGTGAGTTTGATTAGGATGTCATAATCGTATTATCCTGTGAATTGAATATCTGACTTCAAAACTTCTTATGTGGGAATTGTGTTCAGTATAATGGGTATTACACACCTCAATCATAATTTTTTTCTCTTGTTTATGAGAATGGAAACATTATGGGTGAGACTGTACATTTTTTTAAGGTACCCCAAACCCAAACTGTATTTCCCATATGAAATTAACTTCACTGGTTTATGATTTGCTATTTTGTATTTAGATTTTGTGACCTGTTATTAAGTAAAGAATGTGAGAAATCATTAGTAGGAAAATGGTCTTGTTCACCACATTAGTGCTGCAAAGTTCAGCTAAAGACCAACCTGACACTAACTTTTTGTGTTTATATTTTAGGGAGTGAGGGGTGACCTAAACAGCTATATGAATGCTCTTCCATAATCTGTCACAAGAAGAAGAAAAAGTCAACAGAAAAAAGAGATGAAAATGGAAAAATAAAATCCTACAATATGGGTGATAAAATTATTTTAGTAGATGAGTCCAGTGATGAAGAAGGAAGAGCAGACCAAGCTTGTGTTGTGTCTAGTCCTGTCCTCATGTTTGGGTCCTGCCTAGTAAGCTTAATTACAGTCCTCCTGTGCAAGATGCGCAGCACAAATCATTAGGAACGGAGAGTTGAACGACGTTATCCTGCACTCGACAACCCAGCTTTGTGATAGAGATTTGTCCATTGTTGGTTTGCAAGGCTTAACATAGTATTCTCTGGTGTAGTTCTTAATATCCAATATATACCTACACTGATGATGTCTCAGTACTGTATAGTGAATAACATCATGCAGGTTCTTATTAGTAATGAAAATGTAACTTTCCATTATATTGAGCTGTTATTAACCAAATTTACACCATGGCTAACATCAAAAGGCTGTAGGCATTAGGCAATTATAATTTGATTTGTTTATTTTAATTTGGGCCCATGCCTTCCCCTCATGGTTTAATAAAATAAGACTTAAACAGTTAATATGGTTATTTGGTATAAAGATTGCAGTTAATGAAGCATTCTTAACATGACTTAACTAATATACCATATAATAAAGTGTTCCCTGTACTGTACTGTATCCAAGTGGTGGGTTCATGTGCAGTATTCCTCAAACACTTTACAGTTGCATATTTTTGGGAGGGTGGGGAGGGGGAAGAGGGATATTGCTACATGAATCCAACACAGTGTTTATGTTATTTATATACAGTTATTATATATAGCTTGAAATCAAACAGAATGATGATGGATAGGTAAAGCAAGTTCATGAAAAAAGTCAGTTGAATTATGTTACATTTGATCAATTACATGCATTATTGTGAAGAGTGAATACAAAATAATTTATGTCAGTGATTTACAAAACTAAATTCAAGAGGAAATTTTGTTGCTTTACCACTTCAAAATAGTTGTTTCATTCCAGAAAATTGTCACACACACAGGTACATATTTTGTACACAGACACAGTTTCCAAACAATGATACACATAAAAGGAGTCATCTAATTAGGCATCACAGTTGAAGGAGTTCTCAGAAGACTGCCCGGGAGAGAAGGGAGAACCTGCTCTTTATAAGGAGAGGAAACCTAATAAGGCAAGGGAGAGAAGTTTCTTTATTCTCATATTTATAATATATTAATAATTATAAACATTTCTCATAACACTAAATGCTCAACTTTTAATCACTCTGGCATCTCTTAATGTGATGCAGAGAAGACGTACCCACTACGTGTTAAGCTTCTTCCCAAAAACAGATTTCTGAGGCTGTAAATGTAACCCAGTTATTAATGTCCCTGTCCATTAGAGTAAGTGCAGAATATATTACCAGTTTGTACTTTACAAAGAAGAGGTTAAAAACAAGATTTAATTTATATGCATTCTTCTCCTTGTTTCCTAGGTTTATGTATTCACCATATTTATTAATGAAATCATGATCTGTATTTTGTTATAAAATTTAATATATAGAAGCAGGAGGAGATGGCTAATAAAGTGGGAGAAGTTGGAGTGACAGTGTCAGGACTGAACCTGTTAGAGATAAGGTTATACATCCTCACACTGCAGACTTGGAAAACATACATTCACTTGTTTTATTATTATTGGCTTAATTAAAGGGATGTGACTTACGTATTTGATAAGAGTGTCTGACAATGTTATCTTTAAACATGTGTGTTGTAACAGATGTGGATTGTTTTAAGAATTTGGATGAACTTTTTATTTCTTATTTTTAATGATATGGTGAATTAATATTGGTAAGTATGGTTTTCACCTTTAAAATTACCTCTTGCATTACAGTTATTAACAGTGTATCCTTAACCCTACGTTCAATAAGTCATTCCTCCTGGAACCCACATTTCACAGTGTGGATATGAGAATTTGAATCATTTATTAAAGTATAGTACAAGATCCTGAGTTTCAAGTCTGGTAAAATATGGCTGTTCAATATTGTTGTCTGCAGAAGTTGCACCTTGTTATTTTGGGGGACTGAACCTCTTAGTTCCTCACTCAGGATGTTACCAGTTGAATCTGCAGGACTAAAGAATAACTAGATTTTATTCCTATAAAGCTGATAATCCAATGCCTGCCATTATAGATATCAAAGTAAAGTACAGCCTCAGTTATTGAGTACAGCTTAAGATTGACCAATTTCATCCATCCCCGTATAATATAACTTGGAAGTATTCCTGAGACAATGTCCAGCACATAAGTTGGAGATTCAGTCATGGCTCCAGCATGAGTCTTTCATTTAAGCTTGAGAGCATGTTTAATGTAAGTTGGTGATGTGAAGTGTTGGAAGTACTGTACTGACTCTGTTCTCATTATCTGCATGAGTAAAGAATGTTAACTGTGTATTAGATTTCTTGTACAGAGATGGCTGTTCTCAAAATGTTTTTATAAGATTTACATATAATTTATCAGTTTAGTTTTAATGGTGAAGGGAAGACAACAAGTTATTATTTCAAAATTCATGTCAGTTTATGGATTAAAAATTAACCAGACAACAATAAGGAAAATATATTTTGAGTTGTCGTGAATTTAACCTTTGGTAGATTGTAATCTTTTGTGTCAACATGCTTATGAAATTCAGCTGTAATTTGATTTTATCTTTAACTTTTATATCAAACAATTTTAACAAGCAGTTCAACATATATGATGCACTGTCAGGCAATGCAAATACCAACAACATAGCATGGTAAGCCTAAAGATGAGGTGTATTGGTAGTACTTATAGTTTTAAGCTTATTAGCTGAGGTTGTACTGTACTCTTATGTAGCACATCCAGGATCCCTTTTGGTGGAGATTAAAGTTTGTACCCTTAGTGAACTACATGTCAGTATACTAACCAAGTGTACCCTAGCCAGTCCAAGTTGTGATTATGCTCAGAAGTATCCCTCCCATCCCCTCCCCAAACTACATGTTGTCTCGCTCCAAATTACTGGTATGTTCATTGTTTGTTAATGTTGTTAGATTGGGACCAAATATATATTAGGCTGCTGCTACCAACCCAGATGTGACTCTTTTTATTTACTATTTGCAGGAGATCAGATATGTTTAGACTGTCTACAAAATAATCCTTTATGAGAACAAACACTAACCATTATCCTAAAGTTCTTACGGTAGATGTGGTTAGATTTTGTTTGTATTCAGTGTTGTGTGCCACAGGTCACCGTGCATGCGTGCTATGATCTTAACGGCCTCGTGTATATGAAGGCAATCTATTTTGTTCTTAGAGTGTGGCATATCTAACTCTAGCAAAAACATATTGAAAGAGCCAGACCTGGATCTGTAGCCACTTCGTATGTATTGTCGACAGAAGGAGCATTAGACCAAATATATCTTGTTTATGGCTAGGGAAAGTGAGCATCACTTGTATTGGCTGTTGCTCATGTTAGTGAAAGGAAATGTACTCGACCCCAAGTTTCCAGTACAGTTCTCCAAACCTCAGACTTCTCTCTGTTAACAAGCTTTTAAAAGTGTCACTGGACTGAACCTTCTGTTACTGTTGATGTGGAGATGTGAAGTGACTCAAACTCATAAATGGGATTTTATTTTTCTTTGGTGTTTTTTTTTTTTTTTTTTTTACTGAACCCAAAAAGAATATTAAACATTAGTTTGCCAGTGATTGCTTTAAATCTTAATTTCTGGCGTAGCATTTATATACGTTATTAAATGCTGCATATATTTTATTCTGAATCATTTAAAACTATTTGGAGTATCTTGTTTGGTATGGTAAAGATGAGTGAGGTAGTTTATTTTTTCTGTGAACTGTAATTCAGTTTCTTATGGAGATAGGTAAAGGTATTTTGAGTTTGTGTATTATTTTGACCATTTGTACGGGAGGCAAGGACTCTTGAAGTACAGTATACGTTACCATTTTCTTTGGCTCAAGGTTATGGCATTTATTCATATTTATATAGTACATGCCAGTGAAGAAGTGGCAAATGTTGCTTATATTACCACTACATTATGACATAGATGTTCGTGTCTCAGTGTTTTGCTTCTCCCCATTGTGTTACAGGATTTTGATTCATTGTTAATCCCAGTACTGATCATAATGCAAAGAAAAACTATATAATGTATCAGTCTATTAAAATCAAAATAATCCCTCGAGTATTGAATATCCCTTTTTTTTTTTAGTTCATAAAATCTGTAATATTATAAATTACTCCTCATATTTGTATTTATTATTTTACTTCTTAACTTAGCATGAAGTCAGTGAATATGAAGTATTGTTGGTGAATGTGATGGATCAGGCTTCATCTGGTGTAAATGGGTTAATGTAAGTGGACAGATTATGTAAGTTTGGAATTGTTGGAGTAATATTTTTAGGTTACAGAATTGTATTGACAATATATGATTGAACCTTTGATGAATGTTTTAACCTTTATCAGTAATGGATATAATTCAATGGAAAGGCTTTAGTGTGTTCTTTAGCTTAGCTTAACTTAATTTGGTCTTTTTCATCCCTAGTTTAGCTTAAACTGTCAAAAAACCGTAAGAATGAAGAAGGAACAGAAGAGGTAAGTTAAAATCTCATTCTTTAATAACATTACTAATGAATTGTTTCAGGGTTTAAGGTGAAATTTGGCAGATCAAGTACAGTAAGTTACATTGATACAGTAGAAAAAAATCAAGACCTTTGTTTTTATTCTGTAGAAAATTTCCATTACTTAGTACGGTTCTGAAGTTGATTGTGACATCAAAGAATATTTTTAACCAGGTAGTAGGTAGTAGGCAGCTACCAAACAGGGAGGTACTACCGCTTGGGAAGATATTGGAAGCATAATGTATTGTCTAATGGTAGACCCTGCTGCCATATGGCATCACAAAAATTGTGACCAAGTCCCAGGTTGCTGATCTGACTTTCTGCCTCATTTACACACAATTGCAGGGTCTCAATTGTTTCTCTTACTATTGACAACACAACATACGTATACAGGGGTATTGTTTCTCAGTTTTGATCTTTTTTTTCATTTTTGTATTTTATGTTTTTTTTATTATTATTATTATTATTATTATTATTATTATTATTATTATTATTATTACTACTATTATTATTACTACTATTATTATTACTACTACATTTTCGCTCCACAGGCCCTGATGTGGATCAGTGACCTGTGCCCGGGTGGGCTAATCCCCGTAAAAACAAAAAAGATTAATATTACATACTATTTATAAGTCAGTGTGAGTTGCCTCATATGACCCAAGCTATTGAATGTTGTTCATCTTATTTCCTGAGAAAAATTATATGAAGGCTTCCATGTGTACATGACATTAATGTCACATTTGTGTTTACAGTCAACATCAAAGGTAGTAGACAGCCGATGTGCGTTATTTTAGTCAGTACTTGGCTGCACTACCCCAAATACTGTATGGTTTTGTACAGAAAATGATGACAATATTAGCTAGGTCAACATCACTGCTGAAAACAGATGCCTAAAAGTGAGTGGAACTGTCAACAATGGCACTGGGAATATGCTGAAGAAATGACTCGGAAATTTGGTAAATTGCAGTACAGTACTGTAATTACTATAGTCTTCATTTCTTCACAAATTTATGCCACAAACGGAATTGATCATTATTCATTGTGTATTTGTAATTAGAACAAATTCTCAAGTGGTGTTTTAGTGAAGAATGGCATCATGTATACAGGCTGTATCTCAATTTATAATTGGGTTCCAAAGGCAACAACATCACATTCTATGCTGCGAAGATATAGGCTATGTCAACAAAGGTTCCATCAGGTTTTGTTGGATCATTTCCATTTATTACTTGTAAACATAGTCATACATACAGTAAGTTCAACTAAAACAGAGAGGATTAATATTTGTTGTTATGGTAGTAAGAACAGAGTATGGAAAGCTAGTTTAGGTCTGATATTATTGATCAAGTTTCAGTTCATTCGAATACTGTATAATGAAAAAAAATATTTGGGAAAATAAAATATTACACAATATTGATCTCAAAACTTTAAGTCATGTATCTAATTATAATTATCATAAATGCGTAATTTTGTAAATGGAATCACTATGAAATAAACCTACTTATTTGAAAAGTAGGTACAGGTAATACAGTACAGTATTTAACTTGTTGCCACTAAATGTATCTCAGGATTTTATAGTTGCAATCAGTAATGTGACAACTATAAGACACTTCTCCAATGGCATTTCTGGCGCAAATTAAGTGTAATCGAGCTATTTAAAATTTTATTACTGTATGTAAGTTCGTACAGTACTCCCGGTACACACAACATCAAATAGCTGTGGAGCACCCACCCTCCCATGGTTAGCTTAGGTTAGATTCAAAACTATGTTTTCCGATGGTTTTTATGTGTTTTGAACACTTTTTACCTTGATATTTATAGCAAATCTAGATTCTGAGATGGGAGGGGTTAACTTATCTCAGAAACTATTGACTTGGTCCATAAATGAGGGTCAAATTCGTCCGTAACACATCAAAAACAGTTTCAACTTCAATTTCGTTTAGTAGCAACAAGTGAAAATTTACCGAGAAGTATCATAGTGGACAAATACAGTGCATTAGCTAAAGTTAGGATAGTTTATATAAATTTCAAATTTTCATCAGTTTCAAGTACTGTCCACAGATATATAGACTTGGAAGTCGACATAGTGTGAGATTAACATATGAGAGACGCGGTAGGCAATACAGTATAGCATAAGGATGATAAGGTACTAGTAACTACTGTATAGTATAATAAATTAACTTTGCAGCAATGCCCCACCCCCCTTCTTAATAATTGCCACCGACTAGTAAAAGCGAATTTTCGTATTTTGGTCATTCAGCTGCTTCATTATTTAACAAATTTTTCTTTTCGTTGTCCATATTCTCGAAAATCAACTGTCCAATTGACATAATGTCTGAAAACGAGGTGGTGAAAATTAGCGCATTTAACATCTTAATAATGGAAATTTTAGAAAGAAAATGGAGTATTATAAAGTGATAACAACGTTGAGTGTTATTTTGATCATCTGGAGGTCCCCGTGTCACTCCCATAAGTCCCAAACCAACTAACTGCCACTACAGTACACCCTATTGATAGAACAGCGGTCTAATTCACCAAATATGTAAGTACAGGTACTAATTTTTTAAACTGAATCAAATATAAAATGTGCAAATCCAGTGTTTAGGTTGACCATCTTATAACTGTTTATAACCATCAAATAATGTTAATACATTTTTTTTCCTTTGGCATATTGCCAGCCTCGTATGCAAGCAAGCAGTGCCAGACAACCTTTAAAGTTTTCTAGATGCTTGAGGCCTCACTGACAAATGCCGACACCAACAACCTGTTGATTAAAAGTTTCATAATAATATAACAAAGGAAATTAAATTTATTAAAGTTTATTTATACCCTTGAATTCTGTGGTGAAAAGATCCATTAATCCCGGGCTCTCTTCTTGCCCCTGTCGATGGCGGGAGTCAGGCGTCACCACCAGCGCTGTCGTCGGAGGTGGACCTTGTCTGTTCTTTCAGCTAATTATTCTCTTTCTTTTTTGAGGTGAGTTCGCCGTATTCATGGTAACACTTTACTCCCCAATGTGTAAAACGAGAGAGAGGGAGACGGTAAAACGCTGTTGTGCCTTCATCAGGGATTGGTGACAAATATGACGACTGTACAATTAACTTCCCGGGCACCCCACCACAGGTACTAAAATTACCAAGAACGAGATTCCTAAACCAACCATTTTATTAAACAGGACCTGAAAAAACTCAACAAAACCTAATTACCCGAGAATAGTTTTTGTTGGGGTATATTGTGCAGTATTAGGTTTGTGCCAACTCAAAAGTGGATACAGTATACTCGAGGTACAATAAAAGTTACCAATTATCAAATTATATTGTAGTTTGAAGTGTTATTTAATACTTTTTTATTTAAAATGAGTAATTTGACCAAAATATGATGAACCACGATCTATTTTTAACAAACTAGAACGTGTTGGTAATTGGTACAATGGTGTTAACAGCTTTTATAATTGACCGACCAGTTTCTTAGCTTGTATTTACGAGTTGAAATATCGTGGCAAAAATTTAAAAGTTTCTGCTTTTTCACACAAATAGCTTTCTGTTGGCGAGGCGTGAGGGCCATTGTTTCATAATTTTCAACGCTTGGGGGCCACTAATATTATTTTGTATACATCAGCACGAGGCCACTGTAATGTTATTTTGTATGTGTTGAATACTTTAACATTTGGGGTCATTGCTTTGTATATTTTAACCCTTGTACATTAATGGTGGACTGCTGCCACATGGCCTTTATTATAGGTTTGAATGCCTTTTTTATGTCTTTACTATAAACAGTCGTGGGTCTATGACCTGCGCAATTCCTATATATTTGTATTTGTTTTATTTCTGTGTAATAGGTTCTTAAACTTATTCGTGTTATAAATGATGAGTACAATATTGTTGGAATAAAAAACCATATATTATTTCCAATACCTTTCGAATACTTATTAGTCTACCTTAAGGAGGACTCGGGGGAAAGTTATATCGTTTTTCAATGGCGTCCTTATCATGTCGTGTTCGGTATCATAAGTTAATTGTGCTTGTGGAGGATGAGAACATTAACTGGTTCACAAGACGCGCAAGTGTTCAAAATGCGGCAGAGAACCGACAGTGGGGAAGAAATGTTTTTCAGTGCAAGAACCGATCGTATTCCCGTGTCCACAAAACATGAAATTACGCCATGCCGCTTCAAAATAGTTGTTTCCATTGGTACCAGATATCAAAGTAAGTTCTTTCTGTTCAATATGCTGGGGGGATTCGACTATAGGAAGTTAGGAAAGGTTAGATAGGTTCCATTGGTTAGTTCAGGTTTTGTGCATTCTCGTTTCCATTTTCGTATTTATCATCGTTTGGTTTGGCTTAGGTTAGTTTAGTTGAATTAGGTTAGCAGAGTTAGGTTAATCCTTTTATCTTTTTCATACTGTTTATTATCTGAAGCTTTTTTGTAATATATTTTGTATATTTCGTAATGCAAATTTCATTTACATTGAATGTGTGTATGGAACAAGTTGTGGGTCTGGGAACGAAATGACTCGTGTACAAAATAACCTTTGCCCATTTCATATATTCTGTAATTG